TTAATAAGAAGTCCGTAGTTAAAGAAAAAGCTGATGATAGGCCTGCTACACAAAATGCGTGGAATATTCTTTTTTGTTCTTATAGAAAAGTGTTAAACGTTTATCTATTTCGCACAGGTAAGAATTAAACAAAATAGAGATTCAACAACGCTGCATGATTTATAGGTATGCTTATAATGCAACATTATGTCTGCAATTATTTAGTACCATTTTAAGCATATCTACAAGGTGCAGAATCGTTAGGCTCTCCACAAAAATGTTCAGACCCGCTATGACCTTTCCCGGGCCCGGCAGTGTGTCTGCAGTTGCGGCTTTCCTGCGGGCGGGTCTGTCCTCGGATAATCTGCCTCTGAGCTGTTGCCCTGCGCCCCTGGAGGACGGAAGGGGCTGGAGGCGTGCTTCCTGCAGATGGGATCTAATTACCTGGACAATGGGCCACCGTGTCGGCCAGTCCTATGATGAAGACAGCGCGCTTAGGTGGCTCATTGTTGTAATGTCCCGCGTGTTTCGTGAGACGTCAGCGGATAAAGGAGCTCACCCACGCTGTTAGAGGCCACCTCAGTAGCCAGCTGCCCCACGGACAATAGGAACGACCAAGCCGTTTGCCTGCTGAAACGGTCCTGCGAACTGGGCACTGAGCATTAGTGCTTTTAACTTTGTTGGATATATGTAAATAATAAGAAATAATGAGATACAACCATACTAATAACTATAAAGGCTTGAAATGGCTGTTTAATGTTTAAATTGATTTAATACCGATTTAACGACTAACGATTGATGATCTACCTAACTATAAATTATTTTGAGAACGATTTGAAAAAAAAATAATAAGTGGTTTTTAATCTCCAAATTTGACGCACTTCATTAAAAACATTCATGCTGATAAATCGGGATAGACTGGGGACTAACAGAAATGCATGTTTGGTAAAAGAGCATGGCAGTTAACATCGGGAATTAAATGGAATGTAGCGGCAACAAACTTCAGGATTACATAAGAGGCCTTCTGAAATAATATTATCAATGCCTTGGGCCCTTGGCAGCTGCTGAACATGAACTTTTTTACGTTGAATCAACGACCATTCGTCCGGGACATAGGTCGGTTAACATGCATTTCACATTATCCTGCGATGATGTAGGCTTTCTGGGGCGTGAGATCCGCCTTTTGGGCGTGACTTTCCTGGAGCTGATATCAGCCCGTCTGGATTCTGGATCACTCTGTGAGTTCGCCTGACATTTAGTCAGAAATTCTGCTACACTATCTGACTGTGCACTGTGCAGGATATCCTGCTGACAGCTGGCTCGCCTTGGCTGGCTCCTTGATATCTAGGTAGGTAGCTAAGGTATGCATATCCTACATAAGCACTTACGTTCCGGAAATTACCAGCTGGCAAAACTTCTGACTTATCTCTTGTCTTTGTATCTTATCGCGTACCTATCACTCGTATAAAAGGCTGTTGTTTTTCATTGAAAAAGGCGCTGAGGAAATATCTTTAGAGACGCAGTCACATGTGCAGTTACCTGTTATGGATTGCATTATTTAAGGCAAGTCGCTTGTCCTTAAAACCTAAATAGCGGCTACGCAGCGCTTGCATAATATCTACACAACATCCCATGTTTGCGAAATCACTCGCTCGCTCATTTCACCACGATAAGATCTTCAGGTGCAATCCATCAGCATCATCCTGGGACAATGGCGGCGACGGTTACTGGCGCGCCGCGTGCGCCTCGGTCCGCCCCGTGGAACAGTTGCACCAAACGACCGGCCGCAGCCCGCCGCATTCCCACATCTCACACCGGTACCGCTTTCAGCAGCCGCTGCGCATTGTTCCAGACCGCCGTCTGTGACACTGTGACGTCATCTGGAGACTGTGACGTCATTTGGTGCCCGGTTACTGGCGGGCCTGGTGGTCAGCCAGCCAGTTGTGGCTGCAGACTGCATAAGACAATGAGAGACATTCGACTCGGCCCTTTCCCGAGTCGTTATGGTCAGAGCTGTGACGGCCAATATCTGGATGTCAAAATATTTGTTTTATTGCTCTGTAATAAGGGACATGATATACGTAATCAGCTTAAGCTTGTATGGATGTGACCGAAAGCTGACTCTAGCAATGCAATCAGAAACCGGAAATACGTAACCTTTTCTGTACCGGGTGTGCCGTATAACCAAGTGGTCGTCCAATGGAAAGTGACCTGACGGGACGGGGCACTGAGCGCTGGCCAGGTGAGCCGCGCGGAATGTGGCCCCTGATCCTGTGCGGCCGGGCCCGCGGGACCGACGGGACCGGCGGGCAGGGACGATTAGGATGCCGGTAAACACAGCACCAGAGTGGCATGTGACAGGCGCGCTGGGATATTAGCCGGCTTATCGTGTGCATCTGCGTGTAAAAGCAGCACGTGAGCTGTTTTCTAGCCGCCTTGTATCTCCGTTCTCAGAGGCCATCGGCAAACACCTGAATGCATCAGTCCCTGAGAGGGCTTGCCGACTGGCTCGGCCTATGGATCAGGTCACAGTCCGATAAAAACGAAAGTGACAGCAGGTCCACTCAGCCGTCTTGGTCGGAATCTCAGCGTCGTGATGACGGAATGCGGCGTACTCGCTCTCTGTCGAATTCCACCACCGCCGACAAACAATGGGCTTTGCGGACGCCGATTCTCTGTTTGTCCCAGTGCGGCCAGTGCCCTCCGCGCCCACCAGCAGCCGGCAGCGGCTCTCAGTGCCCGTATAATACCGACGTGCCGTTGCCCAATTTTGTGCGGTTCACGGAGTCGGCCCTACCCAGGCGGCACATACCGTGAATACCCGCCGTCAGTGAGGCTCCAGGGGTCACGGCCCCGCCCCGCCTCACCGTGCCTCACTGCCTCCCTGTCTCCTAAATGTGTCTTCATCACGACTCTTACGTCAGCCGTCTCCGGGCCTCTCTCCAGCCGTCTCTGTGATGATCTTCCGCTACACCGAGGTAGACAGTCTCTAATTCCATGCATCTTTCATCAACCGTTTCCGCGTATCTCCCGTCAGTCTCATGCAGTCTCCGTGCGTCTTCCATTGGCCGTGTCTCCATGCGTCTCCCTTCGGCAGTCTCCATGTCTTTCGCCGGTCTCCAATTGTCTCCTGTTAACCGTCTCCATGCGTCTCTCGTTGTCCGTCTCCGTGCGTCTCCCATTGACCGTCTCCACGTGTCTCTTACCACCCGTCTCCATGTGCCTCCCGTTGGCCGTCTCCAACCGTCTCTTGTTGACCGTCCATGTGCCTCCCGTTGGCCGTCCCCATGTGTCTGTCCGTGCGTCTCCCGTCTTCAAGCGTCTCCGCTGGCCTTCTCCTGGTATTTCCCACGGCACCGGCGTCTCGCCAGCGGGTGCTCTGTGACGCCATCCATCTCGGCACGTCAGACGTCGCGCCTGATGGTGCTCGCGTGCCGCCCACGGCGTATGACTTGCACGCGCCGCCGCGCCACGGAGAGCTGGGAGGCGTTCATGACTGCATGCAACAGGCATCGACGCTTTAAGTGTCTAATGCTGGTTGCGAGGGTTGGGACGGGCTAAAAGTAGATGACATTGCTAAATGAATGCTGTAGAGCCTGTTTTGTATATATAAAATACTCGAGAGAGAGAGAGAGAGAGAGAGAGAGAGAGAGAGAGAGAGAGAGAGAGAGAGAGAGAGAGAGAAGAGAGAGAGAGAGAGAGAAGAGAGAGAGAGAGAGAGAGAGAGAGAGAGAGAGAGAGAGAGAAGAGAGAGAGAGAAAGAGAGAGAGAGAGAGAGAGAGAGAGAGAGAGAGAGAGAGAGAGAGAGAGAGAGAGAGAGAGAGAGAGAGAGAGAGAGAGAGAGAGAGAGAGAGAGTTATCTATGTATCCACTGGGAGAGCCTGACAACGTGATAAAGCGTTATTTTGCAGTTGGACTACTTCTGTTAATTCCTACGTATCACGACAGACCGCTCCCGGAAATGACACACCACAAATAAGGTCTTCGTCACCAGCAGCCGGAATCTCGTGACATGTCATCTCGCAGCCCGCCTGGGAACCAGGCTATATTACACATCCATTCTTATACGGGCCTGAATTTGAGTTTGCCCGTCATCATTCTCCTCAGTATCGCTCTCGATAGATCTGCGCCGTACCGTGTGTCCTGGGCGTGACTGGACAGTGGACCGGACCATCCATTCCCGTCCGATCGCCCTGTGATTCCGCCGACCGACCGGAGTGGCCGCCGCCCACGCACCGTCCTGCTGCCTGCCGGCGGCGGTCGGCCCGGCGCCCCAGCTGTCTCGCGCCGGCCGCCCTTCACCCGAGCTCGGCGCAGTGTCGCAAGCTGGCCAGCTCGTTACGAGAAGGCGGCCGCGCGCGCCACAGACGCCGCCGTCGCGCCGAACACGCCGCAAACACGGCCGTAAATTCTGCGCGGCGCGCGCGGCACCGCCACGTCCGCGCCGCGCTGCGTTCGTCTCATGACCGGCATTGGTCGCCGGCGCGGCCGCTGACAGCTCGGAATGGACGGACGAGTCGAGAAAGTGTCCGCGCGCGGCGGCGGCGGCGCGTCCTGCCGGCGAGCCGGCAGCCAACCGGTGTCGCCGGGAGCGGGTTGTGCTCAGAAGTAGGTTGTTGGCGGACTTCCGCTCGGCGTGCGGAACACGTGCCCGTAGCTGTGGGGGAGGGGGGCCGGTCCGCGGTGGTAGCTGGTCCAAACGACGCGCTCGTCACGTCCAGCCTGTAATCACTCGCATTTTGTGCTCTGCAGACGTGAGATTATACACGAGCGCCGCTCGTGTTATCGTATCTCTTTCTCAGTTACAGCCTGTTTGGAGATCGGAAGATGAGACATACGACTTTCTCGTCCTTACCCGTTTTGCGTGCCTCTGAAATGCCTTGTCACTCTCCCATTTTACAGCGGATTTTCCACTGGCAGCATTTACAGCGCCGCGCCGGTATTTCGTCAAACTCGAGTTTTCTCTCTGACAACTGCAGGTACTCGCGTCTAAGACTGACTCGTTCTTCTTCTGCTTGCAGGCTGGAAGAGTCGACTGTGGCTCTTCCAATTGCTGATTCTTCCTCCGCTACTGGCTTCACAGGCGCCTCCCTTTCCAAACGTGAGTAATGACCTCTGTCGGGCTGCGCTTAGATTCGGTTTATTAGGTAGATATGCCTACTTTTTTGTATGCTCTTGTGATGAATTGCATGCTTGTCGACGTAATGGGTTTACTGAGATACAAAAGTGCCGAACTTTCCTCACGTAGGCTCATATCATTCACTTATCACGCTAACAAACAAAAACGCAAATAACGTGCATGAACAAGGAAAAAGATTAGATAAACTTTATGATTCGGAGTAAGTCAGTGTTTGATCAGACAGTTGTTTCCCTGTAAAATCGGCACACCATACAAACTGATAACATGTGTAAATCAAACGGCCACGCCCATTTCGAGCCAGTAGAGTCCGACAAGAATGTAAAGACACAGGTAAGAACAATGAGTCAGAGCTGCTTTTATGGTTGAAGAACGCTGTACAGCCATACCTCGTCCGTAAACATTGTTTGATGCTCCTTGGAAGACGTGTCTCGCCCCAAGCGGAGACCAACCGGTTGGTTACCGGAGAGCAAGGACCCCGGACCCGCCGCTGGATCTGATTAGGATTCGGTGCTGGACCCGTTCAATCCCCGACTGATACCGATTGAAGGGAGTTGGTGGTGAACTGGGAGAGGGAGAGACAGTGGAGCCTGAGGGCAGATCCGTCCGGAAACTGGCTGACTCAGCGGGAGAAGTTCACGCGCGTGGGGCCGTCCGGCGCACGGGAGCGCGTGGGCGCGACGGGGAGGGGCAGTGGCAGAGGAAGGTCAGACGGGTTCAATGGACCCGCCTCAGTGGCCCGAGCCGCCCCCGCCTCCGCCGCTGCCACTGACTGCTACTCGGGAAAGTGCCGTGACCGGCGGAGTTTTATCGCCGACCGTTTCCGCCTCACGCAAATGCGGTAGCATCAACTGAGCCGCTACTAGCGTTTAAACGTATTTCCGGTGAGGCTACACGTAACCACAGTGAGCAGCTAAAGATACAGTCAGTGATGTAAGTGGGGTGCAAAGGAAGGTGGCTCGCACACTGGTCACAAATGTATCTAATACATCGTAAAATATATCTAATGCCGTGTTCACCCAAAAGGATCTAAATTGCTTGCTTGCTATCTGAAAAGCTTGGAATTCAACACATGAAGACCCTGGGCCTGAACTGCTGGCCCACTGATGTATACCAGCATCCACAATCATGGTACGCAACCGTTGGACTATCGGGCACCAATTCATGCATATTTACAAGGTGAACAGCCGCCGTAAACGCGGAGATAAGCCGAGATGGAACGTTAATAGGCGGGTGCCTGACCTTCATCTACCAGGTTTGTCCTAAATACGGACCAGATAGTGTCTGTTCGTCCTTCATGATTCACGTCGCGCACACCTCTTATGAAGGTATCCGTGACGCTCTACCAAACACCATCGTCAAAGCGTCACAGCCGCACGGCCTGTCATTGTCGCCCCCGTTACATACGTGACGTGTCACCCGGCCCGCCCCCGTCACAGCGCGCGACTGTGTCACGTGACCCTCTGCTGGATACGACCTCTCCTCACACTGGTGGCCCCAGTTCGGATCATGTGACCAACAAACAAACGGCTCGGAGTAGCAGCGGGACGGAGCGGTGCTCTGAAATGTGACCCCGCTGGCACGAGCGGTGTGTGACCGATGCTGTAAGCTGACACCTAAACCGGGTTGAACGGTGTTTACATGGGTTGCATGGTGCTTTTAAACGGACTGATTAAGTGAGTGTTCCACTATTGTATGGTATACCGTAAAACGTAACTGATGTGATATATGAGTGCACTGAACGGTATAGCAAAAAAAGGTTATCTCAATCATTCAGCAATAAGGAATCCACTCTATGTACGATTTATAATAACATTTCTGATTCCTTTTGTTGTGCATTTTTATGTGGAAATGTGTTATCTATGTGTATGCATAAGCACAAACGCTATGACATATAAACCGTTTATGAATGTATTTCATAATTATGTAAGACGTTATATCGAGTTTGGTCGACATTTTGGCGCACCCATTCTACCGATCACCTCAGTCTCCACCCACGTGTTTTCATAGTTCTACGAAACAATTGGCCTTATGCACTAAAACGGCGGCACCCTGCCGTGACCGCGCCCTCTACTCGTAACAGATGACCTCATCACTCCTTTTATTGAAGAACTGGTTGTGTCTGCTGTTTGGGGGTTATCCATCACTTCACTCCTCCATTTCTGCCGCTACTTTTACAGTGAATAACGACCGCTTGTTGACATGACTAATGACCTTCACTTGGTGTTTTGTAAAGCTTTGGTCCCGGCAATCAAATGATTATTCAGACTGTCAGATTTCGCGTGGTTCTGGATAATGGGCTTGCGTGACTGAGCTATTTATATTCAGCGTTTTAATTGGCACTGGGCGTGGACACCTGACGTAGTTGGCCTTGAATAACAAAAGGTTATCTCGCTATCACTTAAATCTAGATTCTAAACTGACAATACCTTTATCTTCGAATGCGTGAAAAATGTGAACATGCCTCCATAATTCGTTGGGCTTAGTTGAGGCGCAAGCCACCAGTCAGTGCTTTCAGAATTCGGTGAGTCTTTCATGGACACTTCACGGATTTTTTTTATAAGTCTTAGACTTACAATGGACGTGGCACATAATATGAAATATGAATAATGCTACCCAGCATTACATTATCGATGACAGGTAGCTAAGCCTCTAACCGTATCGCGCCTATCAAGGTACATATCCCACACTGCTCCGCGCACGTAGTTCCTCTGATAAATGACCAGCCATTACCCCTCTGCGTGTCCGGCCGGCTAGCCTCGCACGTAATGCGGCCGCCATCCAACAGCAGGGGGTCACGACATTGCAGCGTGCGTGTCGAAATGACCCCGGCCAGCGACTGGTGACTGACACCATCACGCTCCTGACACGACATACCGTGCGTGATACATCGCGCGCCGACCACCGAACTACATAACCGACCCCGACCTGGCCTGAGCCTGCGGGCTCTGAGCATTATTGGCCCCGACGCGACCTGGGCCTGTGGGCTCAGAGCATACCAGTCGCCGGTCCCGATCACACGGCGGCGCATCCCTCTCACGCCTTTCTCACGTACCAGGCAGGTCTCTCTCTCTCTCTCTCTCTCTCTCTCTCTCTCTCTCTCTCTCTCTCTCTCTCTCTCTCTCTCTCTCTCTCTCTCTCTCTCTCTCTCTCTCTCTCTCTCTCTCTCCGAACCCTCCCTCTCTCTCTCCCTAACCGCCGTCCCGATCCCGCCGTGCGACCCAGCTCGCCAGCGGAGCGGCCGCTCTCCTCTCGGCGGCTCAGCTGCCCTGACCCCATCACCTGGAGATCAAGGTCACCCCCGAATACACAGCGTGCCGCTGGAGTAGCGGACCCCGCCGAGCCGCCAGAGCACCTCCGTTTTCCTGGTGAAAGTATCTTGGCCCGCGCCAGGCTGGGACTGGGAGTGGTAGCCAGCCCCGCGCTCAAATGCTCTCACTCTCGTAGGAGACGGTAGTCGCTCCACGTAATACCCATAATCCGCTGGACTTTGACCAGCATAACTGGATGGGTGATCGGCTGGAATTAAGAGGGATTTAGGGGATAGCGATTGCAGTCATTCGTGCCAAAATTTCTGCCATACCGCTGTCTACAAGCACTTCCTCAGGTGATTCATGTTCGAGACAAGACGATAAATGCAAATTAAGCCAGCTAAAACCTGAACCCACGTATGTTTAGAATATGATCAATTGATTAACGGGTCTGAAGCAACCATGCAACAATACTGACTTGTGCGCAAACTGTATGGGATCTGCTTCCACGACCAAACCGGATCATTTCCACCACCCGAATGGGGTTTCACGTGACTCACAACTCTTCCCCCGGTGACGCCATCATTCCAGTGACGTCACCAGTGCCTGGCGTGATGAGCACCGTCACTGACTGACAATGTAGGCACGAGCTGGCCGCGGCCCAGCAGGTGCCTTCAATCCCACAGGCGTCGGGCGCCATAGTGATGAAAAGTTCGGCGCCGCACGTGTGTGAAGCTCGGGCCTCGATATCACACATATTGGCGGATATGCCGTTCCGAACTGCCTGGGCGATCGTTCAATGTCTGTCTCATGCTTTGGACGACATTTTGTTGCGGCAATGGACGGAAGATACTCGAGCGCTTCGATCCGATCATGGCCTCAGCTCTGGCTCATTCCGATCTTTCCGATGTGTTTTGCCGTTTTATGACCCGTTTGCAGGGTTTCGTGTCACGAGATGTTCAGAGGGCTCAAGTCGGAGACAGAACACTTACATAGAAAACACATTGCAAACTATGTTCAAGACACAGCAAGACATTCATTTACCTGCGCTGTCATTCGCTTCTCACAGAAATTCTGTATCTCTGAATCTGACATTTCGCGTTCGGCAGTTTTCTCTGCAGCTGGTGGTATTTTTGGCGAGTGTTGATCGTGTTTTCGGTGACTGCAGCCTGCAGCGCGGCCTCGGCGCGCACTGTGTAGCCGGCACGCCCCTGATCCACATATCTGACCGAGTGACATTCGGCAGTGCAGCCGGGCCCAGCCCTGGGCGGGGCCAAACCACCGACCTTGACTGCCAACACGAGCCGAGCAATAATAACCGCCTGCAGTCGGCCGGCGCATGTCTGGCCGACTAGCTGGTGTGGTGCAGTGATACATGCATGCATGCTGCATAGACACATAGATAAACGGACGGACAGACAGACAGACAATGATGGTAGACAAACGATCTATATTGGGCCCCAAATATTACATAATGCATTCTTATCAATCACAGCCCTCCTTTCATACGCTGAAAAGTTATTCCATAGTCCCAACTCTCAAGCTCGGGTAAAAAGATGTGCTACCCCCCCCCCCCCCTATTATATTATGCATTAATGGACGCACTATTACAGTCGTATCCAGAGAAAATTAAAACATATGTTTATTTCTATGTTTTAGTTTTTTAAAAGCTCGCAAAGTTGGTTCGACCACAACCAACCGTAACAAAGGGAAACTTTGGATGAGACTAGACTGAGAGATTCGATGAATCCTCAGTTTCATCGACATACGAGGGTCCCCCCCCCCCCCAAATATGACTCGGCTGACCCCGCAGCCCAGAAAGTAGGTATGGGCGTGCCTTTCGGAGAAATGCTGTAATCGCGAGAGCTGGACAGGCAGCTCAGATGTGCCAGAGCATAATAAATCGTCCATCATACATCACCTGTCTTTACGTAAGCGCTGGCCGCTGTTTTTTCTTCCTCGCCATCGCACGACACATCCTGAAACACACAACACAGCATCCGACATAGATGTCGGAATGTCGAGGCAGATCTGCCCCGACATTTCCCGGAAATGGTACGATCTAATCCAACTCTTTACTCGGTAGCCCAGCTAGACGTGCTCTGCTGGTGTACCGTGAGCCGTGATGGCCGCTGGCCGTGCCCGCCGGCCGCCGTAGTCGTCTAGACGTGCTCACTACCCTCCCCATCTGTAGAGGAATGCACATTGCGCGCCACATCTTCAGGCTACGGCCGGGGCGGCGGCCCGGATCGTTAATTGCAGAGCGAGGCGTCGATCTCCCGCGAGAGGTAGGTATTTCCTCTTCTGCCGCTCCAGATAGACGCGTAACCGGTTCACGCCGGGTGGAGCGGTGCGTCCCCCTCGTGACGTCATCAGTGGGATAACAGTCGGAGCGATACTGCGCCGCCGAGCGCACAGGCGGAGATACTGCGCCGCGGAGCGCACAGGTGGAGATACTGCGCCGCCGAGCGCCTGGAGCAGATACTGCACCGCAATACATGCGGAATGCGAGAACGGCATTCCGCGGCTCTCGGCGACTGTCGCGCGCTGCACATTCCAGCCGGCCGCTGCACGATGCATAATGCCGGCTTTCCACCCACTGGAAAGTCGTTCTGGAAATGGTTGCTTGCTGAATTTACTCGCTAAACGGGGACAGGTACCGACAATGTGCATTGAACGGTTTAAAGTCGTTTTACGACATTAAGTCGTTCTGGAAACCGATTAACGTGCTGGTCAGAGCTGAAAAGAGAGATGCTTCTGCGGTCATATTTAATTAAAACTTCAAAGCGTCATTAAAATACTTGTTCTTAACAAGCAATCGAATCAGCTCGATTATGACCTAAAGTAGTCAAAGTGAGAAATAAGATAGTTATGCATTCTTGTTTCATAAGCATCATAATGCTCGATTGCTCGCTCACCCTCTTTATTTGGTGGTTGTTTAATTTTATGTTCACCTTATCAGAAGTATGTACTATGCAGCACACAGATCCGGCAAGGCTTTCCAGAGCGAAGCGACCAGTCTATGTATGATTCATATAGGAGAGTGTGTAAAACGACATAGCTGACTTATCCTAGATCTGGCATGCGGACTTTGTACGCGCTGAAGATCAAGAACGCCTATGAACTTACTGCCACAGCACGTGCAGTGAGTACTTTACGAGCTCATGGATGTTATGTCTAGGAAGCTTTATCTTTTGTTTGGATCGATAGATACTTTCAATAATCGCTTCTTGAGATAAGGTTGCAACATATCTATACCCAAGAGCGAGTGCTGGCCAATGAACGCTATCCAAGGACAGACATATCTGCCGGCTAATTATGCGTCGGTCATCTCACGCAAACCGTACTGAGCTGCACGACTATGAGGTGTGGAGCAATCGCCGACCTCTTATCTAGATATTGCTGTAAGGTCTCATGTCTGCAACGCTGAGAAAGAGAGAGGGAGACAGAACAGAGAGGGAGAGAGGGTGATGGAGAGAGTAGGAGGAAAGAGAAGGGAGGGAAAAGTGTTTGTGCATTGTTTCAAATAGAATGCTACAATTAACATTCCATCGTAGCTAAGCCTCATATTTCCATGAGGTGTTCCTACATTTAATTTGATTTTTTCTTTCTTTTAGGAAGATTGCACAATAGCAATGCTATGAGTATATTATGTAATGGGACCTATGATTATGGTGTAGTTCTATAGCATGCTCCAAATAACTGTAGCACGATACTGAAGTTTATCAGAGCTTCATATAGGAAGAGCCTTCGAAGAAATCCAAGGCAGGGTGATACACATGGGAACCAGCAAAGACGCATCACCATTTATCAAAGCAGTGTGCATAACAGTTACGGAAAGTCCACTGCTTGAACAACCATCATTTATCATTATGAGAATTAAGTTAAAAAAGAACATTAGTCGAACACAAAGGGATAGATGAGTTGTTCAATACTTTAGCTATAACTTTACACAGACACAACACTGACAACCGCAACTTTTCATTCACCAATGCTGTTGATTAATACAATCCCAGATGCTATTTGAAGGCCGTTTCCGTGAGCGGCTTTGCAAATTGCACGTCCCGATATTTTCATGTTTGCGGCTGACTGGTACCGCAATGCGAAGGCGCAATTATTTTCCTAAAGAAATTAAATGATATTATTAAGGTATAATTTCCGCAATGTAAAAGACAGACAAGAAACCGTTGCTCCAATGGAGGTCATTATTACCATCGTAAATTATAAGCAGAACGACGCCAGAACTAGAGATGTCAATCGGATACCAACTTTTTGGTATACCGATACCAAACCGGTACAACTTGGTATTTGGTATTTCAATCGTAATGTGTTTGGTATTTTGTTGGTATCATAAACCCTCACTAATGTATAAGAGGCTAAGAAATCGGTAAAAAGTTGGTATTTCCCTCATTTTCCCAAGTTGGTTTGGTTTTGGTATTTTCCCGTGGTTTTGGTTGGTAGTTGGTTTGGTATCGGTATTCCAATTTTCCGTAATTGACATCACTAGCCAGAACCCACCAACTAACAGTCCATCTCTCGCTAGAAGGGACACTGCACAGCGCACAATGCACATGTTAGCAACGGACACGGTAAGCTACCACCAGCAAACCCCACAGTGGGCGCCGGTCCGCTGCCTGGTGGCCGATACCGCTCGTGGTCCCAGCCGACCGTCTCTATTGCGTCACTGGTGTACGGAGCGCAAGTGACACACAGTCTCGGTGGCGACCCCGTCTCCGTGCATGCACTCCAGTGAGCCCAGTGGGACTCCGGACTCTCCCAGCTGGAGTCCGCCCGCCGCAGCGCTGGACTCGCCGCGGGGGTCGTGGAATGGGGGGGGGGGCAGCACTGGAGGCTGGAGCTGCTCGAGAGGGAGAGAGGGGCAGACCGGAGCCGCTCGAGAGGGAGAGAGGGGAAGCCGGAGCCGCTCGAATGGTCACCGTGACGCCGCGCATGGCCGCTTATTGACTTTTAATGGCTTCATACAGCGTATAGGTAACCGAAGCGCCGAACTTGCTTTCGGATGCTGGATTTAGACAAGATTCGCCTTTTTATCGCATTAAATGCGGCCTGTAAAATGATTCACTTACATAATGTAGGCATCATCGCAGTCTTAGTATAAAGTTTATGTGTTTTTCTTTTTTGCAGCTGAACTTGGAGAACCTTCCGGACACATCATTCTCCTGCGAGGGGAAGGTGGTCGGCGGCTACTATGCAGACATCGAAACCAAGTGCCAAATGTTCCACGTCTGCACGCTCGGCTCCAAGGGTAAGCGCCCCCGTCACTCGCAGATCAGTCTGTGAGACAGTTGACCATGACACCAGGCAGCGAGCATACCTGCTACATAAGCTGCGTGTGCTCTCTGCAGCCGACATGCCACCATCACCGTATACCCGCACCGGAAAATGGTGCACAGTTCAAGGCCCTATCTGCGGACTTTTGAACGTACAAAGCATGCTGCTGCAAACCTCTTGCACGGTATTTTTAATTGTCAAATGAGCGGTTCGGTGTAGCGGGTCAGGGACTGGTAGCCGTATCCAATATGTTAGATGATCGCTGTGATTGATTTTGGGCCGTTAATCTTTCAGTCACGACAGGCTTTAGATACCATAAGGGCGACGCCTTCTGACTATACCGTTCAACTGAATAACGTGCACCTCAGTCCACACTCTGCGGGGAATAATCATCGAAATGCACTAACGGTTGTCGAACAGAAGGCACGCATTTGTTGACTGTACGAGTATTTTCTTGCAAAGTGCATTTACATAAGCATGCTTATGAGAAATGATCCTGTAATAACGCCTCAAAACGTTATTGGTTCTGAAAACGATAACCACTTGACTTCTGCGATGAACGAGTGTGCTTCAGGCGATAACGATCAATATGTGTCACTGTATAAGACAAGATCTATCCAAATGAGAAACAAAATCGATCTCTTGGTGACGAATCACCTGGCTTCAATACAAGGACAGGTTTCTATTTAATTCATAGCGATCAATATCCCATTTACTGGCATAAAAGCGAAGGCGGGTCGCAAACACTGGGCGTTTCACAACGATTGTGGAGGACTCGGGATGACGCCATTGACTTCTGTCATCCCGCCCCACCTCATTCCAAGTACAAAGGAACGCCCCCGCGCCGTAGCGCACAGAAACCTGTTAGTGCGACACTGCGCATGCACTTACGCACTCGTGTACGTAAATTTGGTGTTGTCATGACATTAGAATCGGTATGCTAACGAACTCATTGGAGATTAGGTATTTACGAGAGCTTAGCGCCAGCATTGCCAAACCAGTTCAAACCGTCGTTACGGCCTTGTGCTTTACAGGGTGAGCCATAAAGATTTACCCATCGATGAATTCACTTTATTTCCAAACGGGTTGGCGTAGGTATGCCATCTTTTGCATATATGTCGCAAATTTGTCTCCAATCCTGACAGTGTAGCTCATTTTGTATATGCTCGTCCACTGTCTCTGCTACGCTCCTGAAATGCGAGGTCGTCTTAACGCACATCCACCGCTCCTGAAATTCAGGAATCACCACTGGGTGTTGGCTGCTGAACACTCCTTGGTCTAAAGAATGCTGGGCACAATTTATCCCCGACTTCAGCCCCACGGGCTTCGCAAACTGAAATACCCTGAAACCCGACTCTACCGAGTCCCTGAAACACCGCAAATGACATACGGCGCAGCATTGTTATAGCATGGGTGATCGAGGAAAATAAGTGAAAAGACGGTGCGGCGGCCGCGTGCCATAGTGCTCTTGCGTCTCGGGCGCGTAACATAAGAATGCAAGCATACAGAAAACAGACTACATTTATTAGTTAGGAGATGACGTTGTTATATGTATGTAAAAGATGACATAGCTATGTCAGCGCGCCTTGAAACAAAAATAAATTTTCGATGGGTAAATCTTAATGGCTCACCCTATACTTATTGTCGCATCGTCGAACTATGCTCAATGTGGCTGCTCGTCGTTTTAAAGATCTTACCTAACTAATAGCTACTCTTATATAACTATATAATTTAAATAAATGTCTTTATATTTCCTTATATACAATTAGGTGATTGAGGAAACGACCCGCCTCTTCACTTCCCCATGACTAGAGATAATCGTTTCAATTGAAATGTTCTAGGCGTGCAACTTAAAGGAAAAGGGCCACCTTTAACATGGGGATTGAAACTGAGATAGCCATCTTGTAGCCCGTGTCCGAAAACCTAACTGTCTACCTCCTTACGGCCGATTTCGGCCTCCATTCGTAGTTATCGGCAATTTTAAAAGAAAATACGCCAGGAATGCGTCCTTATCCCAGGAATGCGTTCTTATCCGACAATACAGCCACCCGCGGCGAGGCTTTGGTTTTTTACCAATCAGCTCCAACCAGCTCAGCTCTAACCAATCAGCTTATCTGACACAGTCCGACGAGTCTGTCTTCTGAACGCTGATTGGCTTGAGTGTGACGTCATCGCTATGCCATCATACAGTAGGTGCCGTAGAGAGTATCAACATAGTACCAATATGTTAAATAGTTTTAAATACTTTTTCGCGAATTGTGCACTTCTGGCACCAGTTTTAAAAAGAAAATGAAAAATAATAATGTCAAAATGAAAAACAACGATATCTTCATATTTCACGAAGGTGGCCCTTTTCCTTTAAGAGATTTACATGAGCTAGTTTATCATATGGCACTTAGCAAGAATATTTTATCACTGTAAAAGCGACAAATGGACATAGGATTGAGTGTTTTTTGTGTTTTGTTTTTGGTTAACTGTCAGCCATACATTCAAGAAAAAAATTTCCATTTGGCAGCCCGATGTCACCGGTATGTTATGGTTCATCATCGCATGTTCAAGTGATCAAAATGTTTTAATTTATCGATGTGGCGAGCCCACTGGCATTTCATCCATATCCAGGAATGCTAGCTAAATGACACTTTAGTCCTTTAGTCCTATTCACGACCTTGCTTTAGTCTCAAAGCCCACATGAGCGGAGTTAGCGCTCCTATGACCATCGCCCATTGGCAGCATGGGTAGTTGATGGCTCTATTCATAGATATAAAAGACGCTCTATTCCCAGAACGCAGAGATAATAATTTAGTTCTCAAGGTCGCGTTCTTCAGAAGATTACGGTTTACAGCTGCGCTGATCAGAACATTCCTCATGTCCATAGACAATAGACATGATAAATAGCGTATAAAATTACACACAAACGAGAAACACTGACCCTCAAACAGTTCGGATACACCACATTCCAGTTTTCACATTCAATGCCGCGTGTTTCATAATTTTAATCCCAATTATTGATGCTTATTTTCACTTCTTTCACAGTTACTCGTCTGTATTTAACATCGCATTCCACATAACCGAATATTTTGTTCGTTCGTTGCAGGCGAAACCCAAGACATCAAATTCCTGTGCCTGCAAGGCACCGTGTTTGACCAGGAGACGCGGGTGTGTGAGCGGTCAGAAGAGGTCGCCTGCACCGAGTCAGTGGCGTTCTACGACCTCAACAAGGAGCTCTATCAGCCCAACGTCAAGTCGCACAGGTTCGTGTACCGCGGGAACGTGCAGTCATTCAAAAACCATATTCGGAGAGATGTATGAAAAATAGTTGTACATAAAGCTTTTTGCCGTTGGCCCGGTCATTTCAAATTCACCAACAGGTCATAGCTCATGCCAAACTTCTGAGAAAGTTTGGACGGCAACCGTTTACAATAAGTTTCCTTCATTCATAGTTGCGCTTGATTCTTAAGATTCTAACTGCCGATCTGTCTGGACAATATCTGAGCGCCTCTGGCGGAGAGTAAAGAACATTTCCCCTAAAAATGTTTTTCCTGGTTGTATTTAGCCATGCGTTTTCCCTGATCTGAATGCTGTAAATTTCCAATGAATTTCATTTCATTGCCTCCGCCGTTACCTGTTTCTGTTCCTGCGACTCGGTTCTAGTTTTTTTTTTTCTGTGCCCGCACGCTTCTGTTCTGCATAAATGTCTCTATATATGTTACAGGCAAAGTGAAAACTCGGGCATTTTGCAAAATGCCTAGGCAATTTGCAAAATGCCTGACCGGCTAGGCATTTTGCAAAATGCCCAGGCAATTTGCAAAATGCCTGACCGCCAGGCATTTTGCGAAATGCCTAGGCAGTTTGCAAACTGCCTGACCCACCAGGCATTTTGCGAACTTCCTAGGCAGTTTACAAAATGCCTGGCGGGTCAGGCATTTTGCAAAATGCCTGAGTTGTGATTGATTTATTTTACCGTTTTTGTTTACCACAGGCGTTGACCATGTCGCTCCCATGTGGATGAGCCCCAAACACATTCAATATTTACGAATATACCCACGTCTTGCGCCACTTCCGTCGAGATGGAACTGGTGTAGATTGGCACAGAGAAACATGGGCGCGGAAAAACGCGGCGACCAGCCGAATATTGACCCGACATTCTTCGTTTCCCGTGCTTATTTACATCTCGGCAAGAGAGGGCCGCAGCGACACGGGGTTGCCAGCGATCGATAGAGCAGAGACAAGCGTATCCAATAAACATTTTTGTTTATCACGTGTCACGTGGAAAGAAATGGTTTATATCTTGAGAAATCAGCCATTTTTGGTACATTTCAGGAAAAACTGCATTTAAAAAAAAACAATGGCAATGCATTGGAAATTGGAATGAGATGAGATACATTCCATAGACAAGAACATGTGGCTTTTCCGCTTTTCCAGAAAAGCAAGTTTTTGGTCATCCACGACCCACGTGCACACCTTTGTAATAAAAAGACGTTTAGAAATTACAAGGGCCCTGTTCATGAAGTCTGCGGTCGCTGCGGCCGGCCGCAGGTTCTAAGCCCCGCCCATTTTTTGAAACGTCATCACTCACTCGGCCGCAGCAGCGTTCCATGAACAGCGTCTGCTGCCGAAATAGTTTTTGACAATTGTTTACAACTGACGCACACCGCTAGAAAATTTGTTTACAAAATCGTCTCCATGACAACACGGCTTGCGCCTTTTTTACTTCAGTGCGCCAAGTTCAGTGCAATTAGTTTTCTTGCGGCTCGGCGGTCGCTGGATTGCGGCCGCAGAGATCGCAGCGGCCGCAGCAAGGTGACGTCATACATTCGTCATACTACATGAGCCCCGCCCCTTTTCGTGACGTAACAACCCGGCTGACCGCAGCGACCGCAGCGGCCGCAGCGACCGCCGGGGTTCATGAACAGGGCCAAGTTTTACATGCAACGGGCATGTTCATCTTTACACAGTCACAATGCATTGATAATGTAGACGTGTGGCTCGCCAACCAAGCTACCATAAATCGAAAGAACATTCTTTTCTGATCAATATCCACACAAAGTATTTCCAGCAGGGCTGCGGAATCGGAGTCGGAGTCGGAGTTGGAGTCGGTCGGAGTCGACAGTTCTGCCCGGAGTCGGAGTCGGAGTCGGAGTCGCCAAAATCCTACCGACTCCGACTCCGGAGCCGGAGTTAACGCTGCCTGCATGGCTCAGCGTCATGCACTGCACCTGTTTAATTGACGATACTGCGCTCGAAATAAGATTTTGTCGAAAAAAAGGTTATTTTGCTGTTTTGGACGAACGTTTACAGCGAAGGAAGCAGAAGACGGTGAATTCCTCAGAACCTGCTTTTTAATTTTGCATGTTATTTTTAATGCAAATTTGCAACGCAACCCCTTGGAAAGCACAAGAGATCGTTTCAGGCAAGATAAAAACATCTCCATTATGAACTTCAATATCATGATATGTATTTTAATAGAGCCGTCCGGAGTCGGAGTTGGAGTCGGAGTCGGAGTCGTTTTTTGAAGCCGGAGTCGGAGTCGGAGTCGGAGTCACCCTAAAATCCATCGACTCCGCAGCCCTGATTTCCAGAGCCATCAAGGCTCTGAGAAACATAACCGTGTTTAACGCGTGTGTTTACCGATAAAACCGCGCCGGGCGCCCGGTAGCCGGCGCAGCGGCCGGGCCGCACGCGCTGCCTGGGGCTCAGTGACATTGAACTCGGCAGCGCTACCCGGAGAATGTCTCACTGTGTGTCCTCCCACTTGGTGCGTATCGCTTGTGATTAACCCCTGTTGGCGGCACTTACAATGATGCTTACGCATCGTCGCTGGTGTGAGTTCGATGTCAGGCATTTTGCAAACTGCCTGAGAAAATAATTTCAGGCAGTTTGCAAAATGCCTGGTGGGCCAGGCAGTTTGCAAACTGCCTAGGCATTTTGCAAAATGCCTGGCCGGTCAGGCATTTTGCAAATTGCCTGGGCATTTTGCAAAATGCCTAGCCAGTCAGGCATTTTGCAAATTGCCTAGGCATTTTGCAAAATGCCCGAGTTTTCACTTTGCCTGTAACATATACATAGACGTAGTGATTTTGCTACCGTTAGTGGTTGAATCTCCCAGCGAGCCCAAAGGATCGTCGCATCCCCCCCTCCCCCTGCCGCCTTGACTCGAGTCCCCTGTGCCTCTCAGTGAGCCCAAAGAGTCGTCGACGGTGACCGACTCGGACGGCGAGGCCTCGGTGGCCAGCGTGCTCTACAAAGTAAACTCTGCCGACTCTGGCAGCCGCACGGTGACGGCGTCGACGACCAGCTACGCCGAGCAGCTGCCGGCCGCGTTCGCCGACGTCGGTCCGACGCGGCGACCGACCCGCACCCGGCTGGGTGTGCCCCTGTTCAGCCCGCGGCGGACCGAGCCGCGCACCTCGCCGCCGCCGGCCGCCAGCCAGCCGGCATTCAGGTAAAGATACCAAACGACATACATTTGCACGAGACCTGCTACCCCGGTAGTTTAGTGAACCAGGGCGTCCCCTCCAGAAAACTAGCCAGAAAAAATATCCAGCTAGTTGAAGTCAGATCTATCCATGTAGTTGGGGAGCCGTCCGTTGGATTCTGTTCGCCAATAGTCCACCGTGTTATTCCCTCAGCAAAGCTCATAGCAATTTATATTATTTGCTGAAGCCCTGCATAAGCCTTTGACTCACACCCGACATGATGATATCGACCCATTCTGACCCCTCCTCCCCTCTTTCGCCCTCCAACAGCCGGTTCCGGCAGGACCGTCTGCTGTGGCCTCCGTCGTCAACACCGACCCCTACGGCCTCTCCGAGCCGTCGGTCAGCGGTATCTGTACCACTGATTCCCACCTCGGACGACTTGAACCGGCCGCGGGTGGTGGTGACCAACGGAAAGCCGTTCGTGCCGCAGCTGAGCGCGCCCGATCCGGCGCCCAAAAAGGAGCCCGAAGAGGTGAGAAGGGATAGGAATCAGTGCTGGGGAGCAAGGAATAAGGGCTTGGGGAATGAGGAATGGCGCTCATGGGAAGCGGCGGACTGGGGACTGGGGCCGGGGGAGAAAAGAATGATGCCTGAGAAGAGTGCACGATCGGGAACGAGATGATGATAGGGTCTCACCGAGATAGACACTTCTTTTGACTGAGATGCTGAATAAGCGGCACATTCTAATGCATGAAGCAGAAACCACATGTGATCTCGGTGCTTCATCTGTGAAAGCTGGTATTGATGTAGTGTACCCTTGCGGTGGTGCCGTTGGTGATAGATGTGATGGTGCGGTTTCTGGGCTGTATTCACCACTGCCGAAAACGTCTATTTTTACTCGACCCAGCCCGATGGTGTGACAGCGTGAAAGCGATTATGCAATCTACTCCGCTCCCATGCACACGATAAATTCGGCTCTACGAGCCCCTATATTGTCGAGCCTCATGTGCCACGACGAACGTTAAACATTCATAGTTACATGAGCAGGCAACTATGCGTGTCCGTTTAGATATTAATCTGAACTTTTTCACGGCCTGGCGCAGCTAGAGAAAATCCTATAGAGCATTCAGCCCGTTTCTACCAAGTGATGGCGTGCTCCAGCCCATTCGCCTGACCCAGCTTGGGAACTGCCTCATTCTGACACAATTCTACGACCGGCACCGACCCAGAGAAGGAGCGCTACCACGACCCGTCTCACTCAAACCACCCCCTTCCAGGAGGACTTTCCGTCGCTGACGCTGCCCGAGACCAACTTCACGTGCGAGTCGAAGGTCAGCGGCGGCCACTACGCCGACCCCGAGACGGACTGCAGGATGTTCCACATCTGCGTCATGGGACCCGACAAGACGTGAGTATAGAGCGCCGAACGTGACGCGGCAAGAGTTGGTGGAGGTGCATGACGTGACGCTGCTCGTGACGTTGGTTGTGACTGCGTTCGTGAATGGTGACGGCTGATGTGATGTAGAAAGGAAAATACTCGTATACAGGCAAATATGTAGCGGCGGATTTGGTTGTGTTTTCCAGCTCCTTCTTACTAGCGTGCCCTATCTTTGCAGGATAACCGACTACAAGTTCCTGTGTGGTAGCGGGACAGCCTTCGAACAGAAATCCAGGACATGTCAGGAGATAGAGAAAATAGACTGTTCGTCATCAGCGAAAAATTATCACGTCAACAATCACTTAATCGTAACAAGTAAGTTGAACGGAGAACCCAGTAATTTCCCTCTGATTGAGCCAATAAGTGCTGTAGATATGAGCTGTATCAGTTGTTTCGTTTCTAATCTAACACAATCTCAAAACAAATAACATCTTAATCATTTTAAAAATATCTAGCGGTATCATGTCCGTACCAAGTTTTGTAGGACTTTACCTGTGTATTACAAGAGACTCAATTGATACCAATATCCTATTGCGATTAGTTAGAAGCCTTCCAAGGACCCCAACCGGACTTTCAGTGGCAGGCGAAATCATTGAATGAAGACTCCAGCTACCAGCCAGGCTCTCTAACCACCGATCGCCGAACACGTGCTGATCATCATAACAATGATACAATCTGACTAACCCTGTCCGACAGCGCCGGCTCCCGAGCCTACCACCTTCGAGTCGACCAAGACGGACAGCGTCTACGACTACGGGGACTACTACGACTACTACTTCGACTACCCCGAATACGGCGACTACACCAGTGAGTTTTCCGGTGACTACACAAGTAATCTCCTTGGTGACTACACTAAAAGTTCCCCGATGACTACACTAGTGCGTTCCCTGGTGACTACCGCAATACATACCTAAGTTCCCTTACCCATAGAAATCAAACTGAAGAGCACAAAGCACATATAGCCCTCGCTGATCTAGTTCCCATCTGTCGCCTGAAACTCACAAGGTTTCGTGTATCCGCTACCCATTCCCAGTAGTCTTAGACATCCGGTCCGGTTGGGCCAGGACCGGAAACGGTACAGATCCGGCCGCAGATAGGAGGGGAGCCGGCACCCGCCCGGGTTATAATGTCACCGGCCGTCCATGGACGTGGGAACGGCATAGACGTGGGTTCTTTCATTCGCACGTCAGCTACTTTCCAATCGATTGCCCATAGATATGATACCCGACTGTTTTTAACGGCCCACGTCACTCACCGCTGAATTCGTGCCAGTATCTGATCTGGTGGCAAATATGAGTGCTATTTATAATGTGACCTTTTCATTCGCAGGCTCGAGCGCAAGTAACACTCACACGCAGGGAGCAAGTTCAACGACCTACCGGTCGACATTCTGATGCAGGAAAAACTATAGGTAGGTAAATGACGTCTGAAATGTCAAACGGGACAGATATGCATGCAGATACGCTTGCTCTCCGTGGTAGTTTGCATTTCTTGGAAGTAATGAGTGATTATATCAGAGTAGCTAAATGTCAAAGTTATGCCAAAGCTACCTCGTTTCCGACCGTTCCATGCTTCTATCCTCGGATACTGAAATCCTTCTCCTCCACGCCGCAACCCCCTCCGGGCTGGACAGGCAACTTTATCTCATACAGGCTGCTCCCTTGGAGCGGCACCGCTGCTCCCGAGGGAGCGCACCCCGTAGCCGGGTGCAGTGAGTACCTCGGGGCTGGTCGGCCTGTCTTTTGGGACGGGCTCAGCCCCGGTGACTCACTAGGGTGCCTGCCCAGACCAATGTCTCCCCTAATTCCTATCATCCTTCCGGCTCTGAAATGGTCTAATTGGACCGAAAGGGCCTAACCCAACAAAACAAACCTCGTTCCAACATCCGCTTTATTGAGAGATTCATTAAAGCTAGATGGATGGAAGACTATTACCTTACGATAATTTACGATAAAACTCACCTGCTAACCAATCTTCATTAGTTACATCATCAACAGCATTGTTTCTTTTCAGCCCGGCAGTGCCATGCTCCTCACCAACAGTTACCGCCACACCACCGCCCGCCGTCTCTGGGACCAAAGGAACCCAAACTGCCGCCGTTCGCCGAGCCGTCCGCGACCGTGTCGCCACCTACCGAGCGGACTTCACGGGGCTCCGAGCTCCGAGCGGGACTCCTAAGGACACAGTGTGCCTCGCCGCGGATGGTGTCTTACCGGACCATAGTGTGTGTGCCGCGCGATAGTGTGAGTGGATATCACAAGGCTTCCTAGAGCAAACACACTGGCGCGGGCTTACTGCTTGTGGACAATAACAGACAGTGCGCAGACTTCGTGTAGCGCCCGGTTCGTGAATCGCTTAGAGTGATCAGCCATGAGGACACTGGAGTTTCGCAGTGCGCGCAGTGTGCTTGGAGTTTGACAGAGGTGAATGATTTGAAGTGCATTGTGCAGTGTGTGTATACCTTACAGGTGTCCATAAACTGATTGGCGAATTTGCAGGCGATGTGCCGATCAGGGGGCCGATTTTCGAGTATTTAATATTCGATCCAGAGGCTACGGGCACATTGGAGCTCGATTAGCATCCTGCCCGAGCGACTACTACATATGTTGATGCATTTGTGGGTATGCTTGTTGGAATCATTATGAGGCTAGTTTCAGTCTGTATGCTGTGCGTTCGTTCAGCTGCAGCTGCTGCCTATCGGTCGCAGTCTGAAGCTGCGCGTGTTGCGGTTGTATTTATACGTACCTAGCGCCGTTCCCGAGCGGCCATATTTAATTTAATTGCCGTAGCTGATGTTCCTGTTTTATGTAGGTAATGTGTCGTGTCGTGTAAGGGCGAGTTGTGGCACTGCCGCTGTCCATTCCATCAAATACAGATGCTGGGCGGCCTGGCCCCGTGTACAAAATGAAATGGGCGTCTCACGAGGAAAAGGAGGGCACTGGTTTGGCGTCATGTTCACCCCAATCAAAGTTAAAACAAATAGATGGGCTGAAGGGTTGTAATGGAAAATATCCTCTTGGAATTAGTGTAGTTTCCTCCTTGTTAACTTCTGGTTGTTATAACATTCAATCGTTTCAATGGCAAGCAGATAGGTGATAAATGTTATTTGCACACAAATATTAGCCTCATACGAGTGACACAAATCGTCATCCATCAAATCATAGTAAAAGACTGCAAATACATATACTAACATTGCAAGTACCAGGCATTGCAGTTGCATGCTTGAATGTAAGCCCTTTACCCGATAAATCTTTATCGGCTCCTGAGGAAATTGCCTCAAAGAATGACAGCTCAGCTTCGAAAAAACTGTCAGCACAGTACCCGATACACCAACTCCTACGAACAGCGCATGGATCACAAACATAAGCCGTTTAGTTGCATTCACGTATGTCACTCATTTCCGTCAGTCGGTGTGGCGCCTCCTCTCGGCAGCATTACCTGACGGCGACGGCGGCCGGTGGCTACTCTCCGCAGGCGCCTCCTCACTGCCATCTGGCGGACAGACTGCCAACGTGATGTCCGGACTGCGCGCGGCAGGTGTCGCTCCCCACGAGCACATCGAAGACACGGAGGTGCGCCGGGAGTCGAACGCACGCGGCGCCAGCAGGCTGCGGCGACACGGGAGCACATGGTCAGGTGTGATTGTCAATGAGCTTTTCAGAGACACCAATCTTATATAAGATACAGCAGTACAAAAGACAGCATTCTTTCTGTTCGATTGAAATTCACAAATCTAGGTTGGGTGCATTGCGGTACAGCCTAGCTGCAGGCGTTCACTACCACTGCCATCTAGGAGCGGTAATAGAAAACACGGCTTCCTTCATCTTCCCCGAACTGTCGTAGAAGCTGGCCGCAATACGAGTCGACAGTGATGCACATGGATCGACGTGCCAAAGAACATCGAAGGTAAATTAATACGTGAATACAAAAGGAAAGAGACCTATATTTGTTTTGATTTCATGATTGTAATACAGTGGACACAACCGTTGCTGGCATCACAGTGACGACCGTGGTTTGGACGATCCACTGCGGTGAGTCGACTCACTTGTCGATGGCGCGGACGGACCCTGCCGAGTCGCGCTCCGTCAGCGCCAGCTCCAGGCTGGTGAGCCGCTGTTTGAGCGCCTGCTGCGACCGGCCATACTCGGTCATCAGACGCGAGAAGCGCGACTGAAGCTTCTCCACCTCCGTCTCTGGAGGGGTAACCAAAGACTGATAGGACGAGGGCACCACGAAACAGCCTGTGATCCTACCGAACATTGTGAATTTGATTTTTGCAAAATTAGCAGAATCATAAACGAAGTACTTGATCAGCTGCTTACTAGCTTGCAAATGCAATTTCGTTTAATCTGAGACTGTTGTACTAAAAGATGAACGATCTGAATGTTAATTTTACAAAGCAAATATTTCGATTTTACGACTACTAGCTGGGTGATCTACTGATGAACTATCGATGCCAATTATAACTCACCGAGATGTGTGATCTGTTCGTCGACATCCGCCGCTTCCTCCGCCTCCGCCGCCTCCTCATCCAGTAGTCCATCCTTCTGCAGAATCTGTCTACCCCGCTCCAGCAGACTACGACGTGCCTCCGGGTAGTCGTTCAGCGTCTGCCACAAGTCATCCTTGGAGAGACAGAATAGATCCGAGTAGCCCACACTGCGCACGTTCGCCGTTCGCCGGTTCCCGATCTTGTTTCCGGGGATATTCATGATACTGATCTCCCCAAACACACAACCTGCATGGAGCGTGGCAAACACGGTCTTCCCGTCATCTGAAACAACCACTACCTGCCCTCGTTTGATGATGTACATCTCCTTCCCGACGTCGCCTTTGCGGCAGATGTAGTCGGCCGGCCCGAACACCTGGAGCCTCAGTCGGAGCACCAGCTCGACAAGCAGGCCGGGCTCGCAGTCCTGGAACAGTCGCACCTGGCGCAGCGCCTCGAGGTGGACATGAATGGCAATCTCCGCCTTCAGCTTGTCAGGCAGCGTCTTCAGAATACTCTGCTCGTCGAGGGACTGCTTGTTGGACCAGAGGTACTCGAACCATTCGATGACTCGTCTCTCCAGCGCTTTTCCGACCTTGCGGAACTCCATGTACTGTTTGACGCTGTCCATGCGGCTCTGAAACTCGGCGCGAGCTCTGTTCATGTTTGTGATCATCGACCCGACGTTACCGACCACAGTGGCGAAGATGAGCACGCCTGCGAGAAAATCCAGCGTCACGAACACAAACTCGACATCTTCCACAGGCTGCGGCGTCTCGCCGATGGTGGTCAGCGTCAGCGTAGACCAGTAGAAGCTGTAGATATACTGATGCGACAGCGTACCGTTCACTCCAGGCGTGATGTTGCGGTACACCCACTGATCCGTGCCAAAGCCGATGGCATAGCTCAGCGCGAAGTACAGACAAGCGTTCCAGTGGATCAGCACCAGGATGTACAGCACCACCTTGCTGATGCGGAAGGCGTTGGGGAAGCTGGTGCGCGTCTCGGTTCGCTCGAAGAACTGTGTCATACGTGGGTAGCGCAGCACGCGGTTGATGCGCACCACGAACGGACAGGGCATGCTGAAGCTGCACTCGGTGCCCAGGTAGAGGTACAGCAGGTCGGTGGGCAGGATCGACAGCACGTCCAGGACAAATCCCGGCGAGCGGGTGTAGTTGTGGCGCAGCTTCACCGGGTCCCGCACCAGCAGACCCTGCTCCAGGTAACCTGCCGAGTGAAAGAGACACTGATAATGCCGACCCAAAGTAAGATGAGCTGAATCAACATTAGAATTTAGATCATAGAATATGGATGTATATCAGATGAAATACAATTCTAGAGAACATGGCAAGTTACAAACTAAAGACTCAAGATATTACAGAGACTACAGCCATCCGTATACATACACTCATGCGCCTTGATAACCATGTCAGCGATGTAAATTGCGTCGCAGAGGTAGTCGAGCGTGAACCACACTCCGCCGGCGACCGTCTGCAGCTCCCAGAACACGGTGCGTCCCACGATCAGCGTCAGGTTGTATAGCACCGTCAGAGTCATCACTAGCAGCCACTGGAGGATAGGACAGACGGAGACGGTGAATTTCAGTCATATTTGTGGGTATCTATAGGAGTCTTGGTTGTGGGATGAGCTGCACTAACGTTACAAGGATTAGGAGTCGATTAGGAAGGAGCATCTATTTGGATTAGTCACGACTGAATAGCAAAACCGCCTATTTAAATGGGTATCAAAACCGTATCATGCTGAACTATGCCTCATATATTAAAATTTAGATAACCTCACACAAAAATTGGCTTTGAATTTATAACTACCAGATATCTGGAGGTGTAGACACTGATTAACCAAGCTTACACATACCGAAACATTACACGGCTGAGCCGGACGCTTGCCATCATTGCCTGCGGCTGTATCCACTCACCCAGTAGTGGAAGGACTTGGACGTGTCCACTGTGAAGTAGCCGGGGATCAGGCCGAAGCAGAAGGTGTGCTTGTCATCACCAGTCTCTGTGCCGTACACATCCCCATCGGCCACCGTGTGGGTGAACTTTTCCAGGAAGGAGTCAGAGCCGTCCTCCGACCCAGGGACGACCTTTGGTCGCCGGCCGGCCCAGGATCGTAACACCTGACTCAGTCGCCACGGAGGGATCTTCCTGCCGCTGACCATCTTCTCACCGCCCAAAGGTGGTATTGAGGTGGGAGCGAACCTCCCTCACGCTCGAGGCAGAACTGCTAGACAGCAAGGTGTGTTATCCAGAAAAAGGTCACTTAGTAGACAGATGATCAGTATTGTAGCGCATCAAAACATATTATATCTTTGATTTAGAAGGATATGCATTTTTTACGACCATTGACAAACATTTGCAGGGAGAAAGTCGAGCTAAGGATTAGCTTAATCACAAATCTATTAAGCAGCTGACTCGACAATACATGGACCCCATGCAATAATATATATTTAATTGCCCGGTCCGAACACTATACCAGACATTATTCGGTCGCTTTCCCAAGGGTGTTTTAAAATAATGTCCGAACGGAGTGAGGACATTATTTTATCGAAAATAGCGTCCGAACGGAGTGAGGATGCTATTTTCGAAAATTGCACGAATGAAATGAGTGCAATTTTCGCATTGAATGTGCGAGCCTGCGAGCACATTCAATGAAAACACCCTTGAGGAAAAGCGACCGTATCATGGCTGGCATAGTATTCGGACCGGGCACTTAAATTTATTATAGTAAATTTTTGGCACCGAGCACCAACGCATCTCTGAGAAAGAGTTCGCTTTTGGGCTTCGACATCAAGGAGGGGCACGGAAGATAGGGGGGGGGGGGGGGGTAGCAAATGGGTAAAGCTTTGGGCGTATAATGAAAATTATTGCCAATGGCCTTTAAGACACGATGGGCGAATAATGAAATTAATCTACCACTTGGTCTCACTATACCTTTACAAATTGTACATTGCCTACCACGTCGTATTTTGCTTGAAATTCATCCCCGATTTCTCAGATATTTCCTGGTAAACATGCGAGACGCGTCTGTTACTTTTATTAGACATTCATGCTACGAAGTAATTGCGAGTGAGGAGTAAGCGTTGCGGAGACATGCTTTGTCTTATTAGTGGGGAAATGTCGTTGCGTTCTCTCATCTTTCCTATATTTTGACATCCAATATCCATGAAGGTATGATAACAAGCGTCGATCTTACTACGAACACTGGCTTCTGGCAGTGCTGTTCTTCCCGTTTTGTAAGGGTCAGCGTCAATGGCTCTTTTCACTGGCTCTTAAGGACTACATGTGCCTCGAAATCTGCCTTCTAGATTTATGCATAACCTGCTAATCCATCTCTTTGAAATAAATACGATAAGTCATCACAATAAGGCTGTGTTCTTGCCAATATTCACTTGTCCACCTGTTTCGCAATTTACTTTATTCCAAGCTACAAGCTTCCATGACCGGATTTTTATTGAGGTTTCAGTCATCGAACGCATTGTTCAACAGGGAGCTTTTGAAGAGAAGAAAACTGCCGTATAATGAAATTAACCGCCGTGTTTTTATGCATGGGTTTTGATAGGCATTTCCGAGTTTTGGCGTCGACTGAAATTAACCGTCTCTCGCGCTTCTGGCTTTCAGCAGGCCACCTTTATACAAAAATTTAACTGAACTTTTTTAACATGCGTCGGTGGCAAAAATGTACTATAATGAACACTTATACTCTCACCGTACTGTAGAAATTATCTTGAGCACCGCAGTCTTCGAAGCTATCGTCACAAAGCCCTCCAACTAGTAAAGAAACGAATACCGACCAAGCGACCAGGTCGAAGCCTTAGCAATTCCAACCCAGCCTCCTAAACCACCACCTTTCTCTCGTCTCTCCTCCAAACTCCACTGGCCCTGCTGCCGCACAGAGCCTCCTATCCTCCCGGTCCCCCAGCCATCCCCTCCACCGCGGCGCACCGCTTTATTAGGCTGTCGATGCGCGGTCGATTGTGTCCTTCGTAACCACTCCTGGCGATCGCATCACGTTCGAGCGGTGTTCCGGGAGATACTGGACTCCGGCCCTGGCAGAGCCCAGGCAGGACCATCACCGCCTTTTTGAAACCGACTGATAAGCTCAAATTATTCGTATTTTAGCGGCTGGCTCAACCATGACCGATTTTTCTTTGCGTTTTTTTATCATGCATTCTGCTGTACTAGTTAAGTCGATAAGAAACAACAACAAATACTGAAACACAATTCTATTTGTGCAGCCACAGTATAGTATAACGTGAACATAACACAACAAACCACTGAATATTTTCTCTTTGCCACACCGTACGTGGTCTGTCTCCATTGAGATCAATTCCGATCACTTCGTCCATGAGCGTCATCACCTTGCTCCATTCTACCCGCTCAGTGACGTCACATGCCATCCAGTGACGTCATCCTCACTGCTCCCCCGATCACACAACTCTCTGTTGGTCTTTCGTGAGTGAGAGTCGGTGGTTACTCCTCTCCCATGAGCGGGAGGAACACCTCTGCGTCCGGGAAGATCCGGAGCTCGCCGGCGCCGATCGGACCCCGGTTACACATCGGGCACGGGTCGTCCGACTCGACGAACCTGTGGAGACAGAAGTGTGTTCACAAATAAAGCGATGAAGAAGTTACAGACCATACACGGGTCGGCCGGCTCGATATACCCGGGAAATACAAGCAGGATATGTTACATACCAGAAGCTACCTCCCTAGTCCGCTTACCTCACTGCATGCTCCCCTCTCCCATTTTCTGTTCCACCACACTCCACATCTGCCCTCTTCAATCTTTCACTCACTTGGCCAGTTCGGACCGTATGGCCGGGAAGTGGCAGTAGGGACACTCGGTGAGGTCGCCCTTCACCACGTGCCGACCGGACGCGATGCAGTAGGGCAGCGTGCGCTTGCACTTGTCGCAGTTGAGCTCCGTCTCGGCGATCATGTTCTCGCAGAACGGGCACGGAGAGGGGAACTCCTCCTCCTCGGCTTTGGCCGGCTTCCGCACCACCGCCTCGATCTTCTTCTTGTACTTGGGGTCCACCTGTGCACGGAGGGGTGGAAGGGAGGGGGTGAGGATGGATGACGGGGTGATAATGCAACACTCAATCCTGACAGGCACTCAGCAGGGCACGGCGGATCGACACTTATTAAATATTGACCAGCCACCATGAAACATATTTGTGCCTGGCTAAAACTTAGCAAATGAATATTTTAAAACATTTATCTGACTGTTTCACGTCAGCATTTTTATGTCTGTCGTCTTTAACGAAACGGCAGCGACGTTCTCCTGCGAGCTGCAACTGACCTGGTCCTTGTACTCTGGCTTCATGAGGGTGGCGGCGAACTGGAACGAGGACTTCTTCAGTCCGGACCGCTGGCACTCGATCACAGTCGACGTCAGAATAGGCACCGTGTCTGTGGAACAGTGACGTCACACTGGGCACCGTGTTTGTGGAACAGTGACCTCAGAATGGGCACCGTGTCTGTGGAACAGTGACGTCACAATGGGCACCGTGTCTGTGGAACAGTGACGTCACACTGGGCACCGTGTCTGTGGAACAGTGAACAGTGATGGGCACTGTGTTTGTGGAACATCGACTTCACGACCATTGGGCGTCAATAACTGCCGTCAGAATAGGTTAACTATAAGTTCGTTTTTTTTCAAAAGGACGCTGGCTCAAAGTGCAATATCGTAGCTCTCACGTGAGTTCTGGCAGCTTCAGTGTCTGGCCAAGAATTTCTTACCGAAAAAATAATCAATTTCAAATTGTGCACGGTAAGTAACTGGAAATTGTTTCTTAAAAATGAACATACTATACTGACGTCACTGGTGGCAGCAGGCACCCAAATGTCCGTGCAATGGGACAAGTGTCAACGAATTTGGGTGAAACTTAGTTTTTCACTGTTGCCGAGCATAATCGAGTGAGCGGTTCCGTCCATGATAGTTATACGTTACATTGCAACACATGTTCGACAGCATGACGTCACCACTGTTCCCATATCTGGTTCCAAAACGCACTTATGGAAATTATCGGGAAGAAGTCACATGTTAAAATTAGTCGACGTTCGATTTTCTCAGGTTCAGTTTTTGCCACTGAACTCTAATATATACTGGAAGGAGCATTGGTGACTTGTTTTTGTCTATCGATTTCCGCCATGTTGTGTATACCAGAAATATAAATTGCATGTACGGTAGCAGAGGTGCAGTTTAGTGAGAGGTACACTACTCAAAAGTGCTGCTGCTTCATGCTTGCAGTTTGATTGCAGTGATCAACTTTTCAAGACTTTGGTATACACAACATGGCGGAAATCGTTAGACATTCTGGCCCATATACGGCCAAGGCGAGTGCCTCCCCTTGGTTTTTGCTCGTTTTGGCGGCTAAAACACGTGCTTGTTCGAAAAACATGCTTGGACCCAGCGTCCTTTTGAAAAAAAAACGAACTATACCTCCTGTAACCTCAATCTGTTATGATCGCACAGATAACTAAGAGATTATTGGTTAATTTTTATAATTGAACTAATTTCAGTTCATCAACTCATTTGACCCATCTGTTAGCTACTTTTTTGCTGTTTTCCATCTGGCTGCAACCGCTTTGCACTGGCTAAACGGACCCTGACATTCTGTACCATGGTCGGACTGGGTGTCAGGAGAGGTGTCACTGTCACCTCTGACACCTGACTGACCAGTAACGACACTGACAGCTCTCCCCACCCTATACCCATGGGACAGAAATCACACCACAATTAGTCAGAGCATCGCTCACAGAGGGCGATTCCTCACAGGCGGGGCGGGGAGATGCTATTGGATTTACTAATGCACTCACAGGCGGGGAACTTAGAGATGTTGCTGAACAATGTACTGAACAATGATGCTGTTAACACTTGTTAACACTCACGGGCTGGGAACTTCGAGACGCTGTTGGACAAAGTACTTACGGGCGGGGAGCTTGGAAATGCTGTTGGACAATATACTCACGGGCGGGAAACTTTGAGGTACTGACTGTTGCATCTATCAAAACTCACGGGCGGGGAACAGTTTGAGATGCTGTTGTACCGTATACTCATGGTGGGGAACTTTGAGATGCTGTTGGATTTGTATAACGCACGTGCAGGGAGCTTTGAGATGCTGATGGACAGTGCACTCACGGGCGGGGAACTTTGAGATGCTGTTTGGACAGTGTACTCACGTGCAGGGAACTGTAAGATGCTGTTGGGTTTATGCAACTCACGGGCGGGGAACTTTGAGATGCTATTGGATTTGTTTAACTCACGGGCGGGGAACTTTGAGATGCTGTTTGGACAGTATACTCACGTGCAGGGAACTTTAAGATGCTGTTGGGTTTATGCAACTCACGGGCGGGGAACTTTGAGATGCTATTGGATTTGTTTAACTCACGGGCGGGGAACTTTGAGATGCTGTTGGACATTGCACTCACGGGCGGGGAACTTTGAGATGCTGCGGGCTATCAGTGTACTCACGGGCGGGAAACTTTGAGATGCTGTTTGATACCCTGATGAGCAGCCGTGCGGCGATCAGATGCTCGTTGCGCTTCACGTGGATCCTGGCCAGGATGTACGAGTGCAGCAGCATCATGTTGGAGGCCAGCTCACTGGGCACGCGGATCTTGTGCTTCCGCAACTCCTGGTACATGCCCAGTAGCATATCGTGCGCGTTCCTGGCAGGAAAATATAACATGGTTTATGCGCAGGGTCAGCTTCTGATCAGATTTGCTTATCGGGAAAAGAGAAGAGAATACCTACATAAATAAAATAGCACATTTAGTCAAATGGGCAAAGTCATGACATTTTCACCGACCAGCCCACACAATGTAACTAATTGCTTTGCTTTAGCAATAACAGTCCCCAGTTGACATTTACCCAATTCACCTTTTAGTTCTCAGATCTAGCATGAGTTGCTCGTGACCATTCTTGGAAATCAGTATTACCGCGGTAGTTCATGGGCCGCCCACGTATCAAGTAAATGTCACAGACCCTTTTCCTCGACCTTGTTTGTAATTGATCGCTCGCAAAGGCACAAAGCCCACCAGCAAGTTTGGCACCAGTATTAGATGACGACCGGCCCACGTTTGCATGGTTAAAGGGACCCTCCCACCTTCAAAAAAGTTAATGAATTGGCATGAAAGTGTTGTCGCTCGGTTCAGAAAAAGCAAAAACGAATATCTACCAAATTTCACCGAAAAATATTCACCGGTTTTCAAAATATAAGACTTTTACTTTTGTTTACTTTTGGGATCTCCGCTGTTCCTGGCGACTTCATTTTGGAAATGCGGCGTTTGCGGCAGATTTTGCGCGCAAATAGCACATACCACCACTGCTTCACAAAGGTGTTAGTATAAGGTTTTAAAATCGTTAGATCACCGCTGACGTCCCAAATTCTAAGGGGGCATTCCAATGCATTAGCCCCTTAGAATCCGAAAACTGCAAGTTTGAAATTCCATACCTCCGAATTAAAGCATTTTTCGATGTTGTGAGTGCCCAAACCGGTATTTGCAGGCCATGGCCACCAATTTGGCTATCTCAACTCAAAACTAATGTTAGGTGGGATGGTCACTTTAAGTAGCAAACCTGAGATTCCCTGCGGCCCATACGCTCTTCGGCACAGGCCATGACCGTTTCGCTTCATTGTACCCCACTAATACCACAAACCTGTATGAGCCGACTTTCTGTTCCTCCTTGGCGATAATAACAGCCGTCTTGGCCGACTCCCTGTACATCTTCCTGGCCATGTAGAGCCGGAACAGGTACTTGGGGTCCTTGGGCACGCCATCCTGTTCTCCCAGCAGGAAGTCGATGAGCTGCTTGGCCAGACCCTCCGAGTTGGCCTCGCCGACCACGTCGATGGCGAGCATGATGGCGTCGGCCTCCTGGGCGCCCTGGGCCGACTTCAGCAGCAGCTTCAGGCCCTGCCAAAGGATGGTGGAGCGGTGATGAAGATGATACTAAAAAAAATACTCAAACTGGATAGTGCAGGTTTGATCGACTGGTGTAGAAAAAACTAGTTCAACTTGGTTATGGTGACGGACAAAATACCTAAAACCGAGCACCACAGATGAAACATGATTGCATAACGCCGTATTAAATACGCATCATGATGGTGAACTCTTCCTTGTTGATGGCGCGGCACTTGAGAGCGCTGACAGGTAGACGCAGTTCAGAGGCCCGTCTGTGTGGGCGAACGCTGATTGTATAACATCCCCACCCCTGATGTTGAGCTTTGGGACGTGTCATCAGTTCCCGTCGCGTCAGCACCACTCGATCGGCCGACCCCACACGTGTCACCTCGATCGGCCGCCCCTCGACCGGCCGGCGCCACGAGCCGCGGCAGTCCATGAACTTTACGTCAGTCCGTCAGTAACAGAGCCTGTCATCATCATCCCTGAGTGCCAGATCGCACGGCAACAAGGCATGGCGTTCGGTGATGACATAACACCTCTACTCATTTACTAATTAATGAAGAATCCATGGATGTATTTACCTACTAAACAAATTTACCCGCCAACGCTGTCCATCACCTTACGACTATACATAAGAAAAGCTCAAAGAACACACAAAAAGCCAAGGACACAAAACAGCAAATGACGACTGCCTGTTGCACTACGACAGCGTTCTTTGTCCATTCTGAAAACCAACTGATCCATAATTGTTCGACTGGCCAAGAATGGCTTAGAGCCGAGCCTCAGTAAGCGACCCATGCAAGTGCAGCCGAACGTTCACCCATACCTTGGTGGAGTCTCCGGAGAGATGGTGGAACTTGCCGGCCAAGAAGTAGTTCATCGAGTTCTCGTAGTGCAGCGCCATGCTGCGGTAGTCCTCCGGACGACCGTCTGGGGGTGGAACGGGAGACTGGTGAACGAGACCAGCGCGAGCGTAAGTCAAAACCGAAATAAAAGAGCACATTACTAGTCACAGGACCGAGCCTGGATGCAGACAGAAAGCACAGAAAAAGTGAGCTGACAGTGGATTACCGATCCTCACAATTAGCTCTCCGTAAAAAGAAATGTCGACAAATTCAACGGGTGCCAATTTATTTAGAACCAATCACCGCGTTTCGCAAACACACAGCGAGGATGGTGAATATCGATGAGTCAGAGGTGAACTATTCTGAGACTGCGTAGTCTAAGTATAGCAGTAGCAGCAGTCATTCACGCACATCTGACCTTTCGTCAGACCCATTATGTCACATAGAACTTTTACGCAATATGGTGCGTGCCGTACGTCGCTGTCAATAATATCGGCACTATTTCGGGCTACTACAGAGTGGTCCCAAAGACTGATCTACAGAAATAAGCTAGTTTAGACGTGGACTGGACAGCATGAAGATCCGCATGACAGGACTCAGTAGTCAGCACGCCCGAAACAACCGCAATGGAGTTCGATGTGTGAACCAGCCATGCTTGAGAACTTTAGACCACTGGTTTCCACGGGAACTTTTTTCATCAATTATTTTAGCAATGCAGACCTCCTAACCTACTTTACTTTCAACAGAAGAGTCAGCTACATTTTGTAGAAATCCAGATTGCCAGAAGTGTTTCCACATAAATCCCAACTGGCGAGGACTCACCGTTTCCGATAATATCGGCGAATGTGTCCATCTTGCCGTGCTTCTGAGCCAGCGTGAAGGCCTCCTCAATACACTTGGACATGACCAGGAACTGGATCGCCGACGCAAAGTCGCCCATCTTCATGAAGAACCTGAAAGTCAAAGTTATCAAGAATAAAACTTGCGCGAAATTCGGGCCTTTTAGTGTATATTCGCTAAATCTGACTAAGCAAGCCAAACGCGTGTATCCGACGGTATGGTCGAATTTCTTCAGCTAAACGAGCGCTACCGGCCATTTACATTCTATCCTAAGTCAGACATCATTCCCACCCCAGCTGTCTCTACCCCTCCCTCAGGACCCCTCCTCGTTCTCCCACTCACTCACTTGGCCACCAGCCGCGCGCCCTCGACGCTCTTGCTCTCCTGGACGATGTGGACCGCCTGCTGGGGGTTGTTGAGGTGGTCCAGCAGGATCCTCACCATGCTGTCGTACTCGCGGGCCGTCTCGTAAGCGGCCAGCGCCTCCTTGTACTTGCCCTCCGCCTCGCGAGCCTGTCAATGGACGACAAACGTAAAACAAAATTGATAATGATCTAAGTGATTCAAGACTTTGAAAAATAAACTGCTACACCCTAGGTTCAAAAGCTAGCTTATGTTGCACACAGGTGTGCTTGAAAAACCTTATGATTTACATCATTCACCTTACTGAAAAAAAAACTTTCACCAGTTCAGTCAATTGTACAAGGTTTACCCTTGGGTTTGCCTAACAATCAGCTTCAAAACTAAAAACAAAAGCTCACGCCGTTAAGCGCGAGAGACCCACGAGCCCACCGACCTTGGCATACTGTGAGTGAATCTTGAGGCTCTGGACCTGCGGCAGGAGTTCGGCCACCTTGTTCCAGTTCTTCAGCTTGATGTACATCTGGGCGGCGCGGTCGTACAGGCCGGCCTTCTCAAACAGAACGGCCGCCTCGTTGTATTGCTGTTGGCAGGGGAGGCATCAGTGGATAGCAGTCAAAGGCTCCACGATCCCAAAGACCGGGGAGCTCGGGGAAGCAATATCACACATTGCCCTAGCGGCTGCTGATACACGACAAATAATTTCAGGCTGGAAATATGTGTGCCCGTGTTACAGAACATATTCACTTCATCAGATAACGTCATCTGCAGTTGCACAGTACAAAGTTAAAATGCAAAGCAATGCGGTACAGCCTATATTCAGGCGTTAAGAACTAGTGCCATCTACAGACAGATCCGGCAGCACAGACGTGGAAGCATCTCCTCATTCATTTTGCAAATTAATTGATGATATTCTTTGTCTCAGATTGCACGATTTCATAAGCATTTCAAATACATTACACAATACCCATGCTCACATTTTCATGGAAAAAATCATGAAAAAGGAACGAAGTGTGCCTATCAACAGCCACGAAGACACATGACAGGTTCTATGTTCTGAAGTTGCATTGTCATCTTCTGTAATGTCAGCAGGCAGGCGAGAACAGGGAGCTGTCATAGGTTACCTGTCAGTTATCAGACACTTCGGCGAACCGAGCGCATCGGTGGGCCGTCGTTGGGCCAGCCGAGCCACGCGTCAGCTTTGTATTTCACGGAATCGAACATACGACTTCCACATAGCAGATCTATGGAAATGTAACACACATGTTGGTATAACTAATGTGTGTAATATAATAATATAATAATGCCAGCAAGTTGAATCAGGGGGAAGCAGCGCTCCAGCTCGGGTACCGAAGCACCAGGAAGCAAAACAAATGCCAGCAATTTACGTTGTAGCATTGCCTAAAGATCAAAATGCATTAAAGGACAGCAATAAATCAAAGGCAGGAAGGCTATACAGCATGGCACATGTTCGGACAGCGGCTTAACCAGAATCGATGCCATATCGTATTGCTTTATGCTTATGAGGCAATACGGTATGGCATCGATGGAGTTCAAGAGGAAAGGCGTTAAAGGTTAACCCGTATCATAAGATGGCCAGCGTCGACCATGAGTACGAAGCCGGTTAACACTACCGTCTTTTGTCCACTGTTTTACAGCATGTGCAATGTGCATAGAAAAGACAACCTACCAAAAAGCATACACCCTGAGTTCCAGACAACCGTGCTTGGGCTTTCACAAGCACGGTTCCCTGGCGAGGAGTTGGGCTTCCCCAGCTCATCGCCACCCGCAACATTATATTCCAATCCAATGCTTGGGGAAAACTCTATTTCAAATTGAAAACTGCACCCAGCACCCTTAAAAGCAAAAACCGACAGCGTTGATCGTCAGCTAGCTGCTAGATGATGCAGGCGGCAAAGCATACCAGCCGTTCCACGCGGCCTCTGCATACAATGCAAATATGAAAACCTAGACAGTCGTCGCGCCAGGCACAAGAAAAAAAAAACAATGGAGGGAGTTCAGACAATGGAAAGTGAATGACGCAATTCGCTGCCGTCCAATCGCCAGGCGGGCTTTGAATATGTATCAGTCTCACCCAGACTGCTCCTGTCCAGTGTAGTGAAAATCGCCCCCGCTTTATCTGGTTATGGGCCGGTGAGAAGCATGCTACCACCCACAGGCTCGTTTTTCCAGCATCGACAGCCGCCTGAAGTGGAACGCTGAAACAGCCATCGCGGCGGCGCCGTAGATATCGAGGCGGCGCGTAAGAGGACCGTGCCACGAGTAGGAGTGGATACTGGAAGAGGATATGACCGTGCTATGCTTTACTAGTGTACAGCAATGCAGTCAACTGACCTTCATGCCCTCGAGGATTTCGGCGCATTCCTTCTTGAGCAGCTTGCTCGGCGAGTTGGCGGCGAGCTGAACGCCCTTCCGGATGTCGCCACAACGAATAGAACATCTGAAACGAACAAATAAACTCTGTTAAAAAATCACATACTTACTCCGACATTCCGATCCAAATTTCAACAAGACCATTTCCAGTCAATGTCGCAGTCCAACTGTAACCGAAACTGCGTCACGCATGGAGTTCCGTTTGCGTAACCTGACCGTGGTATCCGGGTGGAGCGCGTCCGTCACACCCATCGCAAGTGAAATCTCCGTCGACTACGGCCGAGCGTGGTGCAGAGGCCTCACCACGGCCCGGGTCGGCGCCCGGCCGAGCCCGGGGACCACCGCGCCGCGCCGGTCGAACAGGTCGGCTACGGCAGTGAGTCATGAATGAGGATGGAGCGACGAATGCCTATCTGTATTCCAAATCACTCTGAATTTCCGATGCTTCGCAATATGAGCAGTCGATGTGCCAACAGACCTGCAGCGCATCCGGACATCCGTCAACTAGCGCAATCACTCTGGAACACTGCGCAATCCGGCGCCTCACTGCCCGGTCTTCCTCAGCGCAGCACAGTGGCGGAGGCCCATTGGAAGCCGCGATGGGATACTCCATGTCGCCGTGGGCAGACACCCTGCCGTTGACCTCATCTCACTGACGAGCTGCGCCGCGGCAGTGGGCGTCCAGCACCGCTTTCACCTCCCGCCGTACTGCACCAGACAGCGGCCGTCAACACGGGCGTCGACCGGGTTGGGGTCGGGCTGGGACGCGTATTGTGTATGTAGGGGAGAAGGGTTGAGGGTGAACAGGGGACGGCGGATCAGGATGGGATGGGATGGCAGTAGGTCTCGGCTGACAGGTCCGGTGGGGCGGGCCGATAGGACAAGATCGGCCCCGTGCCGTGAGGCGGCGGGGGAGGCCGCCGGACCGGCCGCCCCCAGAGAAAGTGGTGGCGAGCGGCGCGCATCCGGCAGTCAGTCGGCAGTCAGTCAGTGTGCGCGGCTCGCGAACGGTCGGTGATCAGTGACCCCCAGCCTGTGATTGGTGACCCGGCGGTCGGCCCACAGTGACCTCTGACCTCAGGTGAACAGGGCTACAGAGGACGGTGACGACTGGTCGCTGATAGAGCGGCAACATGTGGAGACGGGTACGTTCGCACGGACATCGAGCGCGACTTGATGTAAAACATCAAACATTCGTTTAAGCATCCTCGTATAACCCTTCCTGTAGACACGCTTAGGCATGTTAATATCAGTATCATTCTATTCAATATCATTCCAAGGCGACATGCATTGGTCGACTGTCTCAGTCATTTCCTGAAAATACGAATTAAAACCGTCGACAGAAGTGGGAAATCGAAAGGTGACGTGAACTGCGTCCCTTACTGCGCCTCTAGTGGCTGTTACTGACAAGAGCCATGCGGAAGGGCACTCGCGAGCTGCGACAAATGTCACTGTCATTACCTTGTATGAGTGTCATGTTCTGCCACACGTTGGTGGGGGACAGTCATATGTAGAAAATAATTGAAGTAAATCATACGGAAACACCACTAGCATAGCGATACTAAGATGTAGATAAATACTGGTACTTGGTAGCCGGTAGGGTATAAGGTTGGGACTGAAGTTCTTCCATGGAGTTATAAGCCGGTGAACCCAGGCCCCAGCGACCCCGACGGCGCCGGTGACAGCCTATGACCACCTGTCCCGATGTCGCAGGTCGGTGGCCTCCTGCCGGTGCTCGTGGCGCTTGTGCTCCTGCTCCCTTCGGCACCGGCGTACGACAACATAGACCGACTGGTGGACCAGTTTCTGGCGGTGAACCCAGGTAAGTGCCAGGACCATATACTCACGGGCACCCAATGCCGCGCTGTGAGCCATCAGCAGGACCGAACGTCGGCTGTATTGTGTGCGTTCGTGTCGAGCAAGTACGTTTTACACGAACTTCAACAAATAAGTGAACTTATAGCAGTGTTCAGTGAAGTCTAAAACTAGACCAGTGACTTATGCCGGGCACTCTTCTCGTCAGTTACCAACGGTGTACCAAATTTGAGAGCATACAGCCGTTCTAGAGATGTGAAAGAGTCCTTTGCGCGTGCAGGAACGAGTAGTAGCAACTTAATCGAGATCCATGGAAACGGAAACACATTGTCCGGTGGGTGTCTGCCTTTTGGCGTGCCTTTTGGCCAAGATTCAGTGCAATTCACAACTGTTAAATCGATGAATACGAGTAGATCAGACAATGGATTAATGGCTCATGCCTGCATGGATCATGTGTGCAATAACAAAGGAGGTGAAATCATTTGTCAAAATAGCTTGAAAAAATAGCCTGTATTGATTTCAACGAGAAATGTCGACATTTCATATATTTGCAGCGTTTCGATCACACATTTATGTCCACTGCCGCACAGTAACATCATCACCTGTCTGACCACCACTGCCTGTTGACGTTCACATCCACATTATTAAGCCACGTAACCTTTATTGGTGATTGACAACACGTGGGCGCCGCCAAAGCTATCACACATACATCATATAATATAAGTGTATAAAAGCGGCCCGGTTCATACCCAGGGCACCACAGCCATCGCTCGTCGCCATGGCTACCATCACGGACATCAGCCGCCTGCTGCTGGCCGTTCTGGCCGCCCTCCCGCCTCTGAGCTCCGCACAGAGCAGCTACTGTTCCATCAACGAGTGCGACCTCAATCGGCACACCATGTGCCGCTTTCCATCGTCTACGCCAGCCAGCGCCTGCGGCCCTGTAGCCGCCAACTCGGTAAGCGCCGCCGACCAGGCCGAGATCCTGCAGGCCCACAACGACCTGCGCCGAGCCGTGAAAAACGGCGACTACAGCAGCTACGGTCTTCCGGCGGCCAAGTCCATCCCCGACCTCGCGTGGAACTCGTCGCTGGCTGCCGTCGCGCAGCGCTGGGCCAACCAGTGTCAGACAGAACACGACGAATGCCGTAACATGCCGGGAATGTTCGTGGGACAAAACCTGGCCTGGTCTGGCAACAGGGCCAAGGACTGGCGGCAGCAGGTGGCCGTGCAGTGGTTCAGCACCGAGCTGCAGTACGTCCAATCCACTCTGAACAATCTCAGATACCGCGGAGGCGGAGCCATCCACCTGACCCAGGTCATCTGGGCGCAGACGACCCAGGTCGGCTGCGCATACATGGAGAGCACGCCGCCGGGATATCCGTATAAGAAGAGGATCTACTTCTGCAACTACGGTCCCCGTGGGAACATGCATAACCAAAATGTCTACGAAACCCTCTGAAGTGAATTACAGTACAGCAAGGGAGTGGTTAAAAGTAAAGTTCAACATGTTCATGTGTTATAGAAAGGCTTGGTGACATGCTCAAAGAAATATAGATGTTTGCGGAGTACTAGGCCAGTCATCATCCAGAGAAATTTGGAAAAATAAATGCTGGAGACAACTAACTGTGTTAGAGAATGGCTAGGACATAGGTACAAATGCTCTCATTGATCTACAATTTACAGACATCGATCGAAAAATTAAGTTATCCGAACACAAAAACTTGAAAATGACCCCTATTCCCTGTGACTTTGGACCACAAGTGACTGGTGGAAAACAAAACGATATACTCACCTCACGCGTCCAGAGCAGGTGCATACCTACGACCTAAAACACAACTGAATTAGTCCCTGATTATACTACAAGTGCCCTATAAAAAATAGCATTAGCTTAAGCGAAAGGTCACTAGTCTACGTAATAAAAGGATGCATACTCGCACATACATGGGTACTGAAACCAGTATAACGCCTTTTGGGGCGACTAACGGAGCGAGCGAGAGGGTGGGCCTTGCACGTGCGAAATTGCGAGGGGGTACCTCCAACTGACTTGTGCACGGCACCCTACTAACCGGTCTCTAGCGATGTGCCAAATTTGGGCACAATCGGCCCAGCCGTTCTCGAGATCTGGAAGCGGCACCCTGCACGTGCGCACGTGCAAAATGGGTCCCAACTGACTTGCGCACGGCACCCTACTAACCGGTCCCTAACTGTGTACCAAATTTGAGCGCAATCGGTGGAGCCGTTCTCGAGATATGGAAACGACCCCTGCACGTGCGCACGTGCAGCAGCGCCCCAACTCTGGCACATGGATATGCAGTGCCTAGTGGGTGCCTACCTACATGCCAACTTTCAGCGCAATCGGCCAAGTAGTTACCGAGATATTGCAACAATTACAAAACTGACACCTCTTCGTTTTGCACGTGGCACGTGCATAAGGGGTCACCCACATGCATCGGGAATAGTCCAATACTTGGTAGAAGGAATGAAGCTACCCTACAAAAATTGCCGCGTGTAAATCGGTCAAGTGGTTGCTGAGATATAAGCCTCGCAAAAGCCGGCCAGCCGGCCGGCCGCTCATACTCAGAAATTTCCGTTAATCTAAGGAAAGACTACGCTCGCTTCGCTCGCTCCGTAACCACCAGTATAACGCCTTTTGGGGCGACTAACGGAGCGAGCGAGAGGGTGGGCCTTGCACGTGCGAAATTGCGAGGGGGTACCTCCAACTGACTTGTGCACGGCACCCTACTAACCGGTCTCTAGCGACGTGCCAAATTTGGGCACAATCGGCCCAGCCGTTCTCGAGATCTGGAAGCGGCATCCTGCACGTGCGCACGTGCAAAATGGGTCCCAACTGACTTGTGCACGGCACCCTACTAACCGGTCCCTAACTGTGTACCAAATTTGAGCGCAATCGGTCGAGCCGTTCTCGAGATCTGGAAACGACCCCTGCACGTGCGCACGTGCAGCAGCACCCCAACTCTGGCACATGGATATGCAGTGCCTAGTGGGTGCCTACCTACATGCAAACTTTCAGCGCAATCGGCCAAGTAGTTACCGAGATATTGCAACTATTACAAAACGGACACCTCTTCGTTTTGCACGTGGCACGTGCATTAGGGGTCACCCACATGCATCAGGAATAGTCCAATACTTGGTAGAAGGAATGAAGCTACCCTACAAAAATTGCCGCATGTAAATCGGTCAAGTGGTTGCTGAGATATAAGTGTCGCAGAATCGTGACCACGGCCGGCCGGCCGGCCGGCCGCTCATACTCAGAAATTTCCGTTATTCTACGTAAGACTCCGCTCGCTTCGCTCGCTCCGTAACCAGTATAACGCCTTATGGGGCGACTAACGGAGCGAGCGAGAGGGTGGGCCTTGCACGTGCGAAATTTCGAGGGGGTACCTCCAACTGACTTGTGCACGGCACCCTACTAACCGGTCTTTAGCGATGTGCCAAATTTGAGCACAATCGGCCCAGCCGTTCTCGAGATCTGGAAGCGGCACCCTGCACGTGCGCACGTGCAAAATGGGTCCCAACTGACTTGTGCACGGCACCCTACTAACTGGTCCCTAGCCGTGTACCAAATTTGAGCGCCATCGGTCCAGCCGTTCTCGAGATCTGGAAACGACCCCTGCACGTGCGTACGTGCAGCAGCACCCCAACCTTAACACATGCAGATGAATTATCTGATGGAGACCTAACTGTGTACCGAGTTTCAATTCAATCGGCCCACCCGTTGTGCCGTTATTGAGGTTGCAATTTTGGGGGTTCTTAAAAAATGTCCAACTTTACCACGCGCCACGTGCGGTGGTTGGCAAGAACGCATGGTGGCCATCACACCACAGAACTTTTACGTCCACGTGACATTCAGTAAAGAAGACCGCTTGTCAATCGGATGTCCCGTTCCTAAGATATTAGCTTTTGAAGAGCGTCCCCACGGCCGGCCGGCCGCTCATACTCAGAAATTTCCGTTAATCTAAGGAAAGACTACGCTCGCTTCGCTCGCTCCGTAATGAATCCGTGAGCTCGCGCAGCGGCGGTGACACGTGGAACACTGGTAGAGGTGGTTTTGGGTTATGGCGTGTAGAAAATACGAAGATCTCCGGCCATATTTCAGAGTTCAGGTCACCAAATGTCGACAAAAGTTCGCTTATCTTAATTTGATTTCCTTTTGTGTCAAATCGGTAAGTGCTTCATAGCTCGCGAATTAATCCACAGCATGGATGAAATACCTAAACCAGTAAAACGCCTTTTGGGCGAAGAACGAGCGAGCGAGATAGTGAGCCCTGCACGTGCGGAAGGGCGAGAGGGTACTTCCAACGGGCTTGTGCAAAGCACCCTTCTAACCGGTCGCTAGCGGTGTGCCAACTTTCAACGCAATCGGCCTCGCCGTTCCTGAGATCTGGAAGCGGCATTCTGCACGTGCGCACGTGCAAGCGGGGTCCAAACTGACTTTTGCACGGCACCCTACTAACCGATCCCCAACCGTGTACCAAATTTGAGCGCAATCGGCCCAGCCGTTCTCGAGATCTGGAAGCGCTCTCTGCACGTGCGCACGTGCAGTAGCACCCTAACCGCAACACATGGGAATGCATTGCCTGAGGGCTGTTCACGGGCCCTGTGTGCGGTCGGACCGCACACAGCCTCCAAGCTCCGCCCACTGCGTCCCTACGTCAGCCTTCCGTCACCGCACACAGCGATCGCTGTGGCCGGTCGGGACTGGCCACAGCGGACCATCCACCGCACGCAGCCGTGACGTCAGAACCGCCTACCCATCCCCTACCCCCACGCCTGCTGGACGCACCGCACACACCGCACGCAGCAGTGTGCGGTGCCCGTGAACACCCCTCTGGTGGGTGCCTACCTGTATGCCAAGTTTCAGCGAAATCGCCCCAGTAATTACCGAGTTACTGAAATGGGAACAAATTTGGCACCTCTTCTTTTTGCATTTTTGCATGTGCAGTGGGGGTCACTCACATAGATCAAGAGAATCCGACCTTTGGTAGAAGGGATGCAGCTACCCTACAAAAAATACCGCAAGACAATCGTCCAAGCGGCTGCTGAGATATGAGCCTCTCAAATCACTACTTTTGCAAAACAGCTTAAACACCCTTGACTTTTCACGTGGCACGTGCCATGACGGTCACTGAGATGTATCAAAAGTAGTCAATTACGGGGTAGAAGGGATGGAGCTACCCAGCAAAAAAAAGACCGCAGGCCAATCGGTCCAGCGGTTGCTGAGATATAAGCCTCTCAAAAGCGTTACAGGCCGGGCCGAGCCGGGCCGGGCCGGGCCGCTCATACTATTTTCCCGTTATATTGAAAAGACTTCGCTTCGCTCGCTGCGCTCGCTCGCTCGTAATGATACGGACGGGAGGCGCTTCGTGACCATCGTGGTCGGCGAGCCCTACCGCTACCCAGCAAAAACCAACCGATGACGTCACGGGTCAGGTTAAAGGTCGCATTTCACCGTTTACAGGCGTTATAAGAAATGTATTGTAAAATCGAGCAAAAGGCATGTTATGGAAAATCGTCGATGGAGACTTGTTTGTTGAACACACATTTTGCTATTTGAGAGCACTGATACCAGGTCAGGTCACAGGGGTCAGGCCAGTGAGGGTCACAATATGAACTTGAGTGTCGTGTGATGCATGTTTTTAGTCCATTTTACATGAAAAAATGCGATTATGTGGGTTAGGCGATTTTTGGGGCCAGTTTCGGTTTGCTTTCTGATAAAGGTCAGGTCAAGGTCAGGTTAAATGAGGTCAAATTCCAAAGTTGATATTTTGCATAAAATGGGTATCGATTCGATGCAGCTCGTCACGGGGAGTCTAATGGTGGCTTTCGTTTGCGCTACGTGGTCTAGAATGACTCAAAATTGAGTTTGAAAACTTGACAATCAATTTTGAACGTTTTTCGCCATAACTTGGCCAAAAGGAGGTTTTCGCTCTCAAATTTGGTATGTCGATGGAACATGGTAGGGACTATAACATATATTTCGTTTTTCGAAATTCTTAAAATGGGAGTTTTACGTATTTTATAAAAAAAAATCTTTTTTAATTTTTGGAAGTCAAAAACCAGCATTGTCAAAAATCCGAGATAGCAGTTTTACAGCCCGGGTAATTTTACACCTTTATAATCTGTGCATTTTCCTGTATGTTCAAAGCTGTAGGCCTGCAAGAGCTCTTCCCGCAAAAACTTTTCTTGGGTCAAAAATGGCAGAGCATGGCGTCATTCTAACGTCATTTGTGGCCAACCTATCACAGGCTGAGAAAATGTTTGATCACAATGTGTAAAATGGATGCCCGGAAAGGTCCTGAAAGTTTGGGGACGATATCTTCAGCAGTTTGGGAGATATAAAAGAAAAAGGACAGGGGGCCGTTTCGTCCCCCCCCCCACGGACCGCGGGTTAGTTCTGATCCTTGCAAGTTGCATTGCGCTTCTGATAGCGCTTCTCGCAAAGGCTACAGAGAAGGTTGGCATTTTAGGTGTCCTGGCAGCATTACATACCTTACTTTCCGCTCATTTGGGTAGGCAATGTTTTCCAGCATGCACTGCTACTTCCGAAGACTCTCGTAAAACTCTAGTCTATGTATAGCTTTTGAGGAAAAAGCGTTGGCTTACCTAATCGTTAGTCATCAAGTTTTAATCTGATTTTACGCAATTAATTGGCAACGATGTGGATAGTCGTACCATGACCCATTCACACTAAATCCCAGTGTGACCAGAAGACGAGTCGGAGCGCTATCTCATGGCGCAGTCAGGAAATAGGCAAAAAGTCGAGTCCCTAACGCCACGCTCCGGTCACTACAGCAAACTTCTAAGCCGGAAAGCATCCGATAGAGGGCATGGTGGTCATATTTCAATGCCCCTGACTAAATAAATAAAAATCGAGAGTCAAATGGAATTGTGCATCGCGGTGAAATGTGAATGTCAGCAGTCGAACCACGTCTGTCACTGTCAGGGACGGTGCTTGGTGGCGACACCAGTCGAAGGTGACCTCGATCGAATTACAAGGTTTCTGAGCAAGCATGATGCGGCGAAATGCAAATCGCATGCAATGCAAGATGCGAACCTCTTTATGCACCTGAGGCCTGATATCAATTAAGGTCATAAAAGGTCTCCAGCAGTTTTTGACAATAACTTTAGATAAATGCATGCTAGGGCAATGAAAACACCTTAAATTCGTTCACCTCAACTACGCGAATCGACTTAAGTGCAACACGACCTTTTCCGTGACCTTGACCTGGGGTCAAAGTTTGATGTTGATCTCTTAAGGCCTCCTACTTCATTTGAAGCGTCTCAATGAGACAAACGCAAAGCCGGCAAAATCGACGTAATGCAATATACCTACCTAAGCTTCGTGTCAACAGTTATTGCAAAAAATCTTAGAATGGGCTTGAAAGGGGACATCGAACGCGCTTTTCTGTAGTGCTGTAGCTCTATTTCTTCCCGAGTTTTGCGCCGACTTGTAAAAATTGTCAAAATCAGGATTTCTTGTGATATTTTAATCTTTGAAGACTTCCAGTGATCTCAGATCACATGTATAATGCTGAAAGATGTCAAAGCAAATCCTGGCGTGGCCAAGTACGTCCACCCTCATCATGACAAAGTTGGCTGAGAGCCCCATCGGGGCGCGGGTGAATCCGAGGAAATCTGCAGAAATGTGCTTATGGAGAAAATGTTAATAAAACAAGCGGCAACCCTCCAATTATCACGCACGGACAGATCCTAAGAACTTTGGCATTGGGAACCTCGAGATCTTGGGAACCAGAAACAAAAGAGAACTATGGGGTAGGCTAGGGAATCCGAATGGATTCTTAAGATTGTGTAATTGATAAACGTGGCGACTAGTAGAGAGATAGAGAAAAAACGCAGCATATGTAGTCCTGTAGTATCCTGCCTAAAAGCAAGTACATACGACCCAAATCAGGAACGGGGCATAATGCTCGCGAAAAACACCTATAAAAAGGTACCCAAAAAAGTTATTGCCTCATGACACAACCAAGGCAGTGCAGACTGCAGATACATGCATAGATGTTAGATAACTCCGCACTCCCCGGCGGCGGTGACGCGGCAGTACGGGGTTTGTGACGGCTTCTCACCGAGCCGCAGCGCGGACGGCAGGCCGTCGTTACCATGCACCGCCGGCCGGCCGAGCCGGCTCATGGCAGCATGGCCAGTCGATGGGCGCGTGGGCCGGCTGACAGGAGAGAACACTCACCTGTCATAGGTCATGACACGCCGCGGGCGCAGGATAAAAGGTGGCCGCCGATCGGTGTCGGCCAGCACTGTCCACCGCCACCCCAGCACAGCCACCATGGCCGCAGCGCTCTGTAGGACCGGCCGGCTCCTGGTCCTGTTGGCCCTGTCTACCCTCAGCAGCGGCCAGGACAGCGGCCAGGACTACTGTAAAATACGCTGCAATGGCCGGCCGCACACCATGTGCTCGTACGGGCCCGGCGGCCGGAACGGCTGCTCCGAGAGTCAACTCAGCGCTCGGGACCAGAACGTCATCCTGAGAGCGCACAACCAGCGCCGGCGAGAGATCAAGAACGGCAAGTACTCGAGCCGCGGCCTGCCGGCGGCCGCCGAGATGCCCGACCTGCGCTGGGACCCGGAGCTGGCCAAGATCGCGCAGCGCTGGGCCAACCAGTGTCAGCAGGCGCACGACGACTGCCGCAAAAAGAACAACGGACTCGCGGTCGGACAGAACGCCGCCTGGACCTGGGGAAGCCCCAAAAATCTGGCGGCGCAGGTAAAAAGCTGGTTTGACGAAATCAACCAGTGGAGCGGTGGCGTAGATTTCCAGTTCTCCGAAAATACTGGACATTTCACGCAAATTATCTGGGCCGATACAACGGCAGTCGGTTGCGGACTCGCTTCCGGTCCCAACAATATGTTGGCATTGTTCTGCAATTACGCTCCTGCCGGTAACATCATCGGTAGCAAAATCTACCAGCCCGCAAGGGGTGGAAGGCGACCCCAGCGCTCCCAGCCAGACACGAGGACCCCCGGCAACCAGGGCCGCTTCGACCCGCCCACGGAGCCACCGAGGAGATCGCGCCCCAACTTTGAGCAAGGCCCGCAGCCAACGTCGCGCCAGGGGGATCCGGAGCCTTCCGGTGATATCCTGACCGTGCTGCCCTACCTCAAGGAGCCTCGCGAAGGGGAGATTCTGCACTCCAACGAGGGCGACATGCTGCCGCACGCCCAGGTGACTCGTCGCGGCGAGGCTCGGGTCAGAGACGGCGAGGGCGAGGTGAGGCGCTCCGAGCAGGGTCGCATCGTCCGCGACGGCGACCGGGTGTCGGCCTCCGCGTCGGCGTCGGCGTCCGCCAAACAGCACCGTCGCCAGCAGCCCGACGGCGGCGCGCGGCCGTCCTACAGCACTACCACCCGGCGGCCGACCCGCAACACAAGGCGGACGCGGCAGCCGAGCAGCTACCGGCAGACCACGACAAGGCGGCCACAGCGGACAACCACCTACAGACGACCAACGACCAGACGCCCAGAGCAGCAGAGACCCGACGACACCAACAGGCCGCAGCAAAGGCCCGACGACCGATACAAGACAGACCAGAAGCCTGATGACGGGTACAAGTCTGGAGAACGCGTCTACCGGCCAGACGGGCGGCAGGAGGGCGATGTGCGCCGGTCGGGCCAGTGGCGCGTCATCCGCGGCCGGCCCGTGGTGCTGCACCAGGCCCAGGACGGGGCCGGCCAGCAGCGACAGATCATCATCGGCCCGTCCGGACGGCGGCACGTCGTCGAGGACGTACGGGTGCAGCGGCAGCGCGTCGAACAAGTCTCACCATCGGATGACATCGTCAGGCAACTGAGTCCGATTCTGGACCACATTCCACAGGGAGAAGGCATTAAACGCAAAATTTTCTCCAACTCGACACAGTTCTCTCAAGGAGTCAATAGGGTTATCCAGACCATTACGGTATCATGAGTAGAGGTGGCAAAATGTGGACCCGAGGACCCGGTCCAAGGAACCAGTCTGGACCCATATGGGTCCAGACCGGTTCCTGGAAATTTTGTGACGGGCCCAACCGGGTCCTACCATAAACTATACATCTTGCACACTGCACATTACTGCAAAATATGAAGTGAATGAAGTGAATGTTTCTTTGCACACAGTAGCTCATGAGTATTGCCAGTGCGAAGTAGGCTGTTTTATATGATGCAACTAATGATGCCTACAAGTTGTTTGTATTAATTGACTTTTGGGGAACGGATCCAACTGGTTCCGATTCCAACTAAGACCGGGTCCGACTGGTTCCAGAAATGTCCAGCCGGGTCTGGTTCGAGTCTGGTTCCCAAAATTTTCATCTTTTGCCACCTCTAATCATGAGAATATCGTAAAACCAAACGTGTACGTAGCTTAGACTAGACCTTACGTGTATGCCTGCAATGTTTTAAGTCGTATGTCTGATTCTGAACCTCTGTGATGAAGATTGTCGATGCTGCTGCACAGTAATGTAATAAATGTGATCTACTGATGTATGTTCTTTACAGCTTACATACTGAAGCTGGGATAACGGAAGCGCGTGGCTATGACAGGGTGGCAGTCAACGTCAGACTCGAGTACCATGACATTGACAAAACACTCGATACCACAATCACTTGGAATCCATGTTACACGATTCCTACAGGTCACTTCCAACCCACGCACCGACAGGTCCGGGCCAACTTCGCACGGGCGGGGACGGGCTGCCGGGGACCTGCATCCCCCAAGATCTCGAAAACAAAACAAGCTAGCGACAAGCGATAAACGGCATAGGATACAGGCGGACGAGATATAAGTTTTTTAAAAGGTCATTTTAAGGCCAAGTCAAAAATGACGTCACAGGGGTCAAAGAAGTCAAAATAGAGGCCGTTAACGCGCATTCAAGGCATTTGGTAACATTCAGAACTATTCAACATTCATTTATTCTTTCGTTCAGGCAGCATTCATAATCACTCACGCTATAAAAATCATTGGACAAGATTAGCTAGATGTAAATATTAAGGATAGGTATGTTTAATACCAGTAAAACGCCTTTTGGGCGAGGAACGAGCGAGCGAGATAGTGAGCCCTGCACGTGCGGAAGGGCGAGAGGGTACTTCCAACGGGCTTGTGTAAAGCACCCTTCTAACCGGTCGCTAGCGGTGTGCTAAATTTGAACGCAATCGGCGCAGCCGTTCCTGAGATCTGGAAGCGGCATTCTGCACGTGCGCACGTGCAAACGGGGTCCAAACTGACTTTTGCACGGCACCCTACTAACCGGTCCCCAACCGTGCACCAAATTTGAGCGCAATCGGCCCAGCCGTTCTCGAGATCTGGGAGCGCCCCCTGCACGTGCGCACGTGCAGTATCACCCTAACCGCAACACATGGGAATGCATTGCCTGGTGGGTGCCTACCTGTATGCCAAGTTTCAGCGAAATCGCCCAAGTAATTACCGAGATATTGAAATGGGAACGAATTCGGCACCTCTTCTTTTTGTATTTTGCACGTGCAGTGGGGGCCACTCACATAGATCAAGAGTATTCGACCTTTGGTAGAAGGGATGCAGAGTACCCTACAAAAATTACCGTAAGACAATCGCTCAAGCGGCTGCTGAGATAGGAGCCTCTCAAAATCACTACTTTTGCAAAACAGCTTGAACACCCCTGACTATTTTCGTGGCACGTGCCACGATGGTCACTGAGATGTATCAAAAGTAGTCAATTACGGGGTAGAAGGGATGGGGCTACCCAGCAAAAAAGACCGCAGGCCAATCGGTCCAGCGGTTGCTGAGATATAAGCCTCTCAAAAGCGTTACAGGCCTAGCCGGGCCGGGCCGGGCCGCTCATACTGAGATTTTTCCGTTTACTGAGATTTACTGTACACTGTATTATACTGAGATTTTTCCGTATTGAAAAGACTTCGCTTCGCTCGCTGCGCTCGCTCGCTCGTAATCAGTGCCGTAAACTCCGGCCAGTGCTGCCAAATCCTATTCACGTCATTGGTAAGATTGGGCCCTGGTGACTCCGGCCATACGGTAGTCTAGCTTAGGCTTAAAACATTGGCTCCGACTCCGTCTCCGAATTTAGGTGTCCCTCTTGCGCTCTGATTGAAGCGACAGCATCCGACCGCAGCGGGCTGGAAGTCACTCCAGTCTGTTGGGTTCGGATTGCTGAGGTCCCACAAGTACGATGGCCCACACAAGCCTTAGAGGCCTATATCGATCTCAGAGTAATTAATAATTGGAATTTTAATTTTCTGTGCGACTGAAAGTCAGCTGTCAGTTTTCAAGGAACCATACCAACCCCAGATGGCTCCATGCTAGTCTGACAAGCCATCATACACCGCGCCGATTTTCAGAGGACCCAGGATTCAGTATTAATATTTTGGGGGTGTCAATTGTGACCATGGGGTCCTGACTTCCCGACTCCATGGGATATTCAGCCCTGATCTAACCAGTGGTGAACTATCAGATCTGACTACTCAATATCGCTCAGCACTTTCGGTATACCAACGGTACCAAATGAGCAGTGCTCCGACCAACAAACTCCGAGTCGACATAGCCAAGAAATGTCGACTCCGACTCCGAGGTCTGACTCGGCAAGATTTAACCCTCGCCGGACCTGTTGGTTTTCTACATACGCGTCGGCCGAGGGGGGGGGGGGCGGGTACGACCCCCATCGCCGTTTCGCCCCTGGTGCAGCTAGCGCGTCGCGGAAAAACGAGCTTGTGCATCGTTAAGGGACGCAGAGATTGGTACCCGATTTTCAGGTACTAGGTCAACCGGTGACCTCTGAGGTCAGGTCAAGTGCCCTAAGGTACGGTTCGGTTTTTGGTGAATAACTTCGCGAAAAACGGTCACAGAACCGCGATTTTGGCAGCATCGTGTTCGCCTCGCTCAGGCGCCTCGAATGATATACTTTTTGTTTGGGTGAGGTCAACTAAGGGTGTTGACCTCAGGTCACGGTCAGGTCACGAAATTTGTCGAAGTAGGTCATGTCGCATATCATTCGATCGGCAGGTCTTCCTGAGTCCATTGGTGGCTCTCACCACTCGATAGCTCACTTTGATCGGGAGTTATTGACGAAAAACTGTTATGACCCTAATGACGTCATAAATGACGTCACACAAGGCCAACATTGCAAAATGGACGCATCTAACCTTGCAAGGAGTGCACCAAATCACGATTTTGTGTGCTTGAGGTAGTTGGAGATCATTCCCGGCGCCAGAATAGCAGTTTTCATTTTTCTCCATTGACTTTAATGGTGAGGTCACGAAAATGACCTGACCTCATATGACCTTTATGACCTTTAGGAAAAATCCGAGATATACAAGTTGTGAGACTCGTAATGGAAATAAGATCCTGCAAGTTTCATTTCCCTTTGAAAGCTCCTCTGGCAGTGAGGGCGTTGCGAACTTGCGACATCTGAAGACCGTGCAGAGGTTCACTTATGACGTCATAGGTCAGTGACCTGACCTGACCCGAAAATGCTGTTGGTGGCAAAAGCTCCGGCTTGAATCAAAGATCAGATGTGCCAAGTTTGAGCTCTCTATCGCCAGCGTGTTCGGAGCTACCGCGAAAAAAAAAACTTATGGGGGGGGGCGGCACCCGCCCCCCCTCGGCCGGCGAGGTTTAATAGTTAAAAAACACTATTCGTTATAGTTGTTTTCTATTGAAAAACTTCATCTGTGATTGGGGGCATACCCCGTTGATGATTTACAAATAAACTAAACTAAACTAAACTAAACAAATCTGATTTGCTTGACACTTTTTCAAAAGCTGCCTGAGATTACCTAAGCTAAATTCAAGCGTTATCGAAAGATCTAGACCTCTAGCAACACTTTTGACACTTTATTTTATGAGGAAGCGATCAGTTCTGGGAAATGGTTTGACAGAAGGGTTCTGCGAACTCAACAAAGCGGTAGCATTTCACTTGACGGAGTTACATAAGAGGCACAGTTTCACATTAATGTAAAGGCCAGTGTCGCATATCTTTTCAGACGTCACAGAAGCTGCGTTTCAGGCATTTCACGAAGAAGGTCAGGAATAGGGCAGTGAACTGCGTGCGAAGATGAACGAAAGGTAGATGGAGTGCAGCATAAACTATGCTGCGGCTTTTCAGTTCGAGCTCCTGACAACCGAAGTCAGCAGTCAGCACCTTGGTTCAGTCTCACGTCCGATAGTGCTTCGCAGACCATGAAAACGAGTCGGACAAAAACATTTGTCGAAGCACTCACCCTTGCGCCACAAGTTGGGACTGCCCAACAAAAGTTGGATCAAATATCGAACGTGCGAGATGATGTTAAAAAAAAACTTGTCAGTGGTACGAACTTCCTGCAAACAATCTGCGGGAACAACAGATAATCTTTCTCTCGACTTCTGGCCAAGTGAAGCATTCGCTGTCGATCCACATATGAACACCAGTCTGATTTTTCCACGCACGAGGATGTGAGCGGGAAGGCAGCACCTCGCATCACGCCGTTATATAACCGCGTGCCAGAGAAACTAGGAATCGCCCCTTCCAGGTTTGAAACTAGATCTTCGACTGTGCGTTCTTAGGTGAGCATAAGGGGAATGACCGATTTAAAAAAGATCACTGGGTGTGGTAAATTTCAAACGCATCCGAACTTTTCTCTGCTTTCCTTAGCTCTACGATCAGCCATCAGGAACGGAGAGAGATACTTCTGTCATACAAACCAAAAATCAGCCGGAAGCGGTGACAAAATAGACAAAGAATTCAATGTATGCCACATCATATCGAACGAGCCGCGCCCCGCATAACGACACCACCACCTCTGACGTAACCGAGATTCATAGGCGATGTGCGTCACCCCCCCCCCCCCCGAGATATGTCAGATGGCGATAGCAGCTACCTATAAAAGGCGGAACACCCACACCAGTCGCAGAGACACTGTCAGCCTAGTCGACAGTCATGACCGTCACGCAGGGTCGACCGGCCATGTGGCACTTCCTGTTCCTGTCAGCGCTCCTGGTGCTGCTGACTCGCTGCTCTGCCCAGAACGACTACTGTCGTCTGAGTAGCTGTGACGGGCAGCCACACACCATGTGTGCCTACCGCAGAGGCGTCATGGGTAGAAGTTGCGGAAGACGCAGCACTCCTAAATCTGTCGGACCCAGGGAGCGCGCGGAGATCCTCGAAGGCCACAACAGGATTCGCCGCGACGTCAAGGCGGGCAGGTACGCCAACCAAGGTCTCCCAGCAGCCGCAGAGATGCCCGACCTCCAATGGGATTCCGAGCTGGCAGCCATCGCGCAGCGCTGGGCAAACCAGTGCAAGGAGAACCACGACCAGTGTCGTAACGTCAAACGGTTCCAAGTTGGCCAGAACGCCGCCTGGACTTGGGGCAGTCCCCTGGACTGGACCAAGGGGGCTATGCAGGGCTGGTTCCAGGAGGAACTGCCCTATTTTCGCCAGAATGACCTGGTGTTCCGTTCCGGGCGAGATCCTGGCTCTGGTAAGCAGATCGGTCATCTCACGCAGATTATCTGGGCGGACACCAAGTATATCGGCTGCGGATACAGCGCAAGTCCTGAGGGTTCGTGGGTGAAGAGATCCTACATCTGCAACTACGGACCCGCAGGTAACGTCCTGGGCCGAAGAATATACCGGCCTGTGGGGAGCAAGGACGGTGAGGATGCCCGGAACAGGGCGCGGGGTCGGGACACTGGTGATAGAGGGCGTCAATATGCCAGAAGAATTGTCATTGAGGAAGACACCAATGGTCGCCGCTATGTTCGTGAAGATCGTATAGAGATGCCGCAAGTTGAAAGGGTGAACTATATTGAGCCATCTGTTGCTGGAACAGACCGTAGGGTCGTGCCCAATATTCAGCCTGTTCAGAGGCCAACGCCTACTGAACAAGAAAGTCGTTTTGCCAGCGCGAATTACTGTAACCTCAACAGTTGTCGCGGCCGGCCTCACACCATGTGCAACTACAAAAGGGGAGTCATGGGCAACAGCTGTGGCAGGCAAACTGTTTCCAAACCTGTCGGACCCAGGGAGCGTAGGGAGATCCTCGAAGGCCACAACAGGATTCGCCGCGACGTCAAGGCGGGCAGGTACGCCAACCAAGGTCTACCGGCAGCTGCGGAGATGCCCGACCTCCAATGGGATTCCGAGCTGGCAGCCATCGCGCAGCGCTGGGCGGACCAGTGCAAGGAAGACCACGACCAGTGTCGTAACGTCAAACGGTTCCAAGTTGGTCAGAACGCCGCCTGGACTTGGGGTAGTCCCCTGGACTGGACCAAGGGGGCGTTACAAGGTTGGTTCCAAGAGGAGCTTCCCTATTTTCGCCAGAATGACCTGGTGTTTCGTTCCATACGAGATCCTCGCTCTGGTAAGCAAATCGGTCACCTTACGCAGGTGATTTGGGCGGACACTAAATATATAGGCTGCGGATACACGGAGGGTCCTGAAGGCTCTTGGATGAAGAGGTCGTATTTCTGCAACTATGGACCGAGTGGCAATGTCTTGGGACAGAGAATATACCGCACAGCTTGAATACTTTACTGCCTAAACCAAGAAAAAGTAAAGCTAAGACAGTGATGGCATTTTACTGGCAACGGACGTCGCACATGAAAAACACTGAGGCCAAGAGGAGGATAAGAACGGGAGCGCAGGCGCGGAGTGATGGAAAGAAATCGGACAAAAGTTAGGAGAAACAAAGCGCCTAGAGGGGTGTGATAAGGCCAAATCACTTGGTGAAAAGAGGACGTATCGGATGGGTTAGAAAATTAATGACGACATATCCATAATGTATTAGAACAGCCACGTAGGTCAATATGCAAGGTTCACTGACTGCTTATGATAAGGCAGGCACCGGTTTAGGCAGATGTTTTACAGTGATGGAATAGTCGCGCCCGTGTAATTGCGCATCTTGGCGACTATTTCCTAGGAGTGAAAAAGTGGTGGTTTGATGACTCCGGCATGGATGAGGGACACAGATCTTTAAGCCACTGCATAAATGCTTAAAAAGGAGTGTTTTTACCGTGCTGCATGGTTTCTATGAATCGCCTGACTACCTCATTGCTAAGACTGAAAGACACAGTGCTCATAGTAATTGTTGCGTATTTACGACGTTGGTTCGTTTGCTGGTTGCTCGTTTGTTTTGTGTGCTTTTTATAAACTGCAAATGTAGTACCTACCTTTTACCTTCAGTTTATGGTGTACCTATGCTATACAAAGGGTATGTGCAATGCGATGTCAATAAAAAGTACGCAGACAAACATTCACATTTGTTATAGTTAAAAAGCAATACAAAATGCAGAATTCGGCATTACACAATAGCCGACAAAACGCGGAAACCGACAGCTGGTGTAGCATGATCTTGACACTGCATGCAAACAGTTGCCGACCTATCGACATGTCGGCAGGTTCACCAGGTCACGTGAATTGTCAACAGCCAATCATAGGCATTGGATTGAAAACGTGCACCGACACATCCCTCGGAGAATCTATGCTGTCATTTCTTTAAGTTACTAAGCATGACCGGTGACCCACGAGTGGCGTGTTTTTCTTTTATCTCTTAAGCTATGGGTACTCGCGGATGATACCAACAAAGTCAATCGGACCTTGGTAAGCACTTGAAATGTATTTGTGATCATACATGATCGATGCTCATCGTCACCGATAGCGACAAGGTTGGATAACGATTACTTGAAGGTCCAGTCAAATGAAATTTATCTTGCAGTTTTTACCTGTATGTGCAAAGTTTTAGTTTTATGCATACAGTTTTTAAACATGATATGGTTTGTCTACTGTATGCCATTTATGTTTGTCTGCACCTTTTAAATTCAAAGCGTGACGTTGAATTGAAATCATTATGGGGAGGTTAAAGGTATACCAGACAGAAAGTTCACAGCCGCTGTTTTTGACACATGGCTCTGAAGGCAAACCATTAGCGAACAGTTCTGGGATATTATTTGACAGAAAGCTTCAACGAAAAGCACACAGCGCGAACATTCCACTCGATACAGGTACGGAAGACGCTAATCACGCTTACATGCATTGAGGTCATCTACAGCATAGCGCCCTATTAAAAAACTACGTACTTAGATGCTAGTCTGCCTCATGATATCAGGTGTACCCTATAGGGTCTAGAGGGAAAGGCCAGAATTGGTGAGTGAACTGTGTAAGAAATAAAGGCGATAAATTAAACGTACCTAGTCCAAACTAATCAACATCTATATGATAATAAAACGTTGCCAAACATTGCAGATTCCGGACAACGCGACACTATACTGTGCACTACTAAGGAACATTATATACTGTGCACAACCCAGCAGCCGTGTTACAGCGGTGACGAAAACAGACCCAGGCGTGACCAGGGATCCGCCATACCGTCCCGGGTGACCCGTACCCCGCACAATGCGTCACCCTCCCTGACGTCACCGAGATCCGTGAGCAGCATGTCAGTCTCACCCTAGACATGTCAGACGGTGGCGGCAGCTCCCCTATAAACACGGGCACACCCAGACCAGCCCCAGACAGTTAGACCAGCTGACAGCCATGAGCGCGCCGCCAGGCAGGCTGGCCCTCGGCCACCTTCTGATCTTGTTAGCGCTCGTTGTGCTGCTGACTCGCTGCTCTGCGCAGAGAGCCTACTGTCACCTGCATAGTTGTGCTGGGCAGTCGCATACAATGTGCACCTACCGAAAAGGCAGTATGGGTAAGGGCTGCGACAGGCGAAGTACCCCTAAATCTGTCGGGCCCAAGGAGCGCATCGAGATCCTGGAAGCCCACAACAGGATTCGCAGTGATGTCAAGGCGGGCAAATACGCCAAGCAAGGTCTACCGGCAGCTGCGGAGATGCCCGATCTACAATGGGATCCTGAGCTGGCAGCCATCGCGCAGCGCTGGGCGGACCAGTGTAAAGAAGATCATGACCAATGTCGAGACGTCAAACGGTTTCAAGTTGGCCAGAACGCCGCCTGGACCTGGGGCAGTCCTCTGGACTGGACCAAGGGGGCGATACAAGGATGGTTCCACGAAGAGCTCCCCTATTTTCGCCAGAAGGACCTAGTGTTCCGTTCCGGGCGAGATTCTGGCTCTGGTAAGCAGATCGGTCATCTCACCCAGGTGATCTGGGCTGACACCAAGTTTGTCGGCTGCGGATACAGCGCAAGTCCTGAGGGTTCGTGGGTGAAGAGATCCTACATCTGCAACTACGGACCCGCAGGTAACGTCCTAGGCCAGAGGATGTACCGGGTTGCGGGGAGCAGCGACAAAGAGGACGCCCGAGGCCAGACCAACGAGCAGGACACTGGTCGTGGTGAGCATCAGTATGACTTCAGAACATTCGTCTTTGACGATGGCAGCAATGACAATACCTATACAGACGAGGATCGCAGTGACTTGCCACATCCTGTAGGGGTGAATTATACTGAAGTATCTGTTGTTAATATGGACCGTAGCGGTATGCCCAGTACCAAGCCTGATGGTGCTGAAACGCCAGTTGAAAGAAAAGGGCGTTTTGATATAGCAGATTACTGTCGTTTGATAAGTTGTGCCGGGCAGCCACACACAATGTGCACCTACAGAATAGGCACTAAAGGTAAAAACTGTGGGAAGCAAACTCCTAAAGCTGTCGGACCAAAAGAGCGCAGAGAGATCCTCGAAGCCCACAACAGAATTCGTCGCGATGTCAAGGCGGGCAAATACGCCAAGCAAGGTCTACCGGCAGCTGCGGAGATGCCTGATCTCCAATGGGATTCCGAGCTGGCAGCCATCGCGCAGCGCTGGGCGGACCAGTGCAAGGAAGACCACGACCAGTGTCGAGACGTCAAACGGTTTCAAGTTGGCCAGAACGCCGCCTGGACCTGGGGCAGTCCCCTGGACTGGACCAAAGGGGCGATACATGGCTGGTTCCACGAAGAGCTACCCTTCTTTCGTCAAAACGACTTAGTCTTTCGTTCTGTCAGGGACCCGTCGACTGGAAAACCAATCGGTCACCTTACGCAGGTGATTTGGGCAGACACCAGATTCGTAGGTTGTGGATATACAGAAGGCCGTGAAGGATCTTGGATGAAGAGGTCCTACTTCTGCAACTATGGACCGAGTGGAAATGTCTTGGGCGAAACGATATATCACACAACCATCAAATCACCTGATCAAAGAACTCACAGAAAGGAAAGAGATCACAGATATAGCAAAGAAAGCGGCACAAACCGTAGAGAGAGCGCAAATGAAACCGACAGCGAGCCAAGAAAGAGGGGAAGAGGCAGCGGCGGCACCAAAACCGAAACAAAGATATCCATAAGCACTGATGGCAGCAGCGGCCAGACACGCATTCACCAAGAAAGCGTTGCCAAAGGCAAAGTTGATGTTGAAATGAGCACAGAGGCGTCGGCAGGCGCAAGTGGGAAGACAAACGTAGTCCGTGTTGGTGTGAATCGAAGCGATGATGCGTTTTTCAAGGAGTTCGTAGATTTCCCCGGGACAAAATGGAAAGAATTTATGGAGACTGATCCGCCACGGGGATCCAGACGAAGGTCCAGGACCTCGCGGTGGTGTCGACAGTTGGGGTCTGGACGATTCGAACGGTGCCGAAGGAGCGGAAGGCGAGTGGTCTGCCGGTCCGTGAGAAATTGTAAGCCAACTGAGAACAGGCCGAGGCATAGAAGGACCACCAAAGACGTAGAAATGCGGCACGAGTGGGCCCAAACAACCAACGGACACGCACAGGGCTGGACACAGATGTGGAGCGAATCGAACGTCTGGAGGGGAATGAGGAGGCTTAGCCGTTTGAAGGAAAGAAAAGAGCCAAAACGGGAAGAATATCGGAAAGGTCAAGTTAACGACACCCTGTCCAACAATGACCAAAAGCCATATCGAAGGCCAAGGCGTAAGATCGCATGACTTAGTGTGAAACGGTTATAGATCTTTTGAAGCGAACCAATAAGGCATCAGCTCAATGTAAAAAGACACCTGTATTCATTTGTCTCACTGCCTCTTGCCTGAATGTGGGAAAGTCGGGAAGTGTCATTACTGAGATTGGATGAGACAAACATCTCTCATCTAAGGCTCGGAAACTGCGGAGCAATGAGACGTTGGTATGGTTGAGTATTGAGTATAGCTATTGTTAATGTCTCTTTGCATGTCTCCTTCTGTGAGCTCTTTTTTTAATAAAATATGAAACACAGCCCAGTACTGTCAATCGTGCATGAAGCGGATGGCGAAGTCGAAGCCATAAGGTACCTACCAATCATTACGAAAGAACTTAGGCAAATACGTGCTTTCTTTAAACACAACAATAGCTTAAACCGCATTTATTGTATTGCAAACATTATTCCATATGGCAAAGCTGAATGGCTCGATGCTCTTAGCTAGACGACAGTCACTACATGAGGTTCTAATGTAAGCATACCAGTTCATTAAAACTTTAAGAGAGCACCTTGGCCTGCTTATTGTTTAGACTTTAATTGTCTCGTTTTATCGCGTCAAAAAGTCTGACTTCGGTTGGCTTCAGCAGCAGCACAAACCTAAGTACAAAGCATGTTCAGAGACGAAAGGCTTGACCTTACAATTACATGAAGAATACAACGATGTACTAAGGCTTTACTGCTGCTGAAGCCAACCAAAGTCAGACTTTTAGAATTTACACTCAAACGAATTGTTGGGGATATGATGAGATGCTCATTAGAAGATCCCTGACAAGCGGCGATGAAACCGGACTCATCTTCTACCGCTGAACAGTTGGCATTGAAGCCATCTAAAATATAATGCATAGATAAATAGAATCACAAAGTAAAACGAACAGGAAAACAAGAACGGACATTGCAATGGGATGGACCAGAACTCAGCAGACTGATCAGCATCTGCGGCACACCCTGGAGAGACAGCCCTGTCTGTGACGAACTAATATCTCTCGTCTGCCGACAGCGACGCGTCGATGGCTGCGGTCGGCGGTGGCCACGGGTCGCGCCCTGACCGGTCGCTCGCGGCGCTCCCAGGCCCGCTTCATCGACCTGCCGTCGCTCGGATCGCTGGGATCGGCCGCCGGATCCATGCTGCTCGGACCGGGCGCTGAGTAAGTAACGCTATCGCATCTGTCTGAGGTTTCATTTTTCATATTTCTTGAGGTTCCATCTTCCATTTTTCATCATATTTCTTGAGCTTCCTTTGTCCTTGTACAGAGAAGTAAAGTCCTACCCAATCCTAATTCAAAACCTGACCCTGTATTACAATTTGAATTATGTGTTAACATTATGTGAGCACACCGCCCTGTCCCCGCAGCCCTGTCACTCAGCGTGGGCAGCTCGCTCGACATTTAGCTCTCTGGCTTTGATCCGAACGTTCATGAACGTGAGGCGTGAATCAGCAGCGGGTGACCGTGAGCTGTCACATAGAGGTCGGTGCAGCTGACCCCGCGTCGACCTCTGGCGCTCGGTCGAACGACCCGAGACCGCCACGTCCATCGACAAGTGTCATCGCGAAATGGCGCTGATGAAACAACACGGATTCGGAGCAATGACAGTCGAGGCTGCGCTGCGCTGCACGATGAGCGATTTATTGTTGCTACGTCCGTGATGCTGGTAGCATAGCATTGCCGCCGAGAGACTGCCTTTTCGTAGTCTGCTACCAAAATGGTAGTCCGTGCGGACCATTGTCGCCTCTCGTCCATCCCGCTGACACCTAACCTAACCTAACCTAACCTCCGTCGTCTCCTCGGTTCACAGTGACCAGACAGTAGCGCAGGCGGCGTCGCTGGTCCAGCGGCTGAACCACATGGACCGGCTCGAGTGTGTTCCGCGCATGCTGTGCTCCGCTGCCGCCGGCGTTCTCGAGCCGTCGCCGCCGACACCGGCACCGGGCGTGGCCGGGCCGCCGTCGCCGCCCACCTCAGGCAGTCTGGGCGGTGGGGTGCGGCCGCCCACCTCCGGCACTCTGGGCGGTGGGGTGCTGCCGCCGGCACCGCCGCCACAGCCCGGTAGGCCGCGGCCCGGCCAGCAGCGGCCGTTCAGTGTTTTCAACCCGGCGGCGCCAGTAGCTCGCTCTGAGCGGCGCAGGGGCCCCGCCGGCCCGCCGTACCGCCGCCGCCGGTACCGCAGTGTCGACACGGCCGGCGCCGAGCAGCCGCACCGCCGGCAGAAGCGGTTCACACAGGCCGTCAACGGCTTCCTCAGGTGAGTCCGGCGGATGTGCGAGGAGAACGCAGGCAGAATTTTAATAGAGCTACCAGCGAAACCACCCAAAGGAGGCAATGCTCGGCCAGAAGTCTCGTCATTTTCATTTTGCTATTTTCATAAATTTAAGCAGAGTAACGTGAGTGTAATGTTCTCATTAACATACCCATTGCCCAAGATTCAGAAAGGAGAATTTTCAAACGTATGACATCGGTTGACCTTAACATTGTCACCGTAAATATTAGCCGCTAATTCCTTCATGAATGACTGGCGCCGACCTGTCTCTCTTGTCTCCTGTGCTCCCTAAGTAGACGGCCCTAGTCATCTATCGTCTCGCCCTTTACAGCCTCTAGCACTAACACCCCACCCTCCTCACTGTTTTCAGCGTGCTGGACAGCATGGCCCGTCCGTATTCGTTCTATCCGTACAGCCACGCGCTGATGATGGGCGGGATGACGGAGTCGCGCGACCGGTGCGCCCAGCTCTACAGCCGCTGTCCCACCGACCGCGACGGCTTCCTCAACGTCTTCAACAACATGAACCGCTACTTCCCCGGCGGACTGCAGTCGTTCATGCCTGACTTCCTGCCCAAGTTCGAGATGCCGGCGCTGGATGCGTTCCTCCCCAACGGACGGTGAAGGGCGGGAGTAAGGAACAGACGATGGAGGACGGGTGGAAGGAATGGAGGGAAGCGATAGCGAGTTCGTTTGTTTGTAACGTTGTTATGTTAGGTATATAGCGATGCCTCAGGACTACAAAGGGATTGAAGCCATACGGCTCAAACAAAGCGAATACTGCTACCATTATAGAGTTAAGTGGCTGTTACACTTCGAATGGTACTTACACTTCGTCCGGAGTCTTCTGTCTACAAAATGTATTCAGAATGGTAGCGCCTAAATAATGCATTGTTATTGTTTTCATTCCAGCAGCATCGTTGACTGTTACCCATTCCACATTAGTTTAGGTGATTTGGGCAACCGCGCTCAAAAGCAAGTGTAAAGAATGTTGTAATTCGTCTGCAACATTGCAGTGTTCGTATATGTATTACCGATTACGCCCCTTTAAAATGAGCTCCATCGCTCAGATGTTCAAGAATGTTTAGTAGGTAATAAGGTATGTCTGTATTTATGCATGAAGGCTGCTTATTGTACACTAAACAAAGACTACATTGCTTAGAATATGGAATCGATACACAGCTAGAACATGTGCAGTGCCTTCTCTCGTAATTGCTCAACACTCATGCTTGATAAAGACGCTAACGCCATTCCTATGGAAGCTGCCTTCACCGTTTTTAACGACTTATTTGTGAGTGTAATGAATCAGACTAGCCACATTTCTTACTGGTAGATATATTCGGAACAAAACAGTTTTGTTTCCTAGGCAGCATGTGTATCTGACGTGTAGCATTGAAATGCAATCAGATAATCATGTTGTTTTTGGTTGACGTGCGAAGAGAACCTCTCCACAAGTTAACAACGCTTTATCACGTTCTCTCCTTGGGGACAAGCATGAACTCAATTAAAGTTGATTAACTCCGTTAGGTCGATTGCAACGAAGGCTTATTGCAAGTTGCAACCCTGTGCAATGAAATAAACGACGACTTTTGCTTGCTACTTATTGAGCACGACGATTGGGAGTTAAAAAAAAAATGTCAAGTATCTCCAAACGGCAGAATAACTTGATAGGTACAGAGTTTGGTGCACCAATAAGAATAAAGCGATGGCATTGACCCAATGCCGATCTTTATAAAATGCACAACAGCTTTGATCATAACAGAGTACTTTGCGTAGCCAAACGCCATCAACTGACCAGCTCTGAGGCCGCCCGATCGCATGAGCCTTGAACGGTGAGCGCCAATGTGCGAGTGTGTGTGGGCTCGGGGATTGACAGCAGACGGCCCATGTGGGCAGCCGGCAGATGATCCCAAATCCACCAAATGGGCGCCTTCTGCGTGGGGACGAAGCGAGCTGTTACGCAGCTCGGGCAACAAATGAATTGTGTCGCTTCTTATTTGCAGTACATCACACTTTTTAAAATCCTGGTTGAGTGGGATCACTGTTACGGCACAATAAAAATTCGTTCGTAACCTGTTGTGCTATAGCAGTCACATACAATGCCGCGTTCGAAACTTCGATAGCCCATCTAATGATTAACTAGGATGCAAGCAGCCTTTACAACTTATCACACGTCGTAGGACCTATATAAACAGATCAGTGTATCAGAACTTACTAGCTAAATATATATGTAGTAAAATGTTCCGGCATGGCTATCACAATGCTTGTGTGACCGTCTATTAGCAGGCAGAAACCGACGAGTGATGTTTCTGTTGTGCTTTTTCGGCGTGGATTCATTTTGGTTTCGGTTTAACTTTGTTTTTCATTTTGACGTTTCAGAGGTCTGTCATCTCTGTCATCTCTCCCAAATTGTCAGCTGCCACTGACTGACACTAACACCATGACTCAGGCTCATCTGACGTAAACACGAGTTGACACCGAGCGTGAGCTCCGTGCAGTTGTCAGGCGCCCGTGGTCGGTGGACACTGACAGGGTTAGAGGGCACAACACAGGTCTGTCCGACCCACCGACCGAACCGGAGGCGGACCCACCCGGTCCTCCTCCCCCTCCCACAGTTTCTAGCCAGTGGTAACAACTATGACACTTGAAATGCATGACTCACGCGTCACGAGTGACCATTCGAGAAAAAAAAATCCAGAATGAATCAATGGAGTTTTATATGAATTTATGATATTGTTCCTGTTTTACTGTGACATTTTTCAATGATCACCAACTTAACGTTGAAAATACTTGTTACGAAAAATCAAAAGGAACCTTACGTTAAACAGACGGAATTCATTAACTGTTCCACCTCAGAAATGAGGTTTGCTATCAATTCGACCGTCCTACTCCGCTTTTATTTCCGTGGATATCCTAAGCCCGTGATGGATGTCACGCCAGGACCGAAGAACCCCTTCCCCCACTTCACCCGACACCTCCTTTGACCCACCTGGCGATGCCTCCCAGGCACTGGGACTTGTGATCATCGGACGCGTCCTCGGCAGCCAGCGACTGGCCACGCTCGTAGTGTTGTAGCGCCTGCTGGTAGTCGCCGCTGTGGCACAGGGGCACGATGGGTCAACGGGAGTCACAAGGTCATACAGGGTTACAGAGGTCATACAGGGGTCACAAATGGCAAAATGTAAATAATGCGCCTATTAACCCGGCAGTTGCTGGGGTATTTCGCCACCCACCGTTTGCTGGGGGGGGGGGGGGGGGCGTTAAACGCCCCCAGCCGATAACTCGAGAACCAATAGGCGCAGCGAAACGCACGAGGCGGCAAACGAAAGAACGCGACGAGACGCTTCAGATGAGTACTTAAAAGTTGAATTTTGAGGTCACAGGTCGGGTCAAGGTCAGGTCAAACACCTGAAATCGGGCTTTCAGTAGCATGGACTTCAGGACTTCGCAATGGGCGCCTCTCGTCATAAACTCTGTCAAAACGGTGCACAATCCATCATATAAGGCCTACAAGAGTGTCATCTCCATGTAGGGGGTCAGTCAAGCATAGGTCAGGGTCAAGGTCAGGTCAACCGGGTAGGCACATATCCCCGAAAATCAAAACTGATATTAGCAGCCTGTGACACATGTTTTATAGGTAATTTGGGGCGTAGAACACGATGGTGACATTCATTTTATCATATGTGTACGTGTTTGGCTCAAAAAGTTCAATTTAAGAAATGCATGTATCATGGTCGTGAAGTAGTCACGAGAAATTGCCAAGATTCAGTTCAAGATTATGGAAAATGCGGAACGACAATCAATAATCGAAGATAGCCATTTGATTGATCATGGTATTGGCAGTCTAATGGCGTTTACGGCATGTCTGTATGTCTATTCTGTGATTTTATATGATTTTTTGAACATATGCCGTTTTTGGTCGAAAAGTCAGAAATCATGACGTTACTAAAATCTCGATATCTCAAAAATTTTCCGACCGATTTTTTTGAAACTTCGTCACAATAAACTTCAATCAATTCCCTACAGGTACCCAAAATTTGGCGCGCCTGCGGCGCGCCGTTTTTATGCTATGGCCCGGCGAAAAAAGTGGGGGCGTTTAACGCCCCCCCCCCCCAGCAACTCGCGGGTTAAGTCGGCGGCGAAAGGGTTACCGCCTAGTGCCAGTTATAAGGTACAGTGCTGTAAATCGTTAAAGATAATATCCGGGAATACCAGAAAAGAGTGAGACGGGTGATATCGAGGTGGCGAGTAGATGTTCAATTGCAAGGTTATTTGTGATCGTTTCCCCAGAAAAAGTGATTCACTTGGATTTATTACACGTATGATGTACAGTCCACAGCAGAAGTAATGTGGGGGTTCAGTCATGGGTATGTTCTGCTTCTGAAGCTTAGGAACAATGACTACAGACTACAGACTACAATGAAACTTTGAATGTAGCTTATATGTATCGTCACCCTTGCAGCTGCAACTTTAGCTATTGACATCTTCTTTTCGATCACTCCGCATTAAACAATCGCCAGTGAAAGCCAACCGTTGAGATTGGTAAAACCCTACATTACTTTAGCGGTGGGCTGTACATTACATGGAAACGGAGGACCAAACAAAACATATCCTTGACTCCGTGTTCCGTCGTGGCTATCCTCCAGGTTTCACGAAAAAATCGTTTTTCAACGTTCAAGATACCTACGCAGCAAAAGGTGCCTTTTTGTTGCTAAGCTCTACCTCCGCTACTTCCAACCACAAAATCATTCTTGACATATTCGACATTTACTTTAGAAATGTCACGCTTGTCACTCAGAAGTCAGAAACGTCTAAGACTGAGCACGTCATCGGCGCACCATCACTGCCAAAGGTCTCAAAAACGATAGTTCGATCACGAGTTTCTGTTAAATTTGAGCGATTAGGAATTGTGATCATTAAGCAATTTTTTCGACCAATCTCATCTACATATATTCAATTCTTATAAGCTGCAATACGGTTAAAAATAATGTGTCATGATCACACTCACGTTTATACCCCTACAGTATGTGAACACGGTGTAACCAAGCGAGTGATTACACAATCATAAGGTCATATTGCACCGTCAAAATCGAGTACAACTTCGCACTCGCCCTGCTCGTTGACTCCATATCGATTTCCCGTCGGGCGTCTTACATAACATTGCTACTGGGCGGTGGTCGTTTCTACCTGTCGACGACCCCATTCGCTATACACCTCCCCCTATATCCACAGTCAACTGCCATTGGCAGTGTGAATATCCTTCATAGAAGGTCATGGCAAGGTCAGAACTGTCAAAAGGGGTGACCTATGGTCCGACCGGCCGGCCGTCCGGCAGCCCACGCACCCCCAGCACATGCTGCGTAGTACTCGCCAACCACATTTACATGGATAATTTGAATTTGGTTCACTTCAATTGAACTAGTGTGTTTAGCATTTGACAAATAACTTTCGAGAATCTGTCAGAATCATAGCAGTGCAGGTGGGTCAAAAACGCAGTACACTCAGTACTGGCACCATAAAAATATGATTGGCGATTGCAAATGTTATATTGAGGTAGTACGAGCGAGGTAGCGTATTTATACAAAGTAAGCATAACATAATACAAAAAAAAAAAAAACTTAGTGAATGTGGTCCATCTGTCCCTGATTTGTCCTCATTCGGCAGAATACACCGGCATGAACTCAGCTTGCGGACGGCCGCACAGCTAGCATCATTAAATCCTAAAAAGGAAAAGTCTTGTCTCGTTCTCCGGGCTGGCCCGTTACCGGGACAAGAACTATTCGTAAAGAAGTGAAACTCCAGACCCACACCCCAAGTCACATTACTCACGTGAACTCGAGCTGGTGCGCATACTCTCGGGATATGTCGGGGATCTGTTCTGGGGCCAGTTTGTTGGCCAGCTGCAGGGCCATCTCCCACTGCAGCAGGTCACGGCGCATCTCCAGCGCCGCCACCGGAGTGCCGGACATCAGGAAGAACGTCTGTCGGTGGAGAGGGGACGCAGTGGCTGTGACGGTTCGGTGGTGTGAGGTTCGGATTGCACAATCATGTGTACGGGGGTTTATTACGAAGCACTTTCACTACTTGCATTAATGTTTAATGCATGTCGGATGGCAATGCCTTCAGCACTCAGTTGACTGTCTAATTGAATTTAGTGATTGCATTTGTTTTGAGAAAAGGTTGAAATCCAAACAATTGCAAATACGGCATGAGGATTGAGGATATCGCGATGCAGATCATATCGTCAAATGTATTTCACAAGATAAAACGTCACACCGCGCAAAAAGTGAGATATGCACAATGTAAATCAACATTAAGCAGATCCCTTTACCATCCTCTGCGATCACTCACCTGCGCCTGGTCGAAGTTTCCGAGGAACATGGCCACGTATCCAGCCAGCAGCTTGATGTCCTCAATGTCCCGGATCGTCTCCAGCGACCAGAGCATGCCGACGTCGCCCATCTGGCGGTACACCCGCATGGCCATCTCGATCTGCAGGTCCTTGAGGCAGGCCTCGCCCAGCCGGCGCCACTCCTCCGGCTTGTCCAGCGCCTGCGCCACCGTCCACGCGTCCTTGTACCTGGGGTCGGAGGAGGAAGATGAAGTGATAGGTATAGGTGGGGAGCGACGATGAGAAGCGAGAGAATCAGGGCTCGGGAGCATGTGGGAAATCGAGTAAAGGAGAAGGAAATAGTAGATAAACACGTACTGTTTAAATAACACACAATACACAGCAGTCCTAAACCATATCCATAACATCAAGCGAGCGAACAATATTTTTGAGTCGGAGCAACGATTTCATCCGGCTAGAGCGAGTGGGACTAATTTAGATCCCAACAAAGTCCCAGGGCACTAAATTATCTTACCTGCGCAGTGCGATGTTTTTCTTACCTGCGCAGTGCGATGTTTTTCTTGAGCGCGGTGGTGAGCTCCTTCTCCTCGTATTGGTTCATGTTGGCCTCCATCTCGTGACTGGCCAGCACCTGGAGCGGCAGGAGAATCGTGTCATGGGACCGGGAGACGTAGGGGGTCGCAAATAAAATTCAGGCGGCACCTGATTCATTGTGAGGCAAGAACGCCAGGAAGTTAAAAGGCCATGTAGAATGAACCTATGAGAAGCGAGTCTCGCTACTTGGCAGATAAACCTCGCTGACACCAAACGCCTCCCCAAGGCGGCATAGTGGCTGCTCCGAGTACCTGAGATCATCTGAGATCCATGATACTCACCAGCTGGGTGACCCGTCCGGAGCACGTCTGCAGTGTGACCTCGCCGTTATAGAGCAGCAGCGGAGACTGACCCGCGGGGAGAGGGGTGGTGTCTACCATGTCCACTACGGCGCCTGTAACACACAGTATCTACGTCAGCGGGACGGAGCAGCAGCGGCGACTGACCGGCCGGGAGAGGGGTGGTGTCCATCATATTTACCACGGCACCTGTAACAGAGGTTAGTGGGATCGGGTCCAACACTTACGATTCATACCCTAGCTGTCGTGAAAATAATAGTAGACAAAAAGTTCCTGCTTTTACTTGTAGCTCAGGGCCGCATGCTCAACGATGGATAGCAAAGTACATTACTAAAACACGCACCGTTCACAAAATATCCCCAGCACCGGCCAAACCCCAGTTTTCTGTATCCCTCCTGTGTCTCGCACTGATCCAGGACATTGACCGTTTATGTTCTCCCTCGTCGTAGCGTGTCGCTATTCGTACTATCCCTGCCTCCAATCCCCCTTTCCTGCACCCTGTAACACACTGATATAGGCTGTAGGACACTGACCGTCAATGTTCTCCCGCGTGTAGACGAATGTGGAGATGGTGGTACGGTCCCAGGCGATGAACACGTTCCGATCCAGCGGATAGTTCTCCCAGAGTACACCCAGCGCCTGGGGAGGGAACTTGACAATCCGCTCCAGCAGATCCGTCACCTGGCGGGGAGAAAGAGGGTAAGAGAAGAAGAAAGAAAGAGGGAGAGATACGGAAAAAAGGACAACGCAGAGACAATTCTCATTAAAAAAAAAAACTGGACTAGAAATTCACAAGACGCAACACAAAATCGCAAGCCTGGTGGTAACCGACGATCAAGTTTCCGTATCGCTACATAGATGGCGGCAGTGTCTGCGCCTGGTAGATATACTGTTCCGCATCGCTTGGGACAACTAGTATCGCCAATCGAGCATAGATGGCGCTAGTTGTATTTACGCCTGAATCTAGGCTGTACCGCATAGCTCTAGCCAGAGCAGTCGCGCGGCGACGCTTATTCGGATGCGTTTCTTTCATGGATCTCCATTTAAAAGCCGAAACTAAATGACACGCCACCCGGATAGCCAACAGTCCTTAACAGCAGCTGCAGCCGGCGACGAACAAAACTGCAATCCCGTAGCAGTGTAAGACCAATCTCGTAACAACCATGAACCAACACATTCTACCAATCTTTCCTCATTCTGAAAGCCCACACCAATGCATAAAATGGCATGTCAATATCACTACACAGTGGCCACTGCCGTCACATACCTCCAGCCTACCTACCCCGCCCAACACAGCCCGCCAGGTAGCTCACTCACCGGGTTGAAGATGTGGCCCTCGCTGCGCTCGTCGACAAACACCACCCGCGTGCCGTTGACCTCCGGGTAGAGCTGTCGGATGCCCATCGTGTGTCGGTACTCGTTCACCACAGTCCAGTCCTCCAGGTAGAAGAACACCAGCTGGCCCGTCTGGAAAATGGAGTGGAGAATGTGGAGACGGTAGATAGCAGTTTTGCCGTCACCGCTGTGAAATCAACTGTACTCTAGGCGGATGATGACGGGACATGGCCGCATTCAGACACACTTAACTGGTTCACACGATAGACCAAAGATATAACTCTCAAAGGCAGCTGCATTGAGGGATAAATTCTAAGCTTGTTATCTATGCCGTTACACAGGCAGCCATAGGAACAAATACAAAATAACCAAAGAGGCATTCTAAGCATTACAACTGGTCAGCCGATCACCAGTCCATGATACGAGCCGTTAATGTTCAACCAGCACCCGTATCAAGTGACCAGTAGCCCGACCATTTTTCGTCCCCGTCCGACTCACATCGGTTCCATAGATGAGGAAGTCGGCCGTCAGGTAGTGGCAGGTGACCTTCATGTCCCTGTGCTCCGGATCGGGGAACAGACGGCCTTCACGCTCCTCAGACTCGCCAGACTCTGACTCCAGCTGGAGGAGAGTCAACGAGTCAGACAGGGAATCAAGAGATCAGTCGACGGGTCAGATTAGGAACAGAGTTTGAGGTAACAATTAAGTCGGACAGATAGAATCAATAAAGTCGGACAAATACCAATCAGCGAATCTGGGCCATGCTGAGTGAAGATGCTACAATAAAATCTGAGCTGGCTCTGGGTACTGTCAAAACGTCACCCAGCTTCAGCAAAACCTGTCCAGCTCTTGACATCTCATAGCTGACCACCCCCACCCCAGCCCGCCTGCTTTCGATGGTGGCCCCACTCACCACGTGCAGCTGTATGACGCCGTCACAGAGGATGGACGCGTAGTCGGCGTTCAGACGCACAGACTCCACCGTGCTCAGGTACTCCCGGTCCCGGATCAGCTCCGGCGAGGTGGCTGGGAAAAGAGAGGGTACTGGTCAGACACCGTGCTGAGGCATTTATTCCCTCTACCTTATCAGCTCCGGGGAGGTAGCTGGAAAGAGAGAAAAGTGCAAGTATACGTACAAATTACATTTTGTTGGCATACAGAGGCGCGTACAGACTGACTGTACCGAAAAGGCTTAACATCAGCATGACCACGCTAATCCTCATACCCAATTAAGATCGCCGTTAACGGTTATACTGATAGTGGCTTCGTTCCTCACCTCCCTCTCCGATGAGGTAGATCCAGGCGCGGTTGTTCATGCCGACAATCAGGTGGAACGGCCCGATCCCCAGGAAGCTCGGCTCCACGTCCACAGTAAACGGTATCGACTCCTCCTGCCGCCGTCAGCACCGGGGTCAGAGGCCGCCGGTCAGAGATCAAAGGCAAAAGTCATACCCAAGCTCTCAACTTTAGGATAGGTTGTACTCAGCCTTCAGGAAACGGCCCTACAATTGGGACAGTGAGGAGACAGCGAAATAAATGAGAAACGCGTCAAGCTATTTTTTTTTTCGAAACAAGCCTATTTCACAGCATCTTCTGCCTGAGAATAATTGAAAAGGTTTGGTTAATCGTTGCAAAATTTATCCGCGATGGTTGTACCAGAAACTCTTTTTTTTTTTGCATGAAGGTTTTCTTCCATCCGCAACTAGTTACATCCCGATAACGTGGGCACTGCCAATCGTCAAACAAATCTAGTTCGCCAATCCTCGCGAACTGACCTTCCTGAGGTAGTCCATGATGGTGACCTCCAGCAGGCTGGTCAGCACGGCTATGCGGGTGCCGGCGGCGCCGCCCAGTATCGGCAGCGAGCTCAGGTAGACGTGCAGGTTGCCGGAGCTGCACCCAACGGCCAGCAGCTGCCCGTCGTCACTCCACTCCACCTGGTCCACCGACTTCTCATCGTCCAGCGAGAGCACCGACCAGATCTCCTTCATCTCCTGCAGCTCGTGGATCTTGACACTGAGGGTGGAGGGACGAGAAAATGTAGGGAAATGTAGCACATGTATGTTCAACGGAAGACATGCGTTGATTTATGGCGTAGCTTAGGTTCAGGGATAGCGCGTTTCTAATTCATAATAACGAATAAAAAGCCCACCACGTAACTAGAGGTGGCAAAATGTGGACCCGAGGACCCGGTCCAAAGAACCAGTCTGGACCCATATGGGTCTAGACCGGTTCCTGGAAATTTTCTGACGGGTCCAACCGGGTCCTACCATAAACTATACATCTTGCACACTACACATTATTGCAAAATATGAAGTGAATGTTTCTTTGCACACAGTAACTTAGCTCATGAGTATTCCCAGTGGGAAATAGGCTGTTTTACATGATGCAACTAATGATTCCTACAAGAAGTCTGTATTAATTGACTTTTGGGGAACGGGTCCAACTGGTTCCAGTTCCAACTAAGACCGGGTCCGACTGGTTCTAGAAATGTCCAGCCGGGTCTGGTTCGAGTCTGGTTCCCAAAATTTTCATCTTTTGCCACCTCTACACGTAACAACCAATCCCATCCTTTCTAAATCACTCTCGTTTCCCTAACAAAGACAGTAAGACGTTGCAATGTCACCTACAGCCAAAACCACTCCCTCACCATCCCAGTCGTCCCACCAGGCCTCCCCGTTTACTGACACATTGTCGCCGCAGGAGGCTGCCTTGCTGAGAGCCAGGTTGACGGCTATGTCGGTGAGCGCCGTCTTGTGGTTTTTGATCTGGAACAGCTCCGTGCCGATCTCCTTCATGTGGCTGGAGATGGCCACGAAGTAGCCACTGGAGAAACCCAGCAGAATGTACCCGTCTCCGAACCTGAATAACAAGAAAACGGGGCGCGGAGGGCGCGTCTGGTGACGGACTGTGCAGGAAAACAAGAAAGGAGCGTAAGATACAAACGTATCAAACAGCACAGAGTGTTAATCTAACAAAATAGATCGACTTAGTAAAAGACATTGACAGAATATTACCTATCAGGTTAACAGCAATTATGTTGAAATTGGATGGGGGTTTTGATACAGATAATCCATTACCACAAAAGGTTTGTTATGCAAATATTAATCAGCGAAATTGCAGCACACTTCAAACGCAACCAGCGCTGATTCAATGAAAAAGACCGCCTAGCACATTTTAACGACATCTAACAAAATGTGCAAACATTCAGAACCAACAACAACAAAAGCACGCAACAAAGAATCAAGCACACATGCGCCATTAAACGTAAATTGCATGAATTTCACAAAGCATGTGGGGAAAAGAAAGAAAAGTTGAAAGGAGTCCAACTAACATCAAGCCATCAAAATACATCAGCAAAACAAATCATTACCGTCCACCACACGTATCAGGGTAAAACACAACGAAAGATAGAACCAACAACGGCTATAATAGAACTCCTAGACCCAACAAAACCGAACCGGTTAGATAACCAAATGAAGTCATCAAAACTCTTAAAGACCCATATTTCCTAGAACCGAGTTTAAACCAAGCACGTAGGACGTTCATACGGGAGGGCGATCAGTGCAGTCTGTGATGGTTCCCGAGCTCTGCAGCGAACACCGCCTCACCACTCGTATTGTGTGATGTTGCCATATCGGGCCTGAAACGCCAGCTCGACTGGGTTGTCCGGGTCGGTCAGACTGAACAGAAACAGGTTTTTCTTGACCAGCACGAGACTGACCTGCGACAAAAGCGGTGTATGTCGCGGGAAAGCCATCGCAGGGAATAATATGCACTTATCAAATGTCAAAAGAACATCCCTGCTCTTTCCTAACGAATGTATGAATGCATATGTTTTGGCCCACAATAGCGCAGTTTCCATCGGAAGATAATATGCACTGTTTCCCGTGTTTTAGACGATCAGACGGGTAGCATTTGCTATGAAACTTTCAGGCGCCTGAGTATATGTTGATGTGTGGTACATATGCTAGGACAATAGGTCGATGAGTCAGAGGATCAATTTCAGGTCAACGATCGCCCTGAAAGGTCAGCGTTACACGTTTTTTCTTTTTTGCTCTTAAGTGACTGAATTGCAATATAATAAGGTTCTGGGTGGTGTTTCAGTAGACAGCAAACACAGTCATAGATAATGTACAGAGAATGAAAAAGTAGAAGGAGTATACATGGGTGAACAATATAATTACAATCCGCATCTATTGTAAACACACATTACATTCCATAGAATCTAAGACGAATAGCATATTACGACGAAGTGAAGAGAAACATCCCACGACAGAGTGACGTTGGGAAACGTTATAGAGAGCAAAAGAGACGCAGTTGCTCTAGCAATACTATACAGAAACAATCGGGCTAGAGATATGGCCACTTTCTACGCCAGCTGTCGAGCGATACGGAGAGGAGCATCAATCAACAGCGAGCGTTCTACGAGCCAGCGCCGTTTCCATGGTTACCATTCGTGAGCGACCAGCTTGCCGTAAGCCGGTTTGAAGTCGAGCTCGATCGGGTCTTTGGCGGGCTCCTCCAGATAGTGAAGCAGCAGCAGCGACTTTTTGTCGCCGATGAAGCTCACCTGTGCCGTGGGTTAGAGGAGAGGTGAAGGTATCGGGTTCGGAAGGGGTTAACGTAGGACGGATGCGATAGAGGACAAGAGAGAATGACTGGGAAAGGTTGGGCAAACGTTGGATGCTTCGAATCTCTGCATTCTGGACTGTACTGGATTGCAACTGACTGCAAGGCGAACGCAAATTTTGATTAAGAGTTGTGAGTTTTTGAAGACGGGGAGGCAGATATTTTGACAACTTATCGAAAGACGGAAGTCAAATACTGATTAGGTATAGTAGACAATTCCCGCGAGAGTCACAAAACTGCCCGCGGTGGGAATCGAACCCCCGGTCGTACCGTGTTCTCGCCGTCCGAGGCGCCGTCCATCTTCATCTCGGAGAACTGGATCTGACTGGGCTCAGCGCGCAGCGTGGCCACGCGCATCGTGTCGCCGAACTCGTTACTGATGCTCAGCGTCTTGTCCTCGCCGCCCAGCGCCAGCAGGTTCTGCTTGTTCCAGGCGCCGCATGTGATCCGGCGCGTGTGCTTACCCAGAATCGGAATCCGGCTGAAACAGGGAGAAAAAGTGGCCAGCGATGGTGATAGAGGTTCTGTGACAAGGTGCACACTTCGAGGTATTCTGGTCATGCTTCAAAACAAGCAAACAAATCGAGCTTAATTCCACAGGAACTCCCCCACCATACCCGACCATCAACAGCAAATCTAAGTAGTAGCGGCAAAGCTGACCACGTCCACCCACCGAGACGTCTGGTGGTTGTAGATCATCAGGTTTCCCTTCGCCGTGCCCACAGCCAGGTAGGCGGAGGTGCGTGACCAGATGAGCGAGCTGAGCGGGTCGCGCAGGCCAGAGTCCAGCTGTCGGACCCGCGTCTTGCTGCTGTAGTTGGCGTCCCACAGGATGATGGCAGAGTTTTTCTCGTTGATTGCAGCCAGGATGTCACCGTTCATGTCCCAGCCGAACCCGGTGCAGTTGCTGTGGGTTCCAGAGGACGGCAGAGTGGTGACAGGGAAGGTCGGTCAGAACACGGACAGGGTTAGGAGACCGGAATTTAGATTTTAGCTCGCTCCCCCGATTCTTTATCAGACGAATTCTTATTTGTTAACTGCATCACATAAGACTGCATCGGAAAGTCATGCCTATACGCAACACTGAATCGTCAGCAATATAACATCAGCTGGTGTCGTGAGAACAGACGCCAGTAATACTGGACGAAAGGTGCGTAAACTGGGCTCTGAGACTGGCAGATGCGTTTCAAAATAAACAGCAAATCGTCCGATAGGCTGCCGATCTCGCCACACTGACCCCGGCAGCGCGATCTGGTCGACCATGGTGCCCATGCGGTCGTAGATGTTGACCAGCTGGTTGTAGCCGGTGGTGGCCATGTAGGTGCCGTGGCGCCGCTGCCACGCGAAGAAGATGCCGCCCGGCCCGTGCGGGCTCTGCAGCGTGTACAGACGCTGTGGACGGGACAGGGGGCGTCAGAGGGGTGTGAGAACTGTACTGGATGGGCGCGGGAGGCAGACGGGCGCGGTAGAGTGGGGCAGCAAACGGGCATGGAGCGGGTGCCAGATGGGAGTGGGTCACCAGACGGGTACTTACCTGACGAGAGTCGGAAAGGAACGGACAGGAGTTAGACGGTCGAGAGACCGAGACAGGCTGGACACTGGACAGGGCTGACAGAATATCAGACGGCAGCAGGTAGCCGCCGAGGCATCAGGAAAAGGTATGGAGATTGCGAGTGTATTAGTCATGTGTCAGTCCACAGAAAGAAGCGTTAAGGCAAAGACGTCGTTGTGCTTACGTCGGCCGTCGTCAGCAAACTCAGTAAAGTCAAACACTTCCAGAAATGTGCCATGCACATTAGGCAGTGGGCAGGCATAGTCACCAATCAGACATTGCACGCTCAACTCTAAAAGCCAATAACCTGCATCACACAGCATCGGCCGTGTGCTGACCGAGGGTAAATACCACGCTCCTGTAGACAGCGGCCACTACCTCCCCGCTCCCTGCGCGCTCACCCATCCCCACAACTCCAGACAGCCTGCGAGCACAGACTGAGACAGCTCAAATGACACCCTTCCCACTCCCGCCCGACCTATCGGCGGGAGGGCGGGGATAGACGCATGTCAGGTGTCGGGTGACAGGTCACGTATAGAACGTCAGACGAGTGAGCCCCCTACCCCTCCCCACTTGGTGCACTCGATTCCGATAAAGACGTCCAGTTTGTATCTCACCGTCGGTAAAGAGCTTCATGACGTATGAGATGGAGCACACGCAATGACTTGGTCTGGTCATCGAAAACGGTAGAAAATATACTCAGATGTATATAAGCGTAAAGGTAGGCCTGGCCTGAGCTGGGTTTTAATTTGATGTGGAGGGATCAATCGTCGTATCAGAGCCCAGCCCCATTTCAGGGGCAGGCAGGCCCGGTGATCACAGCTGTCTCGGAACTGACACAAGTTCAGCTTGTGACTTTGGTAAGTTCAGAGACCTGGGAGTGGGACTTCATTGTGCCCCCACCGGTCATGGCAAGGCCAGGTGGCACGCTGTCGTTGCTATGGATACCAATACATACAAACTGTCAGGGTGCGGGACACCGGCGTTCCCCGTCAAACCCCACTCAACTCTCACCTTATCCATCGCCATAGCTTCCGCTCCAGCGTCTCACCAAACTCTCACTCCAACACACACACACTTTCGATCACGGATACAACCACCGCCCCCGTCCGTCCGGCCGCCCGGTCGGTTCACTAGTCACTGAGGAATGTCAGGCGCTCCGCCCGCCGCGCGGTGTGGATCGATCGGTGCACAGGCGCGGGATCGAATCCCAGGAACGGCGCTCGTTTTCCCGCTACTGCGCCGTGAATTGTAGTGAATGCACCATGGCTGGAGGTGCAATGGGGACGGGCTGGTCTAGATCGACGGTGAAGGCAGGGTTATATGACGTCATCGACAGAGGCAAGGTGCAACGATTGGAGCTGTGTTCATGGGAGGGGGACAGCAGGAGGCATGGAGCTGAAATATGTGGGTGCGAACGTTTGCACTAGGAATCTCGAGGAGTCCAGAGTGACAGCATAATCTGACATCGATTGAAACACACTGGTGGAAATCGAACTATGGCGCTCATCGTACAGCAGCAACAGTTGGAAAAGGAACACCAGCAAGCATGGGTAGCTACAAAGAGGGATAGTTGCGAGGAAGGACATAAACATAAGGAAGGAACGCACCGCTGCCTGGCGCTGCTTGTCGTCCTTTCCTTCCTTGTCCTTCGAGGCGACCGTCTTCTTGGCGACAGCGTCTGCCTTGGCCACAGCGGGGGCAGCCTGGCGCTTGATGGAGCCCGGCCAGCAGTACACGTTACCTGGCGGCGGGGACGGGATAACAGTGGTAGAACGGTAGGACAGAGAGCACTGATAGGACGGGGCTGGACTGATGACAGTGGGGCAGCATTATTACCCTTAGGGCCTAGGTCCTAATAGCCGTAAATAAACCACTCAATTGGACACAATCGCTCCCTTCACGAAGGTCCGGTCAGGGTCTTGTGAAATATAATCCCTTTAGCTGTGCTGGCAACATATTAGCGCGGCAAATAATTGCTGCACTTCTTACCCTCCACATAACCGGGTCTATGTTACTGACAAGTGTGACCGCTTACTGTGACCGCTGACCAGGTGACATCCAGTGTCGCATCACTGACAAGTGACAACCAATCACCAAACCTACACGTATCCAAACCCGTCGGCGACGACCATTGTAAAACCACTGATCCTTGAGTTAAAGCTCTACCATTCAGACCCTCAGTGGCGGTCTCTAACCTTGCGCCGATGAGACGGTGAGCGCGTCACCGTCGTCGGACCACTCGATGGCTGTCAGCGGCGACGGCTCGCCCTTCACCTCCAGGTTTCCGGTCGTCTCGCGCGGGTCGTCAATGTTGTGGATACGGATACTGGGGAGGAAGCACGAGGGAATGCGGTGGGATGAGGGACGATGAGTGGAGGAGTGAAATGATGAAGGGCATGGGAAACACGAATCCTAGGATTGATGGAGGGTAGCGTTGCTATGTGGCAATTCATGGTACCGTTATTCACCGTCTAAAATTACTGAAAAGTAAGCACTGTTGTATTTTGAGTGCCGTAAGAAACTGTCCGTAGGCGTAAGCGCTCTCATTTCCCTTTCCACTGACTTGACAAAAGACTTCCCCCCTCCCTCCGCCCACCGACCTGACGCCGCTGATGGTGGCGCAGAGGCCCAGGGCGGTGCAGACGGCCACGCCGGTCAGCTCCGACGAGCGGTAGTCGCGCACCTGGAACAGCTCCGTGCCCATGTTGGACGGGTTGGTGGACACGATGTTGAAGTAGCCTTTAGAGAAGCCGATCAGCAGCAGACCCCGCGGCAGCCTGGTGACAAAGGCGTGCGACAGAGCCACAGCTGCTAACGGGTGTCAAGTCCAAAATGAGACAAAATTGAAATCACTCTATTTTCAACCTCCCTTTAGATATTCACCTGAAATTTGGACAGAATGTCCATACGTGAATTGCACGAGCATGATGTTAAAATATTAAGGCTACGTATTGAGGTCAGTCGTCATGAAGCTTTTGAGCAAGCAAGCCGCAAGAGACATTGTCGCGAGAGTAGTTGACAAAACCCGAACTTGACTAAGGCTCAGGTTTTCCGCCACGTTAAATCGCTTGGTATTCCACGATCGACTGATATATCGCCTTATCAATACATTCCTAGACAAAGGACACATACGACGAGCTCAGAATGGCAGGCCTGCTCCCAAAATGTCAGCAAAGAGGCGCCAAGACCTTGTTCGCATGGCAGACGGCAAAGTCGGCGTCTCACTTCGTCTCTTAGCCCGCAGCTTTGGCATAACGCATGACAGAGTGAGGCACATTCTCAGAGAGGAAGGGGTAAGATATAGGATGCGCCAGAAAGCTCCTCCGGTATCTGCTCAGCGAGAACAATCTCAAAAGGGCCGCCTGCGACCCCTTAGCCGGGGAAAACTGAGTGCCACTCGAGAGCAAGATGCCATCATGGACGATGAAAGCTACTTCGCCTACACTGGCTCAGAAATGCCACAAAACCGTGGTTTTTACGCTGGGCCTGGTGGAGACACATCGAATGTGACGTACCGTCCGATTGGGAAGTTCCCACGTAAGCTTCTTGTGTGAATAGCCATATCACCCAAGGGAGTAGCAAAACCAACAATTTGCCCCAGTTCAACAAATGTTAGCGCCCATGTCTACATCACAAAGTGCCTGAACAGCAAACACAAACCGTTCATCGAGGCCAGCTACTGAAGGGGTGGATATGCATTTTGGCCAGACTTGGCTTCAGCTCATTATGCACGTGCCACGTGCCAGTTTCTGGAGGAGGCTGGCATACCATATTTAAGCCGCGAGGAAAAACCCCCGAATGTCCCGCAACTGAGACCAATAGAGGACTTCTGCGGCATACTTAAAGAAGAAGTCTACCGTGGTGGCTGAACAGCGTCATCCGATCAGCAGCTGCGTGCCAGAATCCTGAGCAGCATCAAGAAAATTGTCCCGGAGGTGCCGCGATCGATGATGAAGGTAGCGGGAGAGCACGTGCGTCTGGCAGACAGGCATGTACCCCTGGTTCAGATTCACTAGTACCAGTGGACTGGCGACAGAACAAGGTATATGTGGTGAAAGTTTCGTTAAAATATCTAATAATACACAGTGTCTACCTTAATTTTGCGTTTGTCCCATTTTGAACTTGACACCCGTTACTGACAAATTATCGGGCAATTTGCCTTACCGATCGCGTAGCCCGGTACCCGAGGCGCTGGTCGTGTGGTCATTCGTGCCCGTGTCGGCTTCGGGGCTGAACGGCCGCACCGCCTAGTATATAAGCAACAGCTATCGCAAGTTAAATGCACATAGCCATAGCGCTTACACGTACGCATACGAAGTCATCCAAGTCCTTTTTCATTTCAATGCACCTCCCGGTTTTTGACGGCGGCGAGCCGAAAGCTGTGGAGCCTATATTGAACTGTAATCTGTGAATATTACGAATATTACGAAGTAGTGATGAATCGGGTAGTTCGTACCATTTCTGGTCGACGATGTCGCCGTAGCGCTCTGAGAAGGTGAGCTCCACGGGTCCGTCCTTCCTGTTGACGTTCAACACAAACACCGCCTTGTTTTCGAGCAGCAGCGTCAGCTGCAACACAAACGACATTTAATTATTTTTTTCTATTTTTTTCCTATTTGGCTTATTCTGTGACTTGTGATTCCGTGACAAGATCTGGATGAATATCTAAACATTTAAGCTATATCGCCAAATAACTTAATAGCCCATCCCAACAAGATCGAGTGTCGTGACTCGTGAGCGTATCGATTATATCCCGCCGTGCTCACCAGCGAGTCCTTGCCGTTATCGGCCCGTCCGTACGATATGTTTGAGGGCTGGAGCCGGAGCCGCAGCTCGGCGAACGTCTGTCCGTTCTCGTGACTGAGACTGAGCGTTTGGTCCTGGGCGCAGATGGCCAGCTGTCCGTCCGGGCTCCAAGCGCAGCCCGTGATGGCCGCCTTGTGCTTGCCCTCCATGCAGCCCGACCTGGAGAGGGGGGAGGGGATGGCGAGACCTGGGGATATGTGGTGATGGGAGGGGTAGCGCCGATGCCCCCGGATCGAATGTCGAACGCTTAAGTGGACGCGTATAGGAGCGGTGTCACGTGACCACGAAGACTGCAGGGAATCGGGACAACGGAGGAAGATTTAGGAGGGTAAGATGAGAAAAGGAAAGAGAGAGAGAGAGAGAGAGAGAGAGAGAGAGAGAGAGAGAGAGAGAGAGAGAGAGAGAGAGAGAGAGAGAGAGAGAGAGAGAGAGAGAGAGAGAGAGAGAGACAGAGACAGAGAGAGAGAGAGAGAGAGAGAGAGAGAGAGAGAGAGAGAGAGAGAGAGAGAGAGAGAGAGAGAGAGAGAGAGAGAGAGAGAGAGAGAGAGAGAGGAGGGAGAGGGAGCGGGAGGGAGAATAGAGAGAGGGGAAGGGAAAAGAGAGTGTTTGGTCGTTGTAGATACGCGACGAGAATGAAAACGCATAAGCATGGCGAAAAAAAAATCAGCGTCGACGCCCTGTTCCTTCCGCCAGCTCCTGTATGCGTTCAAAAGCATCGCCCTATCTGCATATTGAGCTAGTATAGCGGTTAATGAAGTGACCGATGACGGCCGCTGACCGGAACGGCGGAGAACCGTGCACGCAGCTTGAGGCAGGGCTCAGCTTGTCTATCCGCCGACTCACTTTCCGTTGGCGTGGTTATACATGAGCACGTTGCCTGCCTGGGAGCCGCAGGCCAGAAGGAGTGACGTCTTGGACCAGGCCATGCAAGTCATCGGGTCGGCGAACGCCGCAATCACCTCCTTCTTCTTGCCCTGCGAGGGCCAGACGGAAAAAAAGACTGTCAGGGCGTATAGAAATATAAGCATCGGCACGGGCGTTGCAATGCATAAATGGGCAGCACATAAGTACGATTCATAAAAGGAAGCTACATTGTTTAGGTACCTTATTGCCATTATGTGATGTTTACTGTTTATCATACGAAAAAAAAACATCGCGAATGACCCAAAGATCCATCAAAAAGCAGCGTCCCAGTCAATATCCAACTGCGGTGGCTAGTCATTCTGCCGGTGACCGTCGCTACTGACCTTCATACCATCGAAAAGTGTGGCCACGGGGGCGGCCGAGTTGAGAGCGGCCAGCGCCGAGCCGTCCTTGCTCCACTCCAGCGCCACACATGGCCTGAAACCGCCAGGACACGATAAAATCACGGCAAGAAACTGTTAATAGGTTTGGATGTTATAATAGAGAGCCGTTGAATGAATGAAGGTACGATAAACGATAACTAACTATGAGCCGAATGTCGAACAAATGCTTGAGCAAACGTCGCGAAAATTATTTTGCACTCATGCCCGCACGGGTGCACGATGGATTGAGTCTATGGCTGAAGGATGAAATGCTGGTGACGCTTTTAGGCTGTAAACGGTTGGCTATGCGAAGCGGCGTTTTTATTGCGACCGTTTATTTTCCTTCGCAACCTAACTCGAACATTAATATTTTTTCGCTGTAACAAATTTAAACAAACTTAACAAAGTTAATGCCAGAAAGATACTAGTTCGGAGTCTAAATACGCGTTCGGAGTCTCTCGGACGACGAAGATTCTACGTCGACCGGCCGGTATATAGGGCCTTGGACCGGCCAATCCCGTCTAAGGTCAGCGGGGGCTTGGCTGCCGTTATGGAACGAAATTGGCCGGACGACGTAAAATCTTCGTCTTCCGAGAGACTCCGAACGCGGGATAAATGGTTCGTTTATGTATGTGAATGGCTGTATCCAGCACCAGCGAAGCTAGGCAATGCTACAATGCTCACAGCTCAATCAATCAATGAGATGTATCATGTAGCTAACCCTTTCAGTTTTAGTGTGTCGTTGACGGTGCCGTCGTTGTTGTAGATGCCGACGCGACTGTCGGCGCCGCCGACGGCCAGCAGCGCATGACCCTGGGAGGCCGGCTGCCAGGCCCAGAACTGCGGACCGGGCGGGCCATTCGGAGCCTTCAGCTCAAACACCGTCTGTCAGAGGAGAAGGGAGGCGATCAGCAGCGCAGTGATTGATTGGGGTGAGATGGTAGAGGTCAATCAGAGCTTACCGATCCACTAAGATGAGCTAGTGACAAGGCATCTGACCAGTAGGTAGTCCTTAGAACGAGTCAAAATTCTGCAGAAGGTAGGTACCTACTCCTAACCACCGTGGGGAGTCCAGGTCGGGGACGACTCAAAAGCACTTTCTAAAAAACGACAATGCATTACCGTAAGTTGAACCGTAAGCATTTGCACACACGGGTTATGCCCGTAATCGGGCCTAAGCGTTTCAGCTGAAACAATAACAGCGTTTTTCGTTAATTCTTACCTGGTTCAATTTACTTTCATTTTTCTGTCCCTTTCCATGGCCTGCCGCATGGCCTATGAGCTTTGTTAAATTACCTAGCATTATTTATACAACTTGCTGGAGCTTGTTACGATTAGATGAAACAATGCGACGATAAAATGACAATATTGATATTTCAAGACTGAGACCGACGAGTCGAGTCAATCTAAACGTAAACCACAGTCCACACGGCATAAGCCGGAAACATCCTTTCCGATCCTTTCGTTTCGGAGTGGACGTCCAAATGCGATACTTTTTGCTACATGACCAAAATATTCTTTGCGTGGCCATCTAATAAGTCGAATTCATATTTTCTGCCTTGTTGCTATGAAATAATACGACTCAAACGACTATTAAAAACGCCGAAAAGAATAAAAAATAAAACGAAATGTTTGTATTTCCCGCGCATAATTCGAAACCAGCAGTTTTTGCACAAAATTGCAGTAATTTTTTCATACCAATTAAATGCTCGAATAAAAAAAGCAATTAGATAGTTAGCGTTTTTCCATATAATTTACATATCTATCAGTTCAAATAGACATCAAAACTGAGGATTATACACTGGAATGTGTTTTAAAATATGTTGTTTTAATATTTCAAGACTTGCACTGTGTTTAATTGGGAAGATGGTTTTAACAAAAATATCAAAATATTTACTGACTACTGTGCCAATTTTGTGATTAGAAATTGAGGAAAGGCTTATATTTGTCCAGTTCACTTTTTCAAATTTAGTTTCAGCCTTTGAAGAAGACCAATAACAACTCTCTTCGGTACTGATTTTTGCAGTGTTTTAGATCTTCTTTAAATGACGTCAAAACTGACGCCCCATATTTGTTTCGCGTCGTATCTGGCGAACTACCAATCATGTCGGAGGACTTCCGTGCTGCTGCGGGTCCCGCCCAATAGGTGAGTGCTGTGTTTGGCTATCACTGATTGTTGGACGCAAGAGCCAAGCTGCTACGCGCCCTAACCCAGAACAACAACAACAACAACAACAACTATCACTGATTGTTTTGGTGAAATTGTTATTAGAAGATAAGGCTATTAAAGGAATTCTACGAAACATGAATATTGACTTCGATAAAAAATATGAACTGAATTGTTTGTAAAGGTAATGTGTTAATTGGTCAAGCCAGAAGTTTGAAGTGCATTTTCACTGCATTTGCTCTCCAAGTTCACATTATTATGATTTCCAGTCTTTATTTGCAATTACATATTTTTGCTTGATGCAGTCTCTTGCAGCTCACCTCTCACACCAGCACCAAAGTACAACTGTTAAAATTCTGCAATTGTTGGTAAGGCTTAGGCTCTGTAAAGTCTACACAAAATGACACACGTGAACTTGCATCTGATTGCAGCCTTTAACTACAATATTGCGATTCACAGCCATCTTGTTTCTTTGCCATGATGTTAAAAGCTAGCAACTAAAACTACTTTCATAGGCAGGCAAACAGACATTTTTGTCCAGAATAATTATTCTAAGGTATTCTCTTTGGTATCCTCAAATTATCCATTACAGTCAGGGAAACTATGGTAAAATCTGCCATTTTTAGCAGTCTGCTATTTCTAACAGAAATCTGCCAAAAATGGGTACGCATGTGACGTCATCGTACCCAAATATAGCAGATTTGGGTACGGCCCCATACAAAAGCAGATCTACACCCTAATTGAAGCAAATGCGCATCAAATGCCTGGCAGATTCATGATGAGAATAGTGCTGAGAGTGATCTCTGCTATTTTTGTTCAGATCCGGCTATTTTCAAATTCATTATTTGAAAATAGTCGGATCTGAACAAAAATATCAGAGGACATTCTCAGCACTATTCTAATCATGAATCTGCCAGGCATTTGATGCGCATTTGCTTCAATTAGGGTGCAGATCTGCTTTGGTATGGGGCCGTACCCAAGTCTGCTATATTTGGGTACGATGACGTCACATGCGTACCCATTTTTGGCAGATTTCTGTTAAAAATAGCAGACTGCTAAAAATAGCAGATTTTACCATAGTTTCCCCGACTGATTAGAGCCCCACCATTAGCTATCGGAAAGTGATGCCATTGCAATTTAACAAACAAAAAATGAAGAAAAATGTTGCCTGCTGGTATTTTGCTATTTAAAGTCTCCTGCAATGCAACAAAGTAACTGCTGACATTAAAGCATCAGTTAGACTGGCTGGGTGGAGTACTTGCAGGGGTATTTTTGTACATATACTGAATGATTCCAAAGGACCTTCTCAGTGGGATTGTGTTGATTTTTTTTTTTTTTTCTAGTAGGTACTTGAAGTACCTATCTTCATTTTTTGTATCAATGCAGTGTGACCTACAGCATTGGTATAACTTACAACCAACTTATGAGCTCTGTTTTCTGTTTCAGATCCAGCATGGCCTGGCAGTCGTAAGCAGTGAAAATTTAATCCTGAAGTCGACTACACTCTAGCAGCCATAGCCATGATACGTGTCCGCCACCTGTGCCACTGTGTGCTCATGTGCATAGTGATTTTCACGTTTGAGGCATCATGCGGCGCGTTGCGGCTCTCGGACTTTGAATACTCTGAGGTGAACCCGTGGGTGGAGTACGGTTTCACGGGGACCGTGGTGCTGTACCTACTACGGCTGCTCACCTTCTTGGCGCTACCCCAGGTGAGTCGTGGGCCCGACGGAGCGACGGCAGGGCCGACCGCCTCGGTCCGATGGCGGCGGGGTATTCATTACCCGTGGCAGAAGTGATATTGGGGGATATTTTGTGGTATTTTGTCGTGAGATGATATTGAGAATTGGGATAGATATGTGACTCAACACCGTTTGGATGTTTGTGTTACCGCGATCGAATCGAATCGCACGATGCTGAACATGAACGACGGTATCATTTTCCATTGACAATGCATTTAATCACACCGTAATCATAAAAGCCATTCATTTATCCCGTCGTATTTTTGCCGAGTAGCATTGAATAAGTGAATCCCCTCAATTTGTGATCATGGCTTTCTTGTTGATCCAGCAGACCCATGCTCCCCGTTCTGATTAAATTCAGACTAACATTTCACCCCAACCCATTTGGTTTTGATGGTTTCTTTCCTCATCTCTACCATGATCACTGATCAGTTAGAGGTGCCCTCTATCTCTCTTGGAGCTCTGAAGCTGCTCTGCACAGACGAATGCCCAATCGACTCCTTTAAAATACGTCCATCGTCAAGTGTCGGCCCAATGAAATGTGTTCCAATGCAAGCCAATTGCCATTAGCAAATGGCTCCATGCATACTCAAATGACTGCCTTATCTGCCGAAATTTTCGTGAATTTAGACGTTCATAGCCATTCGAATCGGATTCTCAAGCGACGGGTCGGACATTGGGCAGTGAAGCAGACCGACTTAAACACGGTGCCGATGTCTGCATGCCGATCACGGGTGATTCGGCAAATGCTGACGTGGTGTCTCGCCTGACGTAGTCGCTGATCGTAATGGAAATACGAGGAAGCGCCCTGGCTGCATAACAATGTGGTGATTCACCGGCGGTACCTTGATCTGAGAAGCGATGCTTCCCCCGGATCGTGTTTTCCAGGACATAAACACGTGCTCATCTTAGAAGAATGCGGTATCACGGAACTGGCAGCTGGTATTGCCGTGTGGTGTGGATCCAGTTGATGCGGCCTGATCGATAGTTTATAGGATAGACAATTGACTTCCTATCTCTTAATATCTGTGTATATGCGTCTATGTCTCGATATCGAGACTACACACTTGACCTGGCTATGTTATAGCTGGTACGAACAGGGATGGCTGATGAGACACGTTTTGAGCAACTGTTTAACAGATTGTGAGTCCTTTTTATCGCCGATATCCCGGTGCTGACTGTAGTGTTAGTTGTTACACGTAAGCTGACCCCATCCCTCCGTCTCGCCCGGTTCGCCGACAGGTGATATTCAACATGCTGGGTATGCTGCTGTACGACGCGTTCCCCGACAAAGTCACTCTGAAGGGCTCGCCGCTACTGGCGCCGTTCGTCTGTGTGCGTATCGTGACTCGCGGCGACTACCCGGAGCTAGTGCGAGCCAACGCGCTGCGCAACATGAACACCTGCCTGGCGGTCGGCATGGAGAACTTCATGGTGGAGGTGGTCTCTGACCGGCCCGTCCATCTGGCCAAGCACGCCCGGCTGCGCGAGGTAGTGGTGCCTAGCTCGTACCAGACCAAGTCGGGCGCGCTGTTCAAGGCGCGCGCGCTCCAGTACTGTCTGGAGGACGACGTGAACATGCTGCAGGCCACCGACTGGGTGGTCCACCTGGACGAGGAGACCCTTCTGACCGAGAACGCCGTGCGCGGCGTCATCAACTTTGTGCTGGACGGACGCCACCTGTTCGGACAGGGGCTCATCACATACGCCAATGAGAACGTGGTCAACTGGGTCACCACCCTGGCCGACAGCTTCCGCGTGGCCGACGACATGGGCAAGCTGCGCTTCCAGTTCAAGCGGTTCCACAAGCCCTACTTCTCGTGGAAGGGATCCTACGTGGTGACCCAGGTAGGTGAACCAGCGTACCATGGTCTGTGGTGAGGGTGGTGGATTAGCGACTGCCATTTGGTGATTGATTACATCTGCGTGCCGCTAAAATTGACCAGGCTGTGTCACAGTTTGCGTTCCTATCCTTATCAACTTCACTCCGATAATGTGCAGTGGCTGATAAAACACTATTAATACGAAACAGCTCACTGTGGCTTCAGGTTTTTCTGCGAATTCAGTCTAAAGCAAAACTCGTTGTGTTTAAAGAGCAACACAGCTTCCGTACAAAAACCGACCTGGTTGCTGGGAAGGGTTGGTGCAAATGGGTCAGGGCTCATTGGCGCAGTTTCCGCGCAGCTACGCGCTGACTGCCCGCCCTGCCCCTCCTCCTCCTTGCGTCGCACGTGACTCGACACTCCTTGATAAGGCGGCCCCGTTTGTTCGACAATCTGGGTCTCGGACGAGCTGCGATAGGTTTGGGGGACGGGCTGGTGGGTTGGGTATTGCGATAGTCGCACGTACTCAAATACATTGAATCGGACTTGCGAAAAGTTGGGTCGTCCGTCTCCGGTCATTGGCTGAATGATTCAACCCGGAACATTGCGCGGCTGTCACTGACATGAAACAGCCGTGTTTATAATATAATTGCTCATCGTCAGCTGCTTCCAAACCGACTATGAGTCACCTTCCGCTCTGTCGCGGTCGAGACTTAGTGTGACGTCAGCGCCGCCTGTCTCACTGTGTGACGTCAGTGTGTCTCACTGTGTGACGTCAGTATGTATCACTATGTGACGTCAGTACACCAGCCTCATGTACTCTGACGTCAGAGGTCATGTGCGATGGTACGGCCAATGACGCCGAATGTTGTGTCTCCACAGCTGGGCGCCGAGCGTAAGGTTTCGTTCGACAATGGACTGGATGGATCGATAGCCGAGGACTGCTTCTTTTCCATGGTTGCGTTCCAGGTGAGAATAGTGATAAGGAAGGCCTTGTTATGATTTTGTAAACGCCTCGTTTAAGTTTTTTTTTTAGTTGAATGCTCCTTCCCCTGAAAAAATGTTTGTTAAAAAATACAATTTCAGCTCCATTTGATGCTGGCTACATGCCTGGCTTTCGGTATTCGAGCCGGAAAATGCGGACGCACTGTTGCATGAAATTCTGACTGCAAATGCTGCACTCTGGAAATGCCCGGAACTATCGCAGGCTTATTATTTTACACAGGTGGGCATGTCGCTAAAGTTTTTATGAGTCGCTGGTGCGCGCCTATCTGATTGTGTGACTTGTGCAGGTGGTTCTTGTTCCGGTTCCCCGATTTTGCCCTCCGTCTGACTGATTGTCCGTGCGTTCCCAGGAGGGCTACACTTTCGACTTCATCGAGGGTGAGATGTGGGAGAAGTCGCCGTTCACGTTCTGGGACTTTCTGCAGCAGCGGAAGCGCTGGATGCAGGGCATCTGGCTAGTGGTGCACTCGCCGGTCATCCAGCTGCGCTACAAAGCGCTGCTGCTCATCTCGCTGTACTCGTGGGTGACGCTGCCGCTGGCCATGTCCAACCTGGTGCTGGCCGCCTTCTTCCCGCTGCCGATGCCCCAGCTGCTGGACATCCTGGCCGCCCTCTCGGGTGCCGTCAGCCTCTACATGTACGTGTTCGGCGTGTTAAAGTCGTTCAGTCTCTACCGCATGGGCTACGCGCGGATGGCGCTCTGCATAGTCGGAGCGCTGTGCACCGTACCGTTCAACATCATCACAGAAAATATAGCTGTCATCTGGGGCCTGTTCGGCAACAAACACCGCTTCTACGTGGTGAGTAAACAGATGAACAACGCCCGGCCAGAGACATTAACCGTCTAGACGGCGCCGTCAGCTAGTCTTTTGTGATGTGTCGAGCGAGTGTGCGCTGCGCGCCAGATTTAGGCGCCGTTTTGGGTGCCGCACTGCCAGTAGGGGACCGTAGCGTCGGCCGCCACCCTCACCAAAGATGCCGTCTCGCCACCGCCCTCGCCGCATACTCGCCGCGGAGTTCAAACGGCTCGGTATTACGTCCCGGCCAGCTCGGAGCAGGGCGCTCTCCGGCCGCCGAAACTCCCGAGCGGTGGCGTGCCACGCTCCTGTGTTGCCCTCTCGCGCGCCGCGGGTTTTGTTGTCGCGTTCCGTTTTGTTGCTGGTTTGTGCGTGTCCGTGCGGTCACGGTTTCTCAGCGCTAGTCGTCTCCGCCGCCGGTGTCCTGTGGGCGGTCCGGCACGGCGCCTCCCCCCCCCCCCCCCCACTCGGTCTCCGCCGGCTGGGGCCCAGTCAGCTGTTAGAGGTGCCAGTAGGCACCGCCCGTCTTAGACGTGCCGTGTGTTTGTGTGTGTGTGTGTGTGTGTTGAAGTCGATGTTCGGGTAGGTTGACGCGCACAAACTCAGCGGGTGTCTGCGGCCATCGCCGCCAGTCGGGCCTACCGCCGCCCTCCGCACCGCACCGTGCCCTTGGCCTCCACTCCCCGATGGCAGGTTTGTCACGCGTTTTACCGGTGACTCGGAAGGGCCCACAGGCGACGTGCTGTATCTCCTCCGACTTTGTTACGTTGGTATCTTCCTTACAGGAAGACCGGCTTGTGTTACTGTTTTGACATTTGGTTGTCCCCTCCCCCGCCACGGCGACTTTTCTCCAGTTCGGTTCTTTCCCTTCCCGCTGCTGTTGCTTTGGCCAGGTACTGAAACCGACCTCCGCCAGGGGCCAGCCCTTGCGGCCCCGCCCTTCAGAGGCGCCGGCCGGTCTCTGTCTCTCAGGTTCGCCCGGACACCCATTAGGTTTTGCTCGGGTGTTTATTGGCAACATGTTGGCCCTCTCGCCAGTGGTGCAAATGCATGTCAGTGGCAGTTTCCTGGATGCGAGTTTTCACAGTGAATTGTGCCGACTTAGCAATCATTTTTGTTGTGTCTGAAGTTTGGGCTAAGTTTAGGTTTCGTAAGCATAGAACTTTGCCGAAATTGTATTTTTTTGTGGTGCGGTCCGCGCTACTGAGGCTATGTAGACACGCATGTGATCAATGTAGAACGTAATCCCCATTTGTAGTGATGCTGTAACTTGCAAATACATCAGTCTCTTCTTCGAAATCATATGTGTACGAATGGTGGTTTTCTTCGAATGACGTTCCGCAGGCAATCTTGAACGCACGCCCTTGGACTACTGAAGGGGATCGATTAGCCATCACAACAGCCGCATATTGTCATCAGCACTGGAATAACATACTGATATATTTATTTCGTAAATATAGGCCTACCATGGATGCGAATATACACAGTATGCGTCATCACACAGCTGGGTTCTGCGTGGGTGTGTGAATGTTGTGTACATAGGCTCCAGGGTCCGGGTCGGTATAGCTGGCTCGAGGGACTGCAGTCACCCGTCCCACTTAGACACACACACATACGGCTGGCCCCGGCGGCGGCTCGCTCAGTATACACCTGGGTCGGACAGGTGGTAGTCAGCGGGCGGCGGACGGCGGACGGTCGGAACATCGACCGGGCGCCCGCCGCGCGGCAGTATTCCTCGGCACGGCGCCGCGCCGCCACAAGCAAAACAAGCACTAGAAGCGGCGCGATAAAATACAGACTGCGGCTACTGCGCTGGTGTGTGTATGTATACTGCGGGGTGCGACTTCGCGTCGCTTCGGCAGCGCCAACGTCAACAGCGCCGCTCCGCGCAGCTCCAGCGCCGCTCGGCCGGCAGCGTTAAAACGTCTCCGCAGTCGCGGAGAGTCTCCCGAGGTAGACCGCGCGTCCCGTGGTCGCCCGCCGGCCCGTGAGCGCAGTCGGACCAGGCGGGCGGGGCGCGGAGTCACGGGCCCGCCAATCGATAGCCGAACGACCGTGCGGCGGCACACGCTGATACAGTGGATAATGACCCGCCACATACCGGCCGGCGCGCACCGACCGGCCTCGCCCGGCAGGTCCCTGCATGACACTCAATATATTGCCGGATGGCGCCGTAACAGCAGCTAACAGAGGGAATAGGCGGCCCGGCCGCGGTCACAAGAAGGTCGGCCGACGCTCGTGCCGCGTGCGTGACGTCACCGCGGCCGTGTGTGACGTCACGCCCGGCGGCGGCTGACGTCACCCGGGCCCGGGCGGCGCCGCGTACCGCTCGCTGCTCTCCACGTAGTCCGAGTCGCACAAGTACTTCCCTGCGGGGGAGGCATGTCGAGTCAATAGAGCGTGGGTGGATCAAACAACACGACTGGCCAGGTACGCCGCCCAAAACTCGGAGCTTATTCAATATCCCCGCAATCAGACAGCCCAACAGCTGATAGATACCAAGAGCACGGTCATACGGGAACACATTGAACGTGTGTTATCTACGTTAAATAAACACTACGCGGGAGACCCATTCTGGGACAATCTCTCCGCTGGTGGCTCTGATAGTCCGGACGGCGTGTGATAGGACGCGCCTAGGATCAGGTACAGAACACCCCCGCCCCCTCAGCCCCTCCCCTCTTTCGCACCGCCCGGGTGGTCTGCAGAGCGCAAATTGCATAAGTCCGGATGATACGCTGACCTATTGCGAGAACTTCTCATGGGAACTGATGTGAACGAATCAAGCAATAGGCCGATATCTGGGCATTAGGACAGGTCCATGTTTCAGTTACAACTAATAGACAACCGAAAAGTCAGTCTATCCACATTACAATGGTCGTTTAAGTTTAAACCCGCCGTCTAGATTTTCGAGCATTGAGTTGGAACATTTCAAACGCCACCGCCGAGATAAGCCAACAGAATCAAAGTGTCTCGTCACAGCTTGCGACCAGACGGAAATTATGCAACGACCGGAAGGAGTGGATAGCTGAACCACAATGACGGATGGAAGAAACAGACTGAGCATTGTGTAACAGTCAGACTTGGGTGGATCCGTGTCTTGGATGAGAGGCGGCTAAAACTGAGTTGCAAGCTCGGTACACTTCGTAACTGTAACATGATTAGTACAACATGCGGCCAGTCCTAAAATGACACACACGGACGTCAGACTACATGCACGGGGTCACGGACGGGCGAGCTCACCGGACACGAAGCGCCGTTTGACGAGCGACACGCGGTAGCCTGATCCGAGCAGCTGGAACTCGGCGCCCGAGAGTGTGCTGCCCTCACAGCTGAACTGAGCGGCCAGCGTGCTCGGGCTGCCCGGTCCGCCCGACAGCTCGAACCGGGCCTTGAGCGCGCCGGCGCCCTGGTCGCTGGACGCGGGAGAGACCTCCTGCAGCCGCCACATGGCGCGGTTTGTCTCGACAACCCTGCGGGAGGGACGGTGGTTAGTTCGGGAGAGTGGCGACGGAGAGTCGGCGGAGGGCCCGTAAGGGAGAAGTGAGCACGCTGAGACACCAGAGATGTTGTTGGAAATGATTGTGAAGATATTCATTCGATCATCATATTCGCCCTTCTCTGACAAGACTGCCTTCAAGCCATTCCGCTTTACCACAGATCCCATCAAACAGAGGTGCGACCGTCACTCCTAGATACGTTCCCATACTATGATTGATTTGCAGACCTAACGCCCTATCCACCGTATCTCGGATCACACCACGCCGCCGTGGGGACCACCCGCTGAGCGGTGCACCCACCACTTTCCGGTGGGTTTCGAGTGCATGGCCGTAACGCCGCCGTCCACCGGTGCCGAGACGGTGATGTTCTGCAGAGCCGATGCCGGCGTCAGCGCCGCAGAGTTGTATTTGTACTCCACCTGAGGACAGTCAGCATGAATTTATTTCGTGGCACAGACTGATGGGGAGAGGTAAGATTTCGTCCAGTTGGAGCTCCTATCACACGATTGGATCGTTTGCTTTGCCTGTGGTATTGAGATGAAATAACATTCAGATGGACGGGCTTACGCTCGTAGAAAAGAACATTCCTAGATACAATATGGCACAGGCCTGTGTAGGCCCGGGATGTCTGTGAAAATGCTTATTCGTATAACTTCTTGCGATGACCTTTCGGCGTCCAGTGACTAACCTTGAGGTCCGTGTGTGTAGGCTCGCACTTCCAGTAGGCGACCAGCTGCAGCGGAACAGAGGCCGCGCCGGGCTTGGCCAAAATCTGTCAACAAACACATCCACAACTGACATCACAACGGAAAAAGGAAAATATCATCCGAGCAAAGTACAGTAAATATTTTGCCGCAGTTTGAAATCGCTGCAGTTTGAACACACCGGATAACGAAACGCTTATCCGAACAATCAAACAGCAAACTGCAGCAAATACATTTTGCTGCAAGCAGAACAGCGTGGCATTGTTTTCAAATATTCAGCAAGTGACACACATAACACGTTACCAAAATTTGAACAGTGAATGACTGAACAAAATAGCTGCCAAAAGCTGAGTATGTCGGCTGCAGTTTAAAAGTACCAGTCACTTGACATTTCCCCAACACCTTCCGCACCTCGTATTTCAGGATGTCGACGTTGAAGTAGGACGCTGACGGGTTTTTCTCCGCCTGCCTCCGCAGCAGCGCAGTCAGGTTGTCCATACGGAACTCGAACACGGCAGTGTCGATACCACTGAGCTTCAGCTCCCTGTCGGCGGTCTCGTCGTCAGTGCATTCAACAGCATAGAGATCGACCCGCGTCCCTGTTACCACTCGTCATGCAATGATGTTAATATAAAGGGCGGGGCATGTCTAAATGTGACTTCCCAAGCACGTCGAATTGCTAATTCAACGAATCAAAAACAATTAGAAACCAGTTCGTAGCAGAATGCATACAAATCAAGATCAGAGTATCAGCTTGCGGTGTGATGGCAGTTTACTGGATCCGGACTCACTGGGTGATGAGGTGCCGGTTGGGAAGCATATTCTCCATCCTGCCCGTGTTCTTCAGCCGAAAGACGAGCGGCGCCGGACTGGGGTTGGACGTGAGCACCTGGACGATACCCGACGGGAACGAGACCATCGTGTCGCCCGTCATCCGCACACGACACCTGCGCAACGGTTACAGGTCACCAGAGGTCACCCGGCAGCCGCAGAGCTAGATAAGGGAGCGTGAGCTTAGGTCAACCCGGATGAAATCAGGACAGGCCAATCGAGCCATGACGAGAAAGGATCGGCAATAATGATCATATATCGTTCGGAATTGAATCAGATGCTAATGTTTAAGGTTACTTAAGGTCACGAGACACCAGGGTAATCAGACCGGCAACAAAATGCCTCCAGGCATGAACCGTATTGAGCTAAATCTTTGACTACCAAAGGAGAAGGAAATCTTAAAAGGGAGCCATTAACAAATGTTGAAAAGTGATGGCATGCATGAGGACATTCAGGCCGCTCGTACAAAGGGGAAGGGCAGCGAGTCTCCCATCCATCCGAGTACCTGTTGTCGGTTCCATCCCGCTGGAAATGGACGTTTGCCACCTCCGAGAACAGGATCGCCACCGGGATAGGCTCCGGCGCCGGCCGCGCCGCGGCGCCCGCCACCAGCGCGTACCACGGATTGTGGCAGGAGTCGGGTCGGAGGACGTCCGGCCAGAACACAGGAGGCACCGCGGGAGAGGCTCGCAGCGGCAGTGGGGGAGACGGTGAAGTGGGATGCGGGGGCAGGGCCCCAGCCGGGGACGGCGGATGTGGGGGAGGAGTCCCGGTGGAGTGGCACTGGTAGGACGGTGGGTATGGGGGCAGGGCCCCGGTGGTGTGGCACTGATAGGGAGGTGGGGACGGTGGGTGTAGGGGCACAGTCCCGATGTGGTGACACTGATATGGAGCCGGGCTCAGCAGCTCGTGCGGAGGACGGTACTCGGTCTCCGGGTGGTGCTGGTGAGGGTATTGGTAATAGTGATGGTAGTGGTGATAGTGGTGATGATGATGATGATATTGGTGGTGATTGTTGCAGCTTCGGGCCATAGTCGGGTGGCACGGCGCTTGCATTCCGCAAACCGAAGGACTGCTTGAAACCGGATGACAGGCGATACTGAAAGGATGCAGGAACACGCACCAAGAACACATTAATTAGAGAACATCAGCAACTTTTCGCAGAAAAAAAAAACACATCAAATTGACCCAGAAACATTACATGACAAGGAATAATGATTGTCGATGATATAAAACAGTGAAAAGACAATAAAGTTCGGTAAAAGGTAAAAAGTAAACTAGAGCAAAAGAACACAATAACTTGATAAACGTCCCAATGCCCTTCACCACCCCACCGCTCCTCCCACCCTTCCCCTCGGCTCTGCGGCTCACTTGGACGGGTCCGAGCCGCGGAAGTAGGCGTGCACCACCTCCTGGAAGGCCACCGCCAGCGGCACTGTGTCGCTCAGACCCAGAGTGAGCGGCGACGGACCACGAGAGGAGCCCACCACCGGCTCGGCGCGCGGGGTGCCGCTGCCAGAGGCCGCTGAAGGTGACGGGGACGGCGCGGTCGCCGGAGCCGGAGTCGGACCCCGGGATACCGGCGAGGAGAGGGCGGGAGACTGGCGGCCGCGCGTCATCGTGGCCACACCCTGATGGTTGGAGAGGACAGTCAGTAACAGCGGAGGGGATGGGGACAAAAAGCGGCATCCTTCGACCAGACTGCAGACATCCTAGTCCACTTCCACCACTAGACGGTCATATGAGCGCAATAACTGGCCATTGTAAGTGAGCATATTTTGAAAGAACATTCGCATGCAAGATATAAAACTCTCTTGTCAACGCGCCATCGCAATACCATGTATCCTGTCCTGTATATTCTTCCAATCCAGCCCAGCTAATCTCAGCCCAAGGCCCCAGCATCTAGCCCTACTCCAGTTAATCTCACCTCAACGCTTCGTCGGCTCGGTGGTCGCGGTATGGCGATTGAAGAGAGGGTGGGAGTTGCTCCCCGCTGCGGAGCGGCCGCCGGCGCCTGGTGCTTCGGCGGCAGGGCGGGAGGCATGTCCGAGCTCTCGGCAAATATTTCACTGAGTTCTGTGAGCGAGGCAGAGAGGGTGGGTTAGAATTCCGAATGTATTGCGAATAGGACGGATCACGCGCTGGTGAGTGACGATGAAAATTGAGAGGATCAGTTCAAAATCATTTGACAGAAAAAATTAGCAGACAAGCTGAAAATTGGTAAACCGACTTGAATCAAACACACTGGGAACAAGGTATTGACCAACACTAAGCTCTCGCATTTCACAGTATACCTTCTCAACCCTAATGTGCGTATATTATTTTCAATATCTGTGTCTTCCGCCCCTGACGTGCGTATCTGTCTGTCTCTCTCCGCCGCGTCTGACCTGCGTATCTGTCGCCGTCGCCGGCGGGCGGCGCTGCCGACGGTAGGTGTCGCGGCCCGCTGCCGCTCGGCGTCGACTGGTTCGAGTGCGTCGGAGAGTGGAAACTGAGACCGATCAGGTCGTTACTCGGCCGTCTGACGGGAGAGTGAGGGAGGTTAGTAAGAGAACAGAATGGGATGAGACAAAATGAATGGCGATTAATCAGCATGACGTAGCTGAACGCTAACAGTCATCACCATCATCACACTTTCAACTCACTCTTGGGACAGCTGCTGTGACTGAGAACGTCGCAGGCCGCTGTTCTCTTCCGCAATTGTTGGACTCTTACTCTGCCGAGGAAACGCGCACCGATCAGATCAGCGCGACGACACACACACAGTGCACGGGAGGTCAGTTATATACGTCAAAAGGCGCTGGTTTCACATGAGCCTAAAACGGTGGCATGCACGCATAAAAATAAATGCAACTCTCAGATGGCTAGGATTTTTAAGGTAAGCTGAATAACTAAGATTCAATAGTCACAAAAGCAAAAAAAATAATCTTAAAATCAGTAACAGCACATTCGTACGAGCATTAGAGAAAGTAGTAAAATGAAAAGATGCCCTAACATTACAGAGAATTTGTGAAGTTGATCTCAACCGCGACATATCATATCATGCAAGCCAGCCGAGACAAGTTCGGAAAAGCAACGCATGATAAGCGGCTATGGCATAACTGGCAAATTGAAGCCGACGGGTTAAACAATAGGCAGCCTAGTGGCTAGCTTCTGTGCGAGCAGGCCCAATAGATAATAGATGTGAGCGTGCTCTGCCGCATGCCATGTTGAGTCTGGCAGAAGTATTTATATCCTTCCAAAACCAACATGTCCACAACACAACATGGTTATGCTGTTAACAATCCCCTTCAGAGATAGGGTGAGTCGTTATGTCCAGGCCTACGCATACGCAATAACCTTAACAGTTCAAAAACATTCCAGACACATTGCTTCAGAGCATCCCTCGACAGACTGATGGTTATGCTGAGACACAGAACATTCTCCACCGCGACTGTCAGTGTTACCAGGCGGAGTTATTTGGTGATGAAGACTCCCCCTGGCACCCTTTTCGTTCTCGGTCAATATTACCACACATGGTTTGGTAAGGAATCGTACCATGCACGGCAGTACCTGCATAGATCGGCCTTGACAGACCACAGATCGTCTTTAAGGAAATTAAGGGATGATCACAGTCCTTCAAAAAATCACCCAGTCAGTAAACAATAACTTACAGGCTACCACAAACACACAGATTTAACCACATATGGTCAAGTCAGCTCATCCGGCTTCAGTTCCGTGCAGAACATGCTACCAGCCGCAGAACTCGAGCTCTGACATGCAGCGGCTGGCTGGCATTACTCTCATCCCTGAGTCGTGCGTGTGTCAACCGCGGGCGGTCCAGTCCCCCCTCTTTCCATGCACGGATTCTGTCTCCGATACCTGCGCTAAACATCCCACATTGAGGTGGCGCGGCCGCCGCAGCTGCAGCTCACATGTGAAAGAACACACGACGGCCTCGTGACAGAGAGCGTTCAATGCCAGAATACGCCGGGTGGCTAAAGGGTAATAGTAAATACAGGCGACAGACAGACGCACAGAACATTCGGTCGGTGGCTGCTCCGAGGGCTGATAGAAAAGGGAGATCGGTTTTCGATCGTCGGAAGGCTGTGTGTTTGTGTTTGTCGACTGTGGTCACTAAGTGTCATGCAGGGTTGGTGCACAGGCAAAACGCAGGCAGGAGATTGACTCTGTGTCAGGCAGGGACCTACAGCACACGAACTACTGCTAAACTGCACTCTGTTGATATTCAGCTAGCGTTAATATCAAACATCACACAGCAAACAATCACACTATGTACATTTAATACGGCACGCCTGCATTGGTCGGTACCAACTACAAATGTCGACGTCAGTAGTTTTGTAAGGCTACACTCCTTCACTAACGGGCGGGGTTCTAACCCTCCCAGGACTACAGCGCCGCCCTCTACTTGTCAGCACTGACCGTCTCGCCCCTACCGATCTGACCCTCACCCACTCACCGATCCTGTGTTGGCCGGGGAGAGTGTCAGGCCGCTCGCCAGCGTACGCAGCTCATCCACACTGGCTGATATGGGACCGCCGCCGTTACTCAGAGGGTTGATCTTCACGTGTATCTTACTGGTCGGGTCCTCGTCTGTGGGGAATGTACCTAGTTAGATATGCGCATTGCGCGCTCAGCTTTTGGTTCTTGCAAGTTGGTCGAGAGAACGGCTGGGATTGTTAATCGTTACACTGATCATGTGACCTAATTAGTTTTATTTTCTCGAATTTTGTTGACCTAAGGGTGAGTGACTTTACAAAATAAGTTATGCGACGTTATCCAACGCATTTCTAAGACCTAAAACAACTATATACTTCAAAATAAAGTGAACGCTATGGGCATTACACAACAGACAGTCTTACTAAGAAACGAAACAAACTTTGTCTTGTAATAAGTACAAATAGCGTGGTCTCGTCCGTCACATTTGCACCACACTGACCTGAATCTGAGTCTGAAGAAGAATAGAAGCTGTCGTGGCGTTTCTTCTTCTCTGTTTCGTGCCGCGGCCGGATGGAGAACCCCTCCTCGTCCACCACCGGACTGGACTTGTGGTTCTCCTCGCTGGAGGTGCAGCGGTACAGTCAGAGCACGAACAGACGTCAGCAGGAGCCAATATCAGTTCTCCTCGCTGGAGGTGCAGCGGTACAGTCAGAGCACGAGCCAATGTCGGCAGGTGAGCCGACGAATTCAACAGAGAAAGAACATGAACGGAGGTGACCGATGAATGAATGAATGAAAGAAGGAATGGATGAATACACGAATGAATGGAAAAATAAATGAATAAATGAAGGGATGAAAGAATGAGTGAATGAACGAACGCATGAATTTCAAATGAATCTCAACTCATCAGCGATCAAATTATAGCATACCTGTCCGATTTTTCGTTGTCACGTTTTGATTTGGATTGTTTCTCCCGCTTGCGCCGGCCCCTCAGGAACCCTGTAAATTGTAGTCTTTTGGTAAAGGATGACAGAAGAAACGATACATTGAACATAAATGAAATTTTGACCGAAAATTATCAAATCATCTTGAAAGTTATAAGAATTGGCAACTTTTGTATAAAATCAACAATTTAATATTTCAGCAGTATGGAAAGATCATAAAAATGCGGTTAGTCACGAAAACTTTAGTTATTGTAGATTTGAAGGTGCTCGTTACCTAATCAGCACACAAAATCGGCAAATGATCGTGTAAAACTAAGTCGCAGGCATCACCCAATCATGCTACCCCTAAAGTGCCCTACCGGCTCATTCCTTGATTCTACTAATGACTAGCCGTGCAGATGGTGGGCATCGAGCACCAAAACTCAGAAAGACTAGAGTCAAGTGAAACAAATTCAATGAAGACAACATAAACTGACGGATGACACATTCAAGTGCACGTATCGGGAAGAAAATGAAACAAGTTCGCAGTTTCGGTGTACAAAAGTGAAGAGGTGAACTAAAGAGAGTGAGAGGACAGAAAGATAGAGAAATAAAGTGTATGTTTTAACCTGATGTCCACGAGGTCCCCTGCGGCTGCCACGAAGACAAGTCCCCTGAAGCATGCAAGAAACACCTAGTATGGCGGGCATCATGTCCACGCACAGGGTGGTCAACACTGATAACAACACACACACAAGACAAAATGGCTGACAGAACGCACATTGATTAGCCAAATAGCCAGGGCTCTGACAATGGTACAAAAACAAACAGTGAAGCTGCCGGTACACGAAAACGGATATTCAATAATCAACAGTGAATCATTCATTCATGGGTCTGCAGTCTGCGCCATAACCAGCTGTGGCTAATTATAAGGTTCCAAAGTTTATCTGAACTGTTGCAAGATTTGAAGCTGCGTGAAGTTGAAATACAAACCGGGGCCTGAAACAGGATTGTCCTTGATAGTGTGACATAAAACGCGCATGTAAATATCGATTGAAACGCGACCAGATGCAGGCAAAAAGCGTGTTATCAGGCGCAAGCCCTCTCAAAAAGCATAAAAGTCGCAATCAGGCATAGGTCAAGCCATTAATTGCAGCATATAGGCGTTCTCGTTGCAGATTAGAACGGTAGAAAATAAAGGTCCAAGGGACAAGGGAACAAAAGAGCTTGAGTACCCAAGCCATGGGAGCAATAGCATCCAAGTTCATTGAAGGTGGTGACCGTTGAAAAAAGTATATGGAAGCCTCGATGCTATTACACGTTTAGGTGCGCTGACAATATGTTAATTATCAAGAATTACCAGTGGTAGTCAAATATTTTGTCTCGTAACAATTACCAGCGCTAGGTAACTCAAAGATTTTGTCTCGTAACAAACCCAAGAACGTGGCATTGGAAGTGCTAAAAAAGGACACCAAGGCTGTAACGCCCATAGCAGCGCCACCTCTTGCACCCCGAAGCCAGTCACTCCCACCGTCATCCCCTGAGGTCCGACAAACGTAGCGAGGACGCCCGCGCTGACATAGAACCGAACCCAGTTAGCCCCGCAGCTCCACCGGATTAACCAGCGCGGCGCCCAACGAACCACCTTCGAGCACTGAGGCACCAGGCTCAGCCCGAGAGCAGCCCGGCAGCCCGGTTAGCCTGTACCCGGCGTTAGCCTGTACCACCCGGTGTTAGCCCGCCGTCTCGGTCAGTCCGGCGGACTCTGTCCGGCGGCGTATTTACACTTTGACGCGCGGAGCTGGAGCGGCCGGCCGGTAGTCGGCTCGCCGTCCGGACTGGCGGCCGCCGACCGACTCGGGCCGCCGCTGGACGTGGAGACATCGTCCCCGGCTGGGCCGCCGCCGCCGGCCGCTGCCGGCACGGTCCCACAGTCACCGCTCGGAACAGAGACAGGGTCACACGCCGCGCGAACAGAGGGAGAGAGAGAGAGAGCGGAGGGAGAGCGGCCGCGCGTTCACACCGGCGCAAACAGTCACACAAACACACAAACACGGAGAGAAGAGATAGATCCACAGACAGACAGAGCGGCACAGCGCGAAGCACATGCTCCACAGAGGATAGGGCCGACAGCCCGGCTCCGGTCATGGCGCGAGGGTTCGAGCGGAGGGCCGGGCCACGCGCCGGGTCATGCAGGTCACCGCAGGCAGACGCGGGGGCGACACGGAGTGGCGAGGGCGGGCTCAAGATGGGTGCAGGGGCGCGGCGGGCGGGGTGAGGGGCGGGGAGACCACGGGGCCCGCAGGGACCACCGAGGGTCTCAGGGGAGGGGAGCGCCGGCGTCGCGAGTGCAGCCGAGCGCCGACTTACCTTGTTTGGCGGCGGCGCCGGCGGCCGAGCGTGTCTCGTCGACCCCCGCCGACCCCGACTCGCTGACGGCGTCAGGAGTGGAGCCAACAGACGTCGAGCTGGCGGCTGGTAGTTCCTCGAACTCCAGCCACGCTGAGCGACGACATGACACCAAAGGTAACAGTGAGAGAACGGACAGGCGGCAGCCGCGTAACGATACTGTCATCAAATAACCAACAGAACTATTCTGAAAAGATCACGCAATCAGATTTCCAAGTCAGATGCCGTGGCAAGTGGAACCAGACAGCGTTGTGCACCGGATTCCGAAGGTCGGAGAATAAAGCTTTACGAGATAGATCTGTACGACAATCACTTTAATGACATCCTCACATACCTGGCTTCTCCAGTCCGGTGTGTTTGGCGAGCGCGAACTCTTCGAGCAGTTTCAGCACAGTCTTCTCGTCGCACTGACGGCGTAGATCCACGTTCACCTGCACAAATAGCGGTGTTCAGAGTAAGACACCAAAAAACGACAATAGCTACTGCGTCACAAGCGACCAGCATGCGGATTAGAGATGCTGCCACGGGCTGGTAAGTCCTTGTTCGTCCAGTTAATGGAGTTGGAACCTGCGATTATCGTCCTGGCCGAACGACGCTATGGAATCTCATTTAGGAGCAGGGCTAGACTACAGATAAGAAGACTCAAAATACGAGACGCTCAAGGTTGGCGAAGGTAGATTAACCACACGCCTGTGTTCAATACTAAATAGCAATGGGCAGGGTAGACAACTTACTTCGCGGATTTGGTTGCAGCTCGCGTCAAAGAGCTTGATGTAGATATCGATGAATTCCTTCATCTGGCACAAATAATTCTCTTCCAACTCTTGGAAATGCTGAAAAGACAAAGCGTACAGTGATTAACAGGAGCGATATCCGCCACATTGGTTTTCATCTTAAAATGGGATGAAATATACCAAGTTTCAGAATATCATTCGCTGAGGTCCAACAATCAAACTGGAAGCAGGCGACAGTCCTCTCCAAACATAATCAATATGACAGCACCGTTCTAATTCCAGGAATACAAACAAATCAGATTCAGAGTGACTCGCCAAGGTCACCCGATTCACCGCCTCCCAGTGGGCCACCGGCATTGTGTACCCAAACATTGCAGAACCGGACACCCCGTAACTGCATAGCCTCTGCTCGGCACTGCTACCGATACGGATCGCCCGCTGATACCGAGTACCTATCGATATCGTATACAAAGCGGCATGCCAGGGCATCAAGCGATAGAGAACGCCGCTCTTAGACACCGCAGCATTAGCGTCGCCACGGGGGGGCAAGCGGGGCAGCTTGCCCCCCCAACCTCGGATCGGGCACCCCCTGAGATCGATACAGATCCGATGAAATTTTGGAGTCGGGGAAAAATGGGGGTACCTTTCTGAGAATGCCTGTGAGGTCAGACTCTGTTGGAGCGTGCAGTTCAAACCAAAGTCAGAGTCGCAGTCGCCAAAATCTTCAAGACTCCGACTCCAGACTCGGAAATGTCAATGCCATGATTCATGCCATGTTCCTAGTTGGTTCTTTATTACATTTTGTAGCTGATTTTCATAAATTTTGGAGTGTTGACACATAATTTTCGTTCAAAGCGTGACACGAAATCTTCGGGGCCTTTCTCAACTCTCGTCAAATGTCTGCGACAGGCACAAGTACCGTTCAAGTGCTGCAGGGCTCATGAGCCTGCTTTTCACACAGGCTCCTAAGGAGCTCCACTGAGCTCTAAGAAGCTTTCGGAGGGCCCAAACCGGCCTCTGAGAGTCCCACTGGTGTCCATGTTCTCTAGAGGGCCCATACAGGGATCTTTGAGGACATTATACATACGTAGACCTCTGAAGGGTCACACGAATCTTTGAGGATGCCTTCGAAAATTTCTGAAAACCTCAACTGGCCTATGATAGTTCAGCCGAACTTTTGAGGCGACAGACTTTACTAACCCCAACCCGGCATCTGAGGGGTCACAACTCACGTGTCCCTCTGAGGGCCGCAACACATGTTTCTTATGTCCCTACCAACGTAGGGTCCTTAAGGATTCGACACAGACCCCGACGGTTCACACTGTTATTCGAGGGCTCCAGGCTCACCCTGGGCCTAGTCTCTTAGCGCCCGCCGCCCACACTGGCTTCTGAAAGCTCGTGTGCCCTAAAGGGCTTTCCGGGCCCACCTTAGGCTCGGAAAGCCCTAAAGCACCACATACACGTAAATATTTGGGGTGACCCACGCCGATCTCCGGGATCCTAAGCAGGCTTCTGAGAGTCCACACTGACCCTGAGTGGCCTGAAATGGCCTGGAAGTCGCAATACTATCTCTAAGCACCCTTGCCGTTATGCCGTGCGTAACTTTTGGTTCCGTTAAATATTTTTGGTCGCGTTTGCAGCGCTTCCCTTCACTCGAAAAACCAGAAACTTTTTGTTCACACTCGAGTGAACAAAACACTTCTTCTCACTGCAGCAAGGATGAATGATGTACTTCCGATTCACACTTCCGACATTCTCTCTCAGTCTCCGCTGAATGCCCAATTCTTAGCTACAATCGGCGGCTGGGATAAGCCCTATGCATTTCACGTAAAACCTCGGCATGCATGCGTGAATGGAGGTTTTAGCGAGGTGATCCGATTCAAATGGAGCGTTTTTCACCTTCTTCTGGGTAATGATCATGAGCGACGAGAGTCTGCACAGGGGCCCTCTGCAGTGCGTCGGCAATCGCAGCCACTGTAGTTCTAACGGTCGTAAAATACATGCTATAGCTAGAAGGAAAACTTTGTCACCATCGGATTCCTCGCACCATTGCGCGTCGAATGATATGTAAAACGAGTGAGTAACGGATGGGGAAAGGCAAGATTTAACCCTCGCCCATGTAGGGGGGGGTTGGTGCAACCCCCCCCCCCCCTGAGGTTTTTCGGAAATAGTGCAAAAACGGCGGCGCGCAGCGCCGCCAAATTTTGGGTACTATATGGGGCAAACCTTGCGCATCTTTTGATAAAAAAAATTGACCGGGTCATGTCAGGTCACGGAGTTATGACGTCACAAAGGGAACAGCCTCCGGCCGGATTTTCACAAACTGAGTGCCAACGCCCGAGGTTTCCTGCCGGTGGTACGGACATAGGTTGATGGATCGTGATGAAACTTCCCATGCATGTTGGGGCAAGTATTGGCTATCATATGGTATAAGAAACTTGACCGGGTCAGGTCAGGTCACGGAGCTATGACGTCACAAGAGGAACAGCGTCCGGTACTATTTTTGAAAAGCGCCCGAACCACTATTTAGCTAATTCTTGTCACCTCAATGGGAATATGCAGCAATATTAGCTTCTATAGGGAGCAAATGGACCTTCCAAATCCAAAAATACAATCAGATTTCAAAAATTTAAATTTTGATTTTTCGAATTTCTGCCGCCGACTGTGACCTTGCCGACTCCCGGCGCTCCCAACGCGCCATTTTTAGAGCTAGGGAAACGAAATACATACCAAACGATAGAGAATTGATCAAGGAATACGATAGTGAAGGTTTCAAGTCGATATCTCCCACCGTTTTGCCGCAATCGCCGCGGAAAGTTGAAAAAAGTCTATTTTTCCGAAAATTTGACCTTTGACCGGTCAAAAGTAGGTCAAATGTTGACCTAGGACCAAAAAATATACCACCAATCGCGAGATCTCGGCGAGAGCAATCCGTTGGTCTTTTCCGCTAAGCTCTACGACGCTCCGTTTTCAAACGCCAAGGGGGGGTCGCACCAACCCCCCCCCCCTGCATGGGCGAAGGTGGCAGATCGCCGTTTACGGGCGAGGGTTAACACAAAACTTGATTTTGCCCCCCCCCCCCCCCCAACCGAAAATATCTGGCGACGCCTATGCACCGCAGTCACCGATACAGGCTAATTCAGTACGGATTACTTCAAGAATTCGGATGTTGACGCAATGAATCATACACCTTGGCACTCGGTAGTGCTCTGATAAGTCATTGGCTTCTGTATACACCTTCCTCTGTATACAGAGGTGTACGGTAAAATGATGTCCAGATGGGATTCGTTTGTTGCAATGCCTCTCACTCACCCGACACGAGACGACCATTTTCCGCTCAAAGTCGTCTCGCACTCCCCGGTGCTTGTCCACCAGTGCTCGGTACTCCTCTGCCGCCTTCCGCAGTTTGGCCTCGGCCTTATCCGTGTCCTTGGCTGGCTGGGCGGCCTCCTGGAGCCGGCGCAGCTCGGCGGCGCGCTGGTGGTACACCTCGCGAGCTTTCAGAACGCTGGCGGTGAGCTGCTGGAGCGACTGGACGACTTCCATGGTGGGCGCCTCCTCCTCCTTCACCTGATGGGAGGGGAGGGGAGCAGTAGTGAGAGAGCTCCTCCAGACCGGACATAGTACACTGCTGACAGCGTGTAAACAAATAGAGCATCCCGCTGTCTGAATGGAACCGCAGCCGTGTTTAAACGTACGGCGGTAAACATACGTGCGGACTGCCGATGACATTTCGACAAAACACAGACACTAGGTTCATGCTTCTCTCAGCAAAAGGACATACCACAACGTCCGTTCCATTTTACGTCGCGAGTGCAGACTAAATTCCTGGTAATGTACCCCCCCCCATGCCACACCTCCTAACCGACCATCCTCTCAGTCCCCTCCCCCCCCCCCCCCGGCGCCCATATCCGTCCACCGTTCACTCACCGTCTTCTGCCGCTTATGCAGGTCGTCGGTGAACTTCTGCACCTCTTTGACGAGCTCGGCTAGCCGGGTGACCGCCGCCAGGTGAATGGACGACAGACGCTCAGAGGAGGTGCGCAGCAGCGTCCACACGGGGGCGAAGGTGCCGCTGACGCCCGCACTGTTGGCCTTGCTGGCCAGCTTGGCCTGCATCTTGGAGTAACTCTCCTCCAGCAGCGCTCTGTCAGGAAGATATGGGAGTTAAAGAAACGCTGGGATACAAGGTCACTAAGAAATGTATCATGAATCGGGATTTTAGCTAGAGAACCAATCGGTTTCATTGTTGAATGAAATGCGTAAAATTTTCCGCATTTGGATTATTTCGTGGAAAATGTGAATTAGGCGGCGTTCGATGTCTCCCAGACGACAAAGATTTTTTGCCGTCCGGCCAATCCCGTCCAAGGTCAGCGGGGGCTCGGCTGCGGTTATGAAACGTGATTGGCCGGACGGCGTAGAATCTTCGCCGTCCGAGAGACATCGAACGCGGGGTTAATGTTGCCACGATTAAGTGACAAGTTACGTACGATTCCTTGAAGAAATCTGCAAGCTCTTTGCTTGCATTTTGCCCATGCTTGGTGTTCTGATACAGAACATCGAATCCATTGTTCTTCTCCCCCTGAAAAAGATCGAGATAGTTGACTCACTGTGGCAAGAAATAGCATTGAGACAGAAACACGATGCACTATTTGTTATTAGGTACTGATGATTGTAATTGTCACATAAATATAACGAAAAAGGAATAGTAAATGACCATTAATGAGAAGACAAATCTAGGTTCCATATTTTCGCAATTGGGAAACATTACTTGATTCGTCTCCTTTTGGCGTTCTTCATAACTAAAAGAGCATTGTTTACTTGTCGCTACACTTAAATCGATATAGAGGACTTAGTGAGATGGAACTTACCCAGAAGTAATCACAGAAGTCTACAGTCATTATGTTAACATTAAAGAACGACAGATACTTCTAAGAATTCGTTCACTTCAAGCGGTACATACTTCATGCTTCTCAACCTTCACCAGCCTCTGGAACCCTGTTCTGAAATAAACCAATGAAACATTCAGGCAGTGTAGCAACTCCCGACGAATGTCAATCGTCTTACACGTTCCATATTACAAGGCCACACATACAGTACATCCCAGTCACCTCGGAGTACGTCAGGTCTGTTTGGCTTATTTTTGCGGAAAATCTCCGCGACACCGGCATTATGCGCGGTGAATACCCGGCACTGTCTCACAATGAGCATTTTTTAGTCCTGGTACCACCTGCATACGCGGCTTTCAGCGAAAATACACATTTCAGGCAATTTCAGTCCGATACAATTAATAGGTACGAACGCATATTAATCGACGTATTTGTCGTGATCGCGCAAATGAGGTTATAATACACTATGGAATTTTGGAAGCCACTATTCGGCGGGCCATAAATATTGGGTCCAGTTGCTCGAACCAACGCGTCCAAACACGGACCACTGACACATTCAGCGTAATTATAGTCTGACCTAGTTGTGGTCAGCTAACGAGTACAGTTTTGGTTATACACGGTGCTGAAATAGCTCGCCGCATTTGCCAGGAGACGTGTACCATGTCTGTAGACGTGTTATACCATGTCTGTCAATTTCCGGTCGGACGTCGGACGCGCTCGGCGGTTGGTGGACACCGGACGTTTGATACCCCCCCCCGCCCCCTCTCAGGCTGGCCCGCTTCCCGTCCCATCTCCCGGTGTACGGTCCGGACCCGGGTCGTGGAGGACGATAGAGAGCCACGGACGCCGTGTGTAGGGGAGAAGGGAGAAGAGAGGGTTAGAGAATGGAAGGAAGGAGGCAACCGGACCGATAGCAGGCGCGGCAGGTCGTCTAGCACACACCGCATATGCTACTTAGTGGAAATAGCTACGTGGCTACGCTGCTACCTTAGCCTATGTGGCTTCATTCATTGACAGCTGTTTCCAGTTGACAGGGGTTGTGTAACGTAAATTCTGTAAATAACATCACACAGAGACTGACAGAGGACCGTAAAAGTTCATCATGGCTCGGTGGCAATCCTGTCAGCTGTACCTGTGTATAGTTTCACAGCTTCCACCGAAACAGTAACCAATCGTTTTTATACGTTTATTTCACAAAATAGGCTTGTGTGGTCAACAACATGAGGAACAGAAGTTCAACTACTTGTCTACCTTTGCATGGAGCAAGTGTGATGGAGCTCATTTACTCCTTAGTGACACAGCCAAATGTTTGCATTTTATGTAGATAGGATATCACAGCTCACATATGAGTATTGTAACCCATCCCTATATCTCAAGACAAGCTATGACACATCATGTGGATCACCAAAGCTGAAATCTGAGGTTTGGTGAATATATTGGTGGCCCAGCTACCTGCTATTTTAGGAGACTGACAGACTAGGTACATGGACCCTAGCTTGCCCTAGCCGCTACAGAATGATAAGGGTGTTTGCAGTTAGTTGTTGGGTGATTTGAAAGACCCAAACTTAGGGTGTTAAAAAGGTAGACAATGTAGATATATCCCACCACATGACTTTAAACTAGTGGCTGACAGCTTGATCAGACAATTATCAGAGCAAGTGTCTACCTTTGGGACTCACTTCATACTAACACTGTAGGAAGTCAGATTTAGGGGTGAGTTAGGTTTAGTAAGAGTGGGCAAGAGTAGAGAGTACACTGAAAAGGTTAACCCTGATCTCATCATGGTCTGCAAATTAGATTGTTGGGACTTGGGATACAGAGAATCCCCTAAGATCCAGTACTGGCCCAAGCAGTTCTGGAATCTGGATATCGCTGATGATCTAAAAAAAAATATGAAAGGTCACTACTAAACGTGAGTGTTGGGATTTCTGAGGAGTAATGCTGATCATTTATCCTGTTGCACATCAATTCACACAGCAGTAGGCAGAGTACCAATAACTGAGTACCCATTTTTATATCATCTCTTTAGTAAGTAGGTAGGTACTTTGGCAATTGTCCTTGTGTTCCACGGTTACAAAAGTGCACAATTTTAGCAAACTGGAACAACTAGCATGCTCTCACTGATTAGCAATTAAATCAGGTAAGGCATGGTTGTTGATTTATTTTTTCAGAGTTTAGGAGGGCATGTCAAGAGCTGTCCTGTAGCTCAGTTGGTAGAGCATCAGACTCCCAGTTGGTAGTGAGAGCCCAGGTTTAAGTTGCCCTGGCACTCAATATTTGAGACTCCTGACAGGGATAGTCTGTGGTTGATGGGAGCAGCCACAGCCAGTTGATTATTGAAGTCAGCTGAGTGGGACCAGCCGTGTATGGTTTTGAAGGGCTAGTTCAACTTTGGCATCTAAATTATCCAGTTGCCTGCAATATTGCAATCGAACTGCAGACAGTAAGGGCTGTGTCCACGCAACAAGCTCTGCTTTGCATTGGCTCTGGCTGTGTCAATCCATCCATTCAAACATAAGTTAAATTTATAAAAACAGCATGGTCAATCTATACCATAAACACGCAAAATAACATGCATATGCTTAAAGGAAATAGTTCACTTTTAACATGGGGTTTTGAACTGGAATAGCAGTTTCGTAGCTTGAGCTGAGACAAGCACAAATCAGGAGCTTTTACGGCTCAACGATCACCCTAGACGAAGATATTCCATTTCTCGTTCCGAAAAGAGTGCCTTGCAGAGGAATGTGTGCCTTGTACAGGAATGCAGCCACGTCATCGTCAGCCAATCAGCATGCTGCTTACAGCCAATGCAGCATGCGTAGGTTTGAACTACGCAATATGATTGGTCAACGCGTAATAAGCTTCCGCGTCGAACATTATTTTACATAGAATATAGTTCGTCCTATATTAAAATATAGAAAATAATTGTTTTTACAAAAAGGTTTTATTTTATTTTCTGATCATTTTGAGCATAACAAATCATAAATCCATAGCAAAATACTGATTTCAGGAAAGTGAACTGTTTCCTTTAAGCATATAAAAATTTCAGTTTGATATAATTGGATAATTCTCACCCGAAATTTACACGAACAATCAAAGGAAAACCAAAATCAAAGCGGGCTCAAAACAAAATATATTAGGCACTACGCACACACAATGCACATACAAAGTTCCCATTGTTATTGTGTCTGCAGATGATAACACTGGTAAACTCATGCAAGTCACAAACAACACATATTGCAAAATGTGACGAGAAATGAGCCTATTTCAATTTCAATCCCAAGCTACCCCTTCACCTTCCGGAATCGTATCTCCGCGCATAAAATACCCACCTTATGCTTGCTGTTTTAGAGAGAAACTGCACCAACTCTACTTGTCAAATTTCTGCAACAGAAAATGTAGCAATTTCTTCACATCCAACAAGCAATCGGCGGAAATTCACACGTCGCCTACTCGCTGTAAATTATTTCAATTTATTTATCATCACAGTCACACACCTTTTTCACAGGGGGTGTGTATTTGCAATATCACCTTAAAACGCTGCAAATTTTTAAAGTGACGTCACGGCTAAACGATCACTAAACAACTCCGACATTTCCGAACAATGAAGAATAATCAGAGAATAACTTCAGTTTAATGTAGAAAGTAAGCTTGTACTCACATATCTTAGAAAAGTGGATGGTCCCCCAGTGTCCTTACTCCTTGCACCACCCACGAGTAGTAAAGTAATCTTGCCACCCACTACGTACATATTTAGAGTATCCTTAGATCTTCCCCGCGTAACGTCGATAATTTTGGCTGGTACCTGTCTGATTCAGGTCGCTCTCTAAAGTTATAATGTTTATCAACAAGAAAGGCCTGAAAATTTTTGTCGAGGTGGTTTCACCAGGCCATATGGAACTGATCTACAACAGGATGAATAAGGACGGGTGGGCAGCGTTGGATTGGAAAACCGATCGCTCGAACCAAGCAGACGCAAACTAAAACAATTAATCAGATCTTCCCAGTTTTGTATGTTGCAATAAAAGGTCGTGACGAGGGCACCAAACAACAGCAATGCACGCACGCACACCACAGATAACAACACCAGCATTTCGAGCAGCAGCGACGCGACCAGGCGCCCTAGCCCGGGGTACGACTCTTTGGCATTCATCTCACTCCTTCTCGCTCAATATTTCAGATCCAGGACGTGTGTCATTTCAAGTTTCAACACCTTGACATTCGGTGAGTGGCTGAGCGCACATCTGCGGGCGTCAACTCGCTCGTCGCCAGCTCCGCTGAAGCCGGCCGAGCACGGGACATGCGACAACACACCGCTCCCCGCGCGTCAGGAACCTGGAAGCGAGCACTCGCAGCGCTTCCCGGGCAGACCGGGCTGCCCAGCGAGCGGCCGCCGCGGCCACACAGTTCAGGAAGACGGCGAGTTCAGGATGACCGCGGTTCGCGTGGCAACGCCGGACATCCTTTGGCAAGAACCGACGAGGAACAGCGGCCGCGTGCCGCCGGTCTATCGGGCGGAACCCGCGCGCCACAGCCACGACCCGTTGGCATAGGGTCGGGGCGCGTGCCGGGCGACACAGGTACGCAGGGATGTCACACAGCACCGTGCGCATACCATCGGCACTCAGAGTGCACACGGTACACACGCCGGCGGGGCCAGTGTGCACACGGCACGCACGCCGGCGGGACCCCGTGCACACGGCACGACAGCTGCGAGCGATCGGCTGTGAGTTGACCACGCTGCCCGTAGCAGACGGACGGGAGCGAGCGGCGACCCGTGGTCACCCCATTACCGCCACGCGGCCCCACATCAGTTCACGATAGCGCGGGCATCTCGACGCACGGGACGGTGGCTGCCAGTTTGAGCTCAGTAGCACACACGCGCCAAGTGAACACGCGCATAATGAATCACATCGCTATGTTGTGCACAATAAATAGACGTTTCTGCGAACAATTCGACAACACTGCTGAAAACAAGCACACAATAAAAACAATGCGCATTTGCAGGCATAAATGGCAACATCTACATCCATCGCCCAATGCTAACACCATTAAGCACACCACACTGCACCACTGTCGTTATGTCACACATGGCGTCAAATAAAAAATGAAACAAATACTGGGCAGAGCAACCGCGCAACAACCATTCGGTTAGAAACGCTCTGTCACTTAGTACTCACTTAGTACCGGCAACATTTTGACCGAATGGTTGTTGACGGATGAGCTTACAATCATAAAATATCTGAAACATACATACAAGCCAACCTGAAAAATTATGCAGCACGATTCACAATCTGTGACTGAGCATCTCCTAAAAAAAACAATCAAGTGTCACATTAAAATGTGCTCATCACTTCCCTTTGTCGTTGAACACACTTAAATAAGCGCGGATGATAAACAATGTCAAGTTCAACACTAGAGATACGGTGGGAATCTTGAGAAGCAGTCAAGATAGGTAAGGAAGATAACCAAGAAAAACCTTAGGTGCCAGATCTACTTGAAAATTGGTGACCTCAGCAACTGACCGAGAAGGGTTGACTGCCAAAGCGCGGCACCAACATTCGCATTCACTACACTACATGACCCCATACGAGTGACCGGTCAAAAGACCACAATGTCAGCCGACATAAAACACAAGCACGGCACGCCGTTCAGCTGGAGATGAGCAGTGAGCGGTCACCGGGCAGCGTGCGCCGCCACTGACCTTCGATACACTATACTGGCCTTTCCGAGAGTAGCCGGGACGCGAGGACCGCGCGGCACATACTGAGCTACAGCTACACCCAGCGGGAGGCCAGCAACACGGCAGCAGCGGCCGGCGCTGACCACACGCCAATAAATAGGGTACCGGTGTGCGCGTGTCAGACCGCGCGGAGGGGGAGATCAGACGCCGCCGCGACACTCGACACACAGCGGTGGCGGCGGTAACAAGAGCGGCAACAACAGCATCAGCAGCAGCGGCGGCGTACTACCAGCAGAGGCGCGTGCAAGGTCGGCAAAAACAGCACCACCGGCGGAAACTGTCGTATCCAGGCCACCAGCAGCGCGTACGGTAATTTCCTCACCTCTGCCGATGCCGAGAAGCCATACAAAGCACACCGAACACGTTTCATTGTAGGCTGCATACCATCGGTGGGTGCGACAATTTCCTCCCGGCGTGCTCGAATTCCGCCGTGGACTACACCGCCTCTGCTAGCGGCGCGGCTCACGTGCTGATTACCGAGTTGTGTCGCGACAAATTCGGCTCGGCAATCGTCGAGTTGTGCCGCGTCTTGCGGCGACACTCTAGCTCGGCGTCTGTGTCGACTCGACTGACGGCCATCGAGAGTGCCGCCGTCTTGTCGAAGTCGATGGTGGCGTAGCCCTGCGAGGGCCGTCCGGGCGCGGCGACCGACGGCGGCTCGAGGCGCGACCCGGCGCCCGGCTGCTGCAGGTCCAGCACGGCGTAGTTGACGCGCGCGGCAATGTTCACATAGCACCTCTCGTCGTCCTCGGCACTGACGCCGGGAGCCAGCAGCGCCACGGTGGGTGTCATTCCACCGCCACTGGCGGCGGCGGCGGCTGGCGGGGGCGGGGGCGGCGGCGGGTGCAGCGGGACAGCCTGAGCCGCCGCCGCCGCCTCCGGGACCACGTTAACATACAGGTGCCTCTGGTCGTCCTGATCGGCCGGCTGGTAGTTGGTGTTGATGTCACACGGCACCGTGTTCAGGTACGAGTGTGTCGGCTTCGTCTTACGCTGGGCGGGCACCGGCGGCTGCCGCGGCAGCTCCAGCTCAGCCGGGGCGAGGGCGATGGCGGGGGCGGGGGCGGGGGCGGCCGCCGCTGCATCCTCCGTCCAAATCTCCTCGTTCACGTATACGGCCTGGTCGGAGCCATCTGCGGTGCAGGGGAAATGTAAACAGAGGTGAGAAACCCCACAGATGGGTGCAGTAGGGAACAATCGACTCATTCAAAAATCGTGGCTTTGTTCGCGGCAATGAATAAGCAGATAACAAAACAGACGGCAAACATACTGAATGGCACAGACGTGCAAAATCAGACGGCAGCCCTCTACAGGCAAGCAGCAAACCAAAATACTGATGTAAAATCACTCAATAGCTGCAAAGCAATGGACCTAATTGAAAACAACAGACGATATGACGCCAACAGTCATACCTAGCGCCCATGATTGCAACACGTTCAAATGTGAATAGTACGGGAAGGAAAATCAGCATAGCTCGTGTCAGGCATGTATTCAGCTATCTTAAACCACCTTCGGAAACATCTGATTGACTGATTTACTCGTCAGCTAGAAAACGCGAATCGCGGTTACGTAACAACGATGCCTGAAAAGCTCAATGACAAGGTAAAGGGTCGACTATAGCAGTGTATTTGCAAAACAGAAAACATCGCATAGCTAAATGCTATAAAGATTCAGGACCCTGATCACCGAGCCCCGAGGGACTCTCAAGCATGGAGGGAGTCTCCAATCATACAGCACCCCACACAACTCCCAGGAGCATTGACGCCGTGAAGCGGCGAGCACAGGTAAGGCCAGAGAAGCGTCTCACTCACCGGCGGGTCCCCGCCAGTCGCGCAGGGCGGCCACATCGCCGTTGGAGCCGGTGACGAAGCTCGGGTCGGCGGTGTGCGCCGGCGTGTGCCGTCCCTCGTCCAACGACGGGTTCTGGATGCACGTCTGAGGCGGAAGTCAGGGGGTTAAAGTTACGATGGGGCTGGAATGACTTTGACTAGACACAGTGGCAGCTGAGACTGAGCGAGATATAGACATCAGCTTCCAGCGTTCTGCAAAGCTCAACTCACCAAGCCGCTAAAATTCGGTAAATGTGAACCATTGAGGTCTTTTCAAATAATGTGCAAGAATTCAAGATAGCTACCTACCACCGACAAAAAAAAAGAAGTAGAAAAAACAATCCCTGTCAAGTCAATCATCAAGTAAATTTCCTGCCATTAAACACGTAGGCCGAAAGCTTAGTTATGAGTATATTGAGCTCAAGCTGACCAACACATTACCGCTTATTCAATTATCTAACATGTATCGTGCAGAAATTCACTCGCTCCTGCATTCACTAGTAAGCAATCAGATTCAAGAATCCATTCACAGTGGAGCATGCACAAAACCAGTATTAACTAAAAATAGCATCGTAGCTGACAGATGTCATCGAGACTGACCTGTAGCAGCTGAAACAGCGCCTCGGCTCGCTCGCATTTGAAGGCGTAGACGCCGGCACCGGTGGGGCAGCGGCGACCGAGCTCGAAGCTGAACACACCCTCCGTGAAGCCGTAGCGCTTCAGACAGCGGATCGGCCACCGCACGCCGGACCGACCTGGCGAGGGGCGAGAGAAGGCGGGCTCAGTGGGCGGCTGACGGAGCGGGCGGAACAATCTAGAGATGGTGAATAGTGAAAGTGATCAAGCACAGCCAACTACGCTGTGAGATATGACATAGTTTTAGGTAAGCCTATGCGATACGATATATCTGAACGACGATAAAATATTCAAACATCTAAACACGCAAAGAAAATCATTGTAAGCAGCCATTCCAAGTTCAAACCAATACCAGATGGGGACAACCTGGCGTTCTTGCAAAGCTGGCATGCCCTCCCCCTCCTTTTCTCCCACCTGTTCCCTTGTCCCTCTCCCCCGATTCGCCGACGCTCACCTCTCTGGTGGAGGATGATGTCGCGCTCGGTGATCTCCAGCTTGGCCGGCCGCAGCTCACGGCCCTCGTCATCGATGTTCACCACTTGGAAAATGTTTGGGTGTCGATCGTTGATGTCCGCCTTGCTGGACATACATCCCATGTCACGGGGCCGGCCGGCGCGTCAGGCGCGCGCCGTCACACACGTCGGCAGCGACCGCTCGGAGCGCACATACTGGCCAGCAGCTGACGACACGGAGACGAGCCAGTCAGGTCGGCTTTGAATTTGAACTTTGAATTTTGAATTTGAACCAGAACACCAGCTGGTTCAAAATGAAATAAGATGCAGTAATCAGGAAAAGTGCCTGTTTCAATGTCTCACCAATGTTTTCTAAAGTTTGTAAGGAAAGCTAACTAGTGACTACACTCTACTAAGGATATTTTGCAACCACATCAAAATGTCTATTATTGATCCCAAACATGGCTATTTGACTTCTAAAAAATGGCACACTGTAATATGCCCATGCATCCAAATTATAACAACTTTTGTCACATATTCTTTAGATGAAAACTACAGAAGGTGCACAAGTCACTTTTTTAATACAAAATTTACTTTACATTCAAAATGTTTGTCAAAATAATTTTGTCAACACAAACTTTTCCAAAATGCACATATCTTCATCTGCAATTCCATGCCAGCATAAGTTTCTGTATCCATCCATCTCACACACCCCATTGACAATGGAATACTCATGACTGTCAGACATCCTGAGCATGACTTCATCCTCCATGTCCTGAGGGTCACCTCTTTACTAGACAGCACACCTCTTTTTACCTTGGATACCTACCTAATAAATGCATCTGAAAGGCCAAAGCCATGGCCCTCTCCCATGGCCCTCAATCAGAGTTCAGCTGCTACCTGGCCACCCTTTTCTCAGCTTACATAATAATGTTAGACTATCATCAGAATTAACTCTGACATACAAGTGAGGATGCTGGAAACAGGCCTCCTTCAGTAACATCTCATGATCTTATCTCAAGACCTAGCTAGTAGCAGGTTAAGATCATAGGTATATGAAAAGGAGTAACAGATCATCATAATCAGGATCCAGATGTGGTATATTATGACTTATGGAATGGATGGATAGCTATGTCAGGTTTACAGAACAGCTACTACACAGCTATAAGTAGAAAAACTCCAAACTTTATCTTCTATCTCTGTCAGGAGCTGACAGTGTGCTAAGTTGAATGGGGTTAGTATTTTGATGTGATTATATCATGAGTGATTTACTTACATCCACAAACATTTTAAATTCAGCCAGCTAGCACCTAGCAGCTTGAGCTAGACTGGTGAGAGAGGGCCACACTACACCCAGGACAACCATATGTGCTTATCTACTTGTGAATGTGATAATTGATATGTCAAGTTTTTGAGTGATATTATCACCTGCAGCAAGGCAGGCCCAGGCAGGGTCATTGGTGGGTCTGTGGTAATCTTCACAACTATCAGTAATCACCACTAGACATGGCAACCAAGCCTCAAGCTGAAGCCAAATCCACTCATCCATCCATTCAGACTAATTTCTTAACAAAAATAAGGAAACAAGAGAAGAGGGTAGTAGTAAAGCAGGCATCACATTTGTTTTTTTGTTTTTGTTTATTGCAACCAAGGAGAGGCACTCCACACTGTAGGTTAGGTTGTAGGTGTTAGGCTTTAGGTAATAGGTGGTAGGTTTTAGTTTGTAGGTTGTAGGTAAGGTTAGGTCAGGTTTGAATAGCTTTGGTTTGGTTTGATTAGACAGCATGTCTGGGTATAGTGCCTCTCCTTGGTTGCAAAAAAAATATGTGGGTGTGTGTGTGTGGGGGGGGGGTTGTGGCGTGTAAAACCTCTGAGGGTTATGTGTGACGCCCGCTTTACGACCACCAAAAAGAGCACTCTAAGCAATATCAATAAAAAGGGAGTTACATGAAGTCATGCCAAATAAAATATTGATCATTTTTGTTTGCAATTTCTACAAATGGTAGCTGTCATAACTAACAATCAGAAATTGTAAATTAAATAATCATTCAAACGTCCAATAGAAATAGCATTAGTTAAGCAATGTTGTCTCACTAACAATATTGATATATCACCGTAGTTAAAGGAAACAGTTCACTTTCCTGAAATTAGTATTTTGCTATGGATTTACGATTTTTTATGCTCAAAATGATCAGAAAATAAAATAAAACCTTTTTGTAAAAACAATTATTTTCTATTCTTTAATATAGGACGAACTATATTCTATGTAAAATAATGTTTGACGCGGAAGCTTATTACGCGTTGACCAATCATATTGCGTAGTTCAAACCTACGCATGCTGCATTAGCTGTAAGCAGCATGCTGATTGGCTGACGGTGACGTGGCTGCATTCCTGTGCAAGGCACACATTCCTCTGCAAGGCACTCTTTTCGGAACGAGAAATGGAATATCTTCGTCTAGGGTGATCGTTGAGCCGTAAAAGCTCCTGATTTGTGCTAGTCTCAGCTCAAGCTACGAAACTGCTATTCCAGTTTAAAATCCCATGTTAAAAGTGAACTATTTCCTTTAACAGTAATTGTAAATGATCCTACTGCGATCTGATCATGTTATCCTAAATATAATAAAATATTCAACCGATCACTTACCTATATTGATATATGGCCTGTTGTTGTTGTTGTGGGTTAGGGCGCGTAGCAACTTGGCTCTTGCGTCCAACAATATATGGCCTAGCCACTCCAATTTCTCACAAGCAAGGCCCTAAGCCCTAAGCAAGTATTGTTTATTGTAGGATGGGAGCAGTGTGCTTTGTGCTTGTGCTCGATAGCTAGTGTCCTCTAGCGTTCGTTTTCGATAATGTGCTTTTTACGTGCTTTTTACCATTGAATTACCAATTGTTGAGGATATGTGTCCTATTTTTAGCTAAATTATATTATTTATTTTGAATGCGCAAAATCAATGTAGTTAAAATTTCAAGTCAAGCAAAAAATGATCAATTCCAAAAAAAAAAAATCCGCTAGGTTCCGTAACTAATTTTGTTCACGGTTCGTCATTTACAAGTGATCATATTAGCAGACATAAATGACGCACCTGTATATAATTCGGCGCACGAACTTTTCTGTGTGTGGTTCTGTGCGTGCGTGGACCAAGGCCCTATTGCGTGGACTTGTCGATATCGTCGATATGTTGTTACCTATATGGACTAATTACCATTGATTAAAGATGTCATATGTCTTCTTACCAATATTTTTCTTATTTTAACTATGCTCATCTTCCCTGCTAAGTTGAAGTCTTTGCATTGCTCACCTTGACCTTTCCCGTTTTTCTGCTCTGATATCGTATAAGTATAAGGCATTTATCATGTTTGGGCCAAATTATGTGATAATAGTCCACAGTTCTGCAAATGTGGGATGTTTCATTTGCATGGAGAGCACTATTGAACAACATATCCTCAGGCCTCAGGAGCATGAGGACGAGGAGTGGTTTACCAATGAAATGGATGAACAAACCAGGTATCCACTATCCATAGCCCAGTGTGTCGCCCCACTCCTCAATTAGGTAGGCATGTTCCCGTTCCTGTCATTCCACAGCCACAATGCCCACACACCCTATAACTTAACAGACCTAGTTATAAATAACTGGTAAATGACATTGTTTTGATCACATCTTTTGAAAACGGTTTTTAATTACAGGATATATTAATTTATACATAGTCCTGCTTGCAAATCAAGTCTGGTTCCTCGATTCAAGTATCTAAGACTGATTCAAGCAGAATATGGACCCTGATTCATCACACACCAAGCCTGACAGTTTACATGAAGTATGTGGCTTTGACTGGAATGTTAAGGTAAGTCACATGTTCACATTTAGGCAATACCCATTGATCAATGAAGTACAAGTAAATCATTTCTACCACAAGCCACCAAGGACAGCTTGGTAATAAGCAGAAATCGATAATGCCTTTTAAATTATATTCAACTTCTATCCCTCTACTGTTTAAACTCAACACATTCAATCATCTTTTTCAGGTTGTCTTGGCATCCAGTTCAGCAGGCATGATGTATGAACCTCTCACTTCAGTCAACTTCAAGACATCTGAGGGCAAGGATGTGACACTGGAGCTGACCAAGGGGCAGCTGGATGAGCTCATCTCTGCGATGGATGCTGCTGTCAAGGCTACCTCAGAACTAGAAAGATAACATGCATCACCTCTATTCTCTTCATCTCATTTATCATAGCCATTGCCATCAGAATATGTTGTTTCATCACAAGTGCTTGAGATATATCATGAAATAAACAAATTACGAAAACTTAACGAGTGTATGAAACCACCTATAATTTGACTTTGAGCTCAATCAATAATATGGCGATTGCAAGGCTGTCTTCATGCCATTATGCTCTTTACTCGCTTTTCGTTTCCGACAGCATACGTGTATGTACTGTAAGTGTATATCCACGCGATCAACGCAGTGTTGCTTGTTGGACCAATTAATGCAATCGGCAAAACGGAGCTCGCGAATGCAGATACCAAATAGGCAATTATTCCGAATGTTCAAATACAGTGAGCAGTCTGAGCAAGCTCAATTACTGCATTTTAGAATTGATGCGGCCTAACGACACAAAAGTCGATAATATTTTCCCCAATTGGCCGATAGCCTCTATTGCCGCGGAACCATGGTACGAGTTTGTACAAAAAGTGACTTTAAGTACAAACAAGGCGTGAATGGGCACAAGCACTCAAAATTTGTTTTTTTAGGTGTATTCGCGTACCTCACAATGCTCTTGAAACCAAACGGTCTCAAGACTGAAGACATGAAACAAATGTGACTTAATTACTCAAAATATAGCATCATTATGACATTACTTAAATTAATAATGTGCCCAAACAAGCTTAGTTCAGTACAACAATCGCAAGCATAGCGACCAATAACAAAACAAATCACCATTTACGGTAGGCGAGCAGAGAACTTATCACGCGCTGACCTGTGCGCACGTCCACCGCAACCACCAGCCCTCCCGAACAGCACGACACTCGCACGGTGTAAAACACAACAGCACTGCGGCCAGCGGCAATGTCTACGAGTCCGCGTGTGAAATGATCAGCCAAGATATCACGAAGTAGAACAGGAAGATCGGGTAGACGCCGAGGGCCTTGCGGGACGGCGGCTGACTGTCACCCAGAAACTTGACCGACGCTAAAAACAGGGAGAAAATGTGTCAGAATAGCGCGTCACGACTGCAAGCTTAACATCAACAGGCCGAGGCCTGCAGCCCCCGCCTCCGACCATTACAGCGTCAAAAACGCGTCCGGTTTCATCTGGCGGTTCGTTTTTCTTTCCTTGGCAGTTATTTTGTAATAATATATAATGTAATTGTATCGGCCTACGAGACCTATTATTGGTAAGTAATCTTTCTAGTTCATCTCAATGGCGTTTATCACAGCTACTAGCGGCAAAATATCACAAAGATTTAAAAAATAATAAAAGATGGATTTCATACACAAAAAAATCGCTTGGTTACACATGGAACATCGGAGATTTCGTGAGCTGACAGTTATGCCACCACAGTTCTGCCCGACCTCCAGACATTCAATTCGTTTCAGTTTTTCGTTTCAGTTTTCACCAATTAAGCAATTATAGCAATAACATCGTAATACCAACTGCCATCTTACCGAACGTAAATATGTTTTTGCTGCCCATTATATCTGCAGATTTCATATGCACGGGACCAAAAGGTGCGCATGACGATAGCTCGTGATTTCGCTATTTACTGGCCGTGACCTGCCGCCCTGTGCAATCTCACCTACTATCGCTATGGCCGGCACCATCGTGACTCACCGTAGGTGGCCCATCCGAAGCCGAGGCAGGTGATGACGAGACGCACAGCGAACAGCGCCGTGGTCTGCTCGAACAGCAGCACCAGCCAGCACAGCATCAGAGCGACGATCGTCGGGAACAGGCAGTAGCCGAGCACGCAGACGCTCTGGAAAAACGAACTGGAGGACCGATCGGCGTCACAGGCATGGTATTCTTGGTCGCGGATCGTGGTGTCGGGTCGGGGGGCAGGGAGTGGGAGTAAGCAGCCAAGAAAATAGCGGGGAGTTATGGGAATCGTAGCGCTCTGGGACGCAGCAAGTAGCTACTTCTATTCACTTCACTGAAAGCCCTGGACACTGGACAGCACTTATTAACGATACTAATTTCTCGACTTTTTATGCCTCGTTCAGCACCCACACAATACGTCAAAAAATTACTTTTATCGGCAAGAATAGATGAAGCGCATCAAATCCTTACATGGATCCTCCGAGCAGTTTGGTGTTGAGGGTGACCACGGCCGAGCCCACCCAGACAATGACGAACACCTCGGCGAACTCTGGACCACCGTCGTTGGCCAGCGTGCCGCTCTTGCCCGCGGCTGGGGTCTCCCCCTCAGGAGAGCCTTGTAGCATCACCGCCAGTATGGTGCACAGGATCAGCGGACCCCAGAGGTCCCCTGTGAAAACACCGGACGGTCAGCGGAACTGATAGATCACCTGTGAAAACACCGGTAAGAAGAGTGGATCTCATGACTCATGTGACGACGCTCATACAGAGAACAACAATCAACAACGACATATCCTGGCCTTCGAGTAGGCTATAAAACAAATCCATCGGATAAAATACGCAAATATCACGTCCACAGCGGACTCCGCAATTGTCTTCTTTGATACACGAAAACCTGACGATGAGCACTGCAGATGACTTACATTCTTTCAGCAGGGCTTTCTTCTCCCGTGGGTACATCACGTGCCAAAACTTCGTCCCCACGGCCTTCAGGTCACGCATCTGTGAGCGAAGAGATCACTTATTGACGACAGAGTCACGGACAAAGAAACGATGAAGACAGTTTATCACAACTAAAACAACACCAGTGCAGGACAATTAATTTTCATTATTCAGGCACGCTGATTGCTTAAAAAGCATGCTTCACATTCACCGTCACATAAAAGCTCCGGCTCATCATTGCACCCACGAATACACGAATAGTGACACGGTGCCGTTCTCATCGAATAATGTAGATGATTAGAAGTGAATTTTACTGCAAAGGCATCGACATCGTCCTTTCTTACAGTATGCCCCTCGGCACTGGTAATCCTGTTATGCTTCCCCATTAAGATGACGTCCCGTGTATTCCCGGCACCTCCACACCGTTCCTCACTAACGATAGTGCCCCGCGTGTCTATGGCACGTCCACAACTTCATTCATTTACGATAGTGTCCCTGGCACCTCTGCGCTGTCCCTCACTCACAATGGTGTCCGTATGCCGCCGACATTACCACACCGTCCCTCACTTACGATGGTGTCCGTATGTCGCCGACATTACCACACCGTCCCTCACTTACGATGGTGTCCGTATGTCGCCGACATTACCACACCGTCCCTCACTCACAATGGTGTCCGTATGTCGCCGACATTACCACACCGTCCCTCACTTACGATGGTGTCCGTATGTCGCCGACATTACCACACCGTCCCTCACTTACGATGGTCTCCTTGATCGGCTCGTCGAGCGTGTTGTACTCGACGGTGCCGTCAGCAGAGCGTGACGGCTGGCCGGGCACGTTGATCTGACCCCCGATCTCGGACGGGTCGACGCTCGACTCCTCGTACATCTGACGGACACACGATCGGTAAGCGAGGCTTTGGGACATGGATGAGATTCTCAGCTCTCAGGGAACAATCATTCTAGAATGTGTGTAAGTGGATGATATCACACAATACTTCATAGTTTATGTAGTTGGTACAGCCTATAAGAGAAACTAGAGATGGCACACCCATCAATGACACCAAGTGACAACACAAATAGCCAAGAAGCATTATGCCAGTAGCCAAAGTCAGTGTTAAAAATTATACATACCTTAGCGATTAAAATGTGCAATTGCATGGTCACTGGTCAGGTTGGGTTGGAATGATTTATATGTATGGTCTCAATGTAATGGACATGCCTCTTCCCTCTTACCAGTAGGTCCACTTTCATTTCCTTTGCTGGATCCATTGTTGTGATGAAGAAGCAGGCTCAAACTGGTGGAATCACTGATGGGATCACTTTCTTTGGAACTATGTAGGTGCAATTCTTACCTATATCCTGTAAACACAAAAAGTCATTTTGAGCCTTAATTGCAATGTCCCAGAAAGCACAAGCTGCTTTCAAAATGGTACATTTTGACTCTCTAGTGCCTAAAGTGGTTATAATCTCCCTCCACTTTTAGAGCCAGTTTATTTCAGAAGTGACATTTATTGTTCATGGGCCACATTATGCACATCTGATAAACTTTACTCCACAAACAATGCAAAATTTGAATAAATGCAAATGCAAAGGCCAAAGGGTTTATCGTAACAAAACAAAATCACTTAAAAATGCTTTTTGTTATTCTTGAATATAAATGGTGAAAATAAAGTAGAGACTAGAGACCCACTTCAAATGCTGTAGGCATTCAAGACATTTTGTCCATGAGAGATTGGCAAGTCCCGTTAAGTGCTTAACAAAAATGATAGTTTTTCAGGCTGATCAAGATATATTTAAAGCCAGAAAAGGGCAGTCACCACAAAGCTTTTTGAAAATATATTCAGTGATCTATCAGTCATATCTATCAGATCTAGAGTCCTAACCACAATAAATCATTTGATGGACATATTTTAATCAAATGAAATCACTCTATTGACATGATTGACACACAACAACCAAAGTTAATCCTCAGCACTAGAGTCCATGCACTTCTTAAATGAAACAAAACCAGGAATAGCGATACAATCTACAAAATGTAGTTAAGAGCAAATTTGAAAAAAAAATGATATTCTTCAATCTACAAAAATTGACGAATATCACACCCAAAAGAAATCGCAGCACTCACAAATCAACATTTGTAAACAACTTATACGTAAGCAACGTGTTCATTTGTATCAATATCCAAGGTGAGGAATGAAGTTGCTAGGTAACATGAGTGTTAAATCGTCAAAATCAGCCTTTTGAAGCTTGTTGCTAAGCAACATGACTATATCAACGAAATGTACGTCATATATCGAACAAGTTTTCTGCACTCTTCTATTTACGTGTTGGAATACAGAAGCTGCGCAGCAGCTACATATGCTTAAGAAATATTACTGCCAAATAAATTGCGAACGTTTCATCCAAGGCTTTTCCATAACACTAACAGTTTCATCGCAAGCGGCGGTGCGAGCGGTGCCCCTTGGTTTCAGTCAAGTTTCAAGCAAGATTCTAACAGTAACTCTTGTATGATGCAAGATAAATGATTTGTTCAACATAATTAGAATTATTTTAGATCTTACAGATTGGATCAGATATTTGAGATATTTCAATTTATAGTCACCGTATCGGACAGTGACAGGATACCACGATTTCAATTTCAGTTCCACGGACGCCACGGACCACGCTTCCAAGGCATGGCACCTGACTGATTTGCCAATATACAGTGACTTGCCACTTGTTTGTAGTCCAACTCAAAATAGGTACTAATTCTAATATTCTCTCTGCACTGGCAGATCCAGAAAGGCGGTCTGGGATGCCGCGCCTTTGGGGGTACATATAATAATATACACCTGAAAAGTTTCTTTGAATTCCAAAAAAATGTTTTGGATGTTGATTCCTTACACACTGCTGTGTAATTCAATGCAAAAAAGATTGTAATAAAATCTCTTATGTGTTTACTTTATTCTAAGAAAATAAATATTTGTTGATTTTGGGCGCTGCAGGCCGCAGGGGGGGGGGGCATTTGGGGACAGATCCGCCAGTGCCTCTTTGTTGATTATTATGCCATGGATTATGTGGATACTCTTACACATCACACTGAATAGCTCAGAAACTAAAAAAGCAATACCCTAAACACTTCAGGGAACATTCAACATTAATATTTAGATATTTTTATCTATCAATAATGATAGCTTGATTTCAATTTCAGATAGCTAGGTTTCAATTTTCTTGATTTTGGTTTCAACTTTTGCTTTCCAGTTCAAATTAAATAGATAGGTAATATGACTTTACCTGCATCATTTCATGGCTCAATTTTCTTTCAAACAAATTGAAATTGTAGACTGCTTGGTGCTTGTGCTTCATGACTTGTAGCTGCAATGGGCAGCTATCGCATTGACCTTTTGGTTTAGTATCTCTTAGGCTGTAGCTTAGCTGCTGTAGGCACCAACTTGCTAACAGTGTCACTCCCCATGCTATCTAAATTGAAATGTGCTGCTCAGTTTATTTTGATTATTCCCACACAAAAAAATCTTATCAAGTTGATAAATGTATCATCATCATGGGCCTTTTTTGTCTATACTTATCTCTTTAGATAATTATTTGCAATTTTACCCATTTTTTTCTTCTTCCAGGTGCTGAGAAGCTATAAGAACAGATGTACCAAAATCAGGATTACTCATAGTTCTCAAATATGTAAGTACCATTAGTTCTTTTTTAGTGACAAGCAAGCAAACCCTACTCATTGCAAAGCTCACATTCCACATGCAAAATGTCAGGGCTGTGGAGTCTAAGTCAGAGTCGGAATCGCCAAAATCTTACCGGCTCTGACTCCTGAATCAGAGCTAACGCTGCATGGTTCAACGTCATTCTCTGCACCAGTTTGCTTGACGATACTACGCACATTTTGTCATAAGAAGGCTATGCTTTTGTATTGGAAATTTGGACTAGCGTTTTCAGCAAAACAAGCGGAAAACGGCGGATTCGCCAGAACCTGTTTTTCATTCTGCATGCTACCTGTAAAGCACGTTTACAATGCAAGGCATTGGTACGCATAAAGTAGGTATCGTTTCAGGTAGATATCGTTTCAGGTAGATATCGTTTCAGGTAAAGTAAAAGCATCTTCACAATGTCATTATTATTATCATATGAATTTTGAGAGAAGCGTCCGGAGTCGGAATCGGAGTCGAAGTCGATTTTGAAGCCGTTGTCGGAGTCGGAGTCGGAGTCACCCGAAAATCCATCGACTCCGCAGCCCTGCAAAATGTGACTTTAATCAACTTCTGCAGGCCAACCACCTGCATATTGAAATTAGAAAGTGAAGGTGACATTTGATTGTTGGCATGCTGCATTAGCTTCTTACTCCATTGTGACATTCTTTTACTCTGTTGCAATGGCTCAAACTTATAGGTTATGTGTAATTGCATCCGTTATTTTCTTTCAGGGCAGATTACTGGAAGTCGAACCCCCGCAAGTTTTGCGATGTTTGCAAGTGCTGGTTCGCCGATAATAGATCTGTGAGTTCCCCGAGAACTGACATAAGTATCCATGTTATTTATTGCTTTTCAAAGTCGCTCTTATCATACTTGTAGAGTGCCTTGGAAGTTTCAAAATACTCTGTAAGGGCATTGTGATTATCTGTTTTGTTCTGTTTTGTTCTTCAGTGATTTTCTCACATTCTGTTGGGAATTAGATATTTATGTCTTATGAGTCTATGACTTATGCAAACTTACTGTATTTTGGGCTGCAGGTTGTCATTTTGTCATGCATCGTCATGAACACTCATTGCATTGTTCTGGATTATGTTGTGTTGTCTTCTACGCTCGCCACTAGCGTATCCTGCATTGCTTGCCTTCTTCCGTTTCTGCCGTAAATCGTAACATATCACCAGCGCATCAATTTCACCAGCGCATCAGGCTAATTCACCACCGATCTCAGTTGACACCCCCTCCCCCCTCCCCTCTCCCCGACGGCAGAGTATCGAGTTCCATGAGCGCGGCAAGCGGTACCACTGATCTCAGCTGACACCCTCCCCCATCCCCTCTCCCCGACGGCAGAGTATCGAGCTCCATGAGCGCGGCAAGCGGTACCACTGATCTCAGCTGACATCCCTCCCCCATCCCCTCTCCCCGACGGCAGAGTATCGAGCTCCATGAGCGCGGCAAGCGGTACCACTGATCTAAGTTGACACCCTCCCCCATCCCCTCTCCCCGACGGCAGAGTATCGAGTTCCATGAGCGCGGCAAGCGACACCAAGAGGCGGTGCGCGCCCAGCTGGCCGACCTGGCCCGCCGCGGCCGACAGGACCACATCCAGAAACAGCAACTGGACGCTGAAATGGAACAGATGGAGAAGGCAAGGGAGCGAGCGGCTACCGCACCATGGCCCTGGGGCGGTAGCCGCCCGAGTCCCCCGCCCGAGTCCCCCTGCAGGGGACTCGGGCTCAATCTGTGAAAGCTCGAGTTAAGATTCGTATGAGGAATGATTTTGCTGTCTTTTAGATGCATCAACATATGGATGAGGGTTCGAAAAAAAACACGTTAAACTTAAATGTAGCCTAATGTTGATACTTGAGTTGATAGTGTGATGTGAGCCATTTTTAGCATCCTTTTGTTGGTTTGCCGTTTTGCCGGATTCAGTGTGTGGGTGTGTGTAACTGTGTATTCTCAGGTGCGTGTTTCCACAGTGTTCTCAAGCATCTTTTATCCATCCCTTGGCACATACGGTAACAGAGCTGCCCTCCCCAGGCGGCGATGGCGGCCTTCAAGAAGGACCTGGCCAGTAACCCGGACCTCGCCCGTCAGTACGGAGTCAAGGTGACCAAGAAGCCGGGCGCGCTGGGCCCCGGCGAGTACGGCCCCACGCTGGACGGGGCCCCGGTGCCAAGTGAGGAGGGCCCCTCCATGGACGGAGTCCCCGTACCCAAGGAGACCCCGGCGCCGCCGCCAGCAGAGCCGGCCAAGAAATGGCACGAGGCCAAGTCAGACCAGGGCTACTCCTACTACTGGAACGTTGATACTGGCGGTGAGTGCTGGCTCGCGATCTCCGAGAGATGCGTTAAGGGCATTGGAAGTTATGTACGTCTTATTTGTCGGGAAAGGATGCAGTGTACTGTTATGTATCGTTGCGAAGGGAAAGAGACGCAAAATACGTTTAGCAACTGCACAAGTGATTCGTTCATTACCCTCTCGACTCTTGGTATTAGCACTTGCGATAAAGGAATTGTTTTATATGGATATGACCGCAAAGCATGTATGCTCGGAGACAAAAAGTTCAAGTTGTAACTTTTTGTCATGTGGCGTGCTATGCTGTTTTCGTTGTGACGATGACAAATACGCTGACTCCTTGTGTTCTGCCACCGGCAGAGGCCGTGTGGGAGCCACCCGACGAGGGGTACGTGGCTCTGCCAGAGTGTGCTCCTCCGCCACCGGACACGGTCAAAAAGGAGCCAGGAGCCGTCAAACAGGAGCCGGGAGCCGTCAAACAGGAGCCGGGGGCCGTGAAGCAGGAGGCCGACAGTGACGAGCCGCCGCCGCCGGCGGAGGAGGTGGTGGGCCCGGCGGCCCGGCCCGACCCCTACGGCAGCCGCTGGGAGACTGTGCACAGGTGGGTATTGGCTCCGGGCAGGGGGCGCTGCGTCTGTTCCTGTGCAGCCAGACGATCACATTAGCACGGGACGATTACGTTACAAAAGATCGTAAGACAAACGGGACATAGGCACTGGGCAGTAATTCGTCGGAGTCGTTATGTGCAGAGATGTCGCCACTGATCCACATGTGGCGCCGGAAGCTGATCTCGTGTCCGAGTCAGATAAAGCTAGTGTGACAAAAAAGAAACTGGTTCGATGCTTTGATTCTGACCGGTATAAATAATGAACTCGTTTTTAGGTTACGTTACATCATCCGACATATTCATCCAACATTTTCTTCGAGTGCCGAATATTTTGTAACGAGAGTGTGCTAATTTTTATTATTTTTTGGTGTTTCGCTTTTCCATTCTTTTTTAACTTGAACGACTTCGTTTGCCCTCCCTTCGACCCTCTCCTGGAAACGATCAGCCTCTTCTAGACAGTCTGATCTGACGCCGACTTCTGCCCCTCCGTTGTTCCTGAGCACGGAGGTGTCTGTAACAACAACGGATAGATCCCTGACCTCTGACCTTATCTGTTCCCTGACATCTGACCCCTGGCTGTTCCGCGCAGGGAGCCGGCGGTGCCCGTAGATCTACAGCTACCGGAGCAGCACCAGCCCAAGGTGCAGCCGGCCGTGCCCCGCGACAAGTCGCGCATCGTCTTCCGGCAGAAGACAGTGGCTTCCCTGGGTGCCGGCGCGGGTGAAACGTTCAAAAAGCGGCGCGTGGAGGGCGACAAGCGGCGTAACATCCGCCAGAGGACAGACGACTGAGAGAGACGTGTGCGAAGTGGGCACTGACATTATGTGAATGTGTTGATGGTTGCTGGTCGCGACGGGCCTTGGTCGTGACTGAACGTCAGTAAACGCGATCGCGCATATTGTGTTTTGGAGTGATTATGGATTTATTGACACCTGTGGACTAAACTACCGCTACCTGTTCAACATCGTACCGGCTAATGGCTAGCCTATGGTGAGATGCCGGGCTCTGCCACTACTCAATGCCTATTCGTATGTACGATCGGCTTGTAAGACTTGCTGGCGTCGGATTATAGCACGTGTCTGTGTTTGTGTGTGTTTTTTTCTGAGATGTGCTATATGTCTGCTCTGGGAAAATATCCCGTTGAACTGGACGATGCCCTATGTCATTCGTGGTTTCGCCGTGTGACCTTATTTGTAAGAAAAGATACATAGAACTCATCGTCATGCTCATATATTTTGTGTTGCTATCAGTCGTTTCCGGGCCCGTTTATGTTTTCTTTTGTTTTTGCAATGCCATAAATACCTAACTGCACTGTTAACCATTGATCATTACTCTTCCGTGCGACATGAAGTACCTAAATGTGAGAAAATGAGTTTTTAAACAAGAGCTCCAAAATCGTGCAGTCGGTACTGAACTTTCATTTATGTTTTTAAAATGTTGCGTCGAGAATCAATATTCGACTTAAGGTCAAGTACAAAAAGAATGGTTTTCAAAACCGCAAAAAATGCTTAGAGCCGTCGTCATGACTTGCACGACGTTATGGACTGGACATGGAGTATTTCAATAATAGTTCTCAGTGATATGAATTGTGTTCTCATTAGTACGACTCATTTAAAAGGTGTTCATGTGGTTATGAAAATGCAGGATTGAAAATACTTTCAGCAGTTATAGACGTAGTATGAGGTTCAATTATTCCGGCATATGGATGGGGCCCAAGATTACTTTACTACTCTACTACTGCATATGGATGGGACCCTCATGGCTCATGGTCGCTCATGGTTGCCCATAGGGGTTTTCCTCTGTGTGAAGGAAAAGTATGACAGTGAATCAGGCCAGCTACCAAATTTGCTACCACATACCGTTTGTTTTGTATCGTCCGTTTGATAGCGAGTGGATGGGCGGAGCTCTGCAGTTCGGGAACGGGTCGTGGATTGAAATTCTGGATCTATTAAATGTCTCATTATCAGGTAAGCTGGGATTCTTCATTTCTCATTTAGTTTGTTTCAAACATTGAGCTAGTGACCTGTTGTTCAGTGACATTCGATGGTGCCTCGGGTCATGCTTTTGCGTCAGAAGTGTCTTGTCACACCTTTTGTAGTAATTTGCTAATATAATAATTGCAAAAACAGTGAGATAGTCTTTTCATATTTAAGAAGAAAAATAATAGATTTTTGTCATATATCACAACAAATATTCCCATACAGCGCCCAGCGGCCAGTGCTATTATGTTCGTTGTTCGGCATATGCTTTGATTGCTCAAAATAATGAAACAACTTCTTTCTGAAGTTACTTAAGTTTTCTGCTCTGAAGTTCTCTGTTGGTAGGTTGGAGGTCATAAATATGAAGTGCTATCTGCATTCTCACACAGTGACATTTAACTTTCTCATTATCTGTATAAGAAACAAATCAATTAGGTAATACAAATAACATTTTTTCAGATAATAATTATCTTTGTCAATATCCACCTTCATATAAAGGTTTAATTAGTAACATAACACTGGCAGATCCAGTGGGCTTTGGGGACTTATGTCCCTTCCCCCGCAGTAGCTAAATTCAATGAAAATTTGCAGTTTTTAAGGATAAAGCTAAAACTTGACAACTTTACCTATGAAAAAAGTTTGATTTTAACTGCACAGCACTGCATAAGAAAACAAGATCCAATGAGCATTTGGAATTTGGGGAAACTTTTTTTTGGTAAGTCCCTCAAGCAGCATTTAAGATCACCTTTCTGGATCTGCGAGTGTGGCTTCCGTGTGAATGTGTTATTGTCTGCTTTAGCCTGCACTTATGACTTATTGTATTTCTTAATACATTTTCCGCATAAGTAGGTAAAATTGTTTTTTATATGCCTAGTACCTACTGCCCATGGTGCCTTAATCAGTTTGGGCTGCATGCTTAGAGATTAATTGTTTTTTTCTTATTATTACTTTGAAGTGTGAACTGCCAAAAAGTTTTGTCACTTAGCATAACATCTCTAATTTTCAACTAGGCCTACTAACCAAGTTGACATTGTATGACCAGATTTGAATTGCTATTGATGTTAATGTAGCTTTTGATTTCCTTTTTGAAATGCAAAAACTTTGGAATTTGATACGTCTTAGAAAGACAAAGTTGAATTCATTCTGTGTATCATTTTAGCAGCAGCAATAACTATACAGCAAGCAGGTAACTGCTGAAAGTTTAAGCTCAACCATTTACATCTGCCTGATGCCTGAGGGGGTTTTCATGCCAGCCTGACCTGGGAGCACTGACGGGGTTTTCATGCCAGCCTGACCTGGGAGCACTATGCCATTGCCCACTAGCTGTGATAGGTATCTGGCCTGGGAGCACTACCTATGTCATTGCATACTAGCATTGGTAGTTGTTTTTTTACCATTGCCTTGGTATTGTAAGGCAGTACAATAATTTTGTTCATTAGGGCTCTAACTTAATTAGATTTGAGGGAGCTAAGTTCAGCATATGGGCCATCTGGGCCAAACTTAGCAATAGTTGCCTATAAAGTTACAAATACAATTACAAAACAATAGTTCATAAAAAGTCAGGGCTAAGTTAGATGTCTGTATGATTCTAAGAATATGCTGACCTGACACTGTCATTTAATATCAAACAAAATCCTACAGCCAACGTCTGTTATCAATCACACTGTGTCCGATCTGGTCTGCCAGGCTCAATCACATCATGAACATCATCCCTGCGATGCAGTCCGACATTTTCCCTTATCGCCCTGATGCTGAGTATCATAACCACCGTGTTTGGGTGCAGGAGCGGGGTGGACTACATACCAGACTAAGGGCTGTTTACTGCTGTGCAAACATCTGATCTGGTTCGATGTCTACAACTCCGCGAAATCAAACGTAGTTTGGTCTCATTGCTTTTTGAATGTATTTTGTGCTTAGTTGGCTGGTTAATTTCATAGCTATTCAATAGAATGTATGTAATGTATCTGTAGTGTAAAGTTTTTTTTTTTTTTTTTGCTGGTTCGCGTCACGCGTGGCGGGTGGCGAATCCGTGGTCCAATCCAACAAGCACTGCTCAACTTGGACCCGGATCCGAACCCACCCACGCAACCATTCGGACAAAATGTCTAAATAATAGTAATAATAACCTGCGGGTTATGTGCTGCGGGTTCTATCGTTATCATTATCGCCAGATATCGTGGTAATAAGAGCGGCGGCTGTATAGGAGCAGCGATAAATCTGTGGCCGTATCAGAGTCGCGATATGTCGGAAGAAAGCTGCGGTAGACGTCTCATTGTTATCAGTGGTGTCGACGCGTGTGTCACTACAGTGTTGTGTTATCTGAGTGGAATGTTTGCTCCCTGTGGGTGTCGTATGAGGAGGTGAACAGTGGTGATCAGCTGGTCCCCGGTACGGTGGGGCAGGTCGACCGGTCACGGCTCCCGGCGGTGGCCTCTGCTCCCCCGCGGCCTACCGGCCCGTCTGGCTGGTGTCCAGGGGCGCGGGGGCGGTGTGCTCCGGTTAGCGCCGCACCCTACCCCGCCCACCGCGCCGTACCCCGCCTGAGCCCATCCGGGGACCATTGACTACCAACCATCCACCTATCAGCTAATATGACCTTTGCGCGTGCACACTGCCCTCTCGACTGACCGGTGACCTTTGAACACGTCAATGCTCCTCGCCTGACCTATCGCTGCTAGCTGTCATTCGGCTGCTCGTGGAGCTAAGCGATGATCCATAGGCTCTGACCGTTCCCCCTTTTTCTCCACAGTTGGGCCTCAGCTGACGGACGCGTCTAGAATCAACTGACCGATGGCCAAACCTGAGAAGATGAAGGCCAGCTTTGTAAGTCGCTCCCGCGCCGTGCCGCCCCTTCCCCTCCCCACGCCGCTCCCTGCCTCACCTACAGAGGGTGACGTCATCCTTCCCCCTCCCCCTCCCCAACGGCCGCGGACGGGTCCCGGGCTAATATTGACCAGTGGTTGGCACGGCCAGCCCTGGAGCGCTCTGTCCTCGCGCTGGAATTTAAATATAGCCGCCGGCTCACACTCGACAGTATGTGACCGGCGCTGACGTTACGTGACCCTGAATTTGCGCGCGTGAATGGTGTGGACGAGCCTGCTTTTTAAAACGGCCGGCTCGTGTGGCTCGCGGTATGCAGAGTTGCGGTGCCCGTTTCCGCCGCGGCCCCACCGATACTGTTGACATGCCTGCACTGCGCGTCATCCCGTTGTCAGATCGCTCCGGCTGTTGACGTTTGGCTGGCTGTGGTGCCAATACCGCAATTTGCCGGTTATTAGAGCTGCCTTGAGTCGCTCCGCGCGGCCTTGCCACCTGTGCTGACGCGTCTGTTTTTCCTGTAATGAGTCCGACTGACGGCAATTGTCACCGTTATCACTCCTGAATACCACAAACGCGACACGTGAAGGACGAGGGTAGTCGCACGCACCACGCTGCACCCCGTCCGCCGCACCTGTCCTGTGTCAGTGCCTGTGTGTGTGCCTGCGTCAGAGAGCGGTCTGTCGTCAGGGCTGGCCGTCACGGGACGGGCTTCTCGCGCTTCAATCGATCAGACCTGACGGCCCGACGTGGCCGACGAGCTGGTTATGCAGATTAGAGCAAACTCCTGACTCGGACCGTGGAAGAGCCGTATAATTTAGAGGTGATCCACAGACGATGATTGGCGTGAATCCATTAGATTAAGTGGTCGCTGGATAACTCTGCGGACAGGTGTGCCCTGAAGACCTAAAACGTCCTCACATTAGGCCGCGCTCGTAGTCGTGGCCGTTCAGTTTTGAAACACGTGCCAATGACAGGTGCCAAACGTTCCGTAACGTGACTCTCAGTCGGAAAAATGTATGCAAATGTTCCTGTTTTCCATACGTGGCTGCGTATCGTGTCTCGCTTCTATTATCTCTCCCCGTCACGTCCGTCGGAGCTGTCGGTGGCGGCTCAGAACGCTCAGCTCTGCCCCACTCTACTCCACTCCACTCCACTCGCCTACTCTTCCGCCCCTCCACTCGCCCACTCCTCCGCTCCTTATAACATCCAGTGTCGGTCCCGGTCTAACCCTTGTTGAACCGTCATTGTCCGGTATCGGTTCCATCTACCCCTGCCCCCGTGACCGCCAGCTGGACAATCGGTGCAGTCGCTCCCCCGTGCCCTGCTCCACCTGTCTCCCACTGTTATCGACACGATCACACTGCCGCCCACCTGCCGCTTTTTGGGGGCTTCGGCGCTTCGCCCGCATTCGTAACCCTTCTACTGTCGTGCGCCTAAGCGTCTGTTCTGGCTAGGTATAATGAATGCCCTTAACGTGATATTGAAGTCGGTCAGATTATGTCATTTGACACGTGTATAAGCTGAATCCTTGTCGGACTTTCCGGAAAATCTGCCGAGTGTTGATTTTTTCCACGGCAATTCGATCGATGTTTAACATCTTCTCCACTCCTTTGGTTCCTGACTAGTCATTACAAGCCACAGGCGGCACTAGACAGCTCGTCAGCAGTCATTACGATAGGATTTGGTCCGATAGGTAGTCGGCTGGAGCTTACGAGATATTTTCACATGATTACGTTGCCGTAAGTTTGCGAATGATTCCAGTAAACATTCTTGTATCTATATTAATTTCGTTTTTTTTTTTGCGTTTAGCTTTTTACGAAGTAATTGAATGTCACCACCGGTATCGTAATTTTGACACCTTTTTATGGAACTTCTGTTTTTGCCAACAATAAGTTGCACCACAATTTTCCCTATCACCAGGGGCAGTAGGGCAGTCCTTGCTATCTCTTGTTCCTAACCCCCACCTGTGACCGACAGTTGGACAAGGCGCTGAGCCTGAAGCCGCGCCGCGCGGGCAAGCCGGGCCGGCCCCAGTCGGAGCCGGACCCGGAGGAGCAGGCGGAGCAGCAGCACCAGGCCTACATCATGTCCATGAACCCGGACGAGGTGGAGCACGCCTTCGAAAGGATGCTGGTCAGTGGCGGAGGAGAGGGAGAGGGTGTGGGTGGGGAGGATAGAGGGGTGTCGAAAACAGGCCGGGCCGACATAGGGAAGGTATTTGAATGATCGTGTTTGGGGTTAGTGTGCTATTTGGAGTGGTTTTACTACCTCTATGGTTTTTGTTCGTTGAAAAACGGCGTATGCCTGTCGACGTTCACTTGGAAGGACCTTTCAGGCAACTGTGTTTGTTTGGCGAAAGACATGTGGCCACTTGTGAAGATATTGATGGCAATTTATACCGTCGATGATGACTTATTGACAGACAATACTCAGGCACGACTGAAGCCCGGTAGCTACCCTCTTGTCAATATACTAGCACATTACCGTCGCTACTGTGACCTGTCAGCGGTTATGGCCGGCGCTAGGCTGGCACTAATGGCAGTTAGCGCACCGTCTCGCAAAGTAATGACACGGGCTATTGGCGCATCATTACCCAGTGCCCTTGTTCGTCTTCTGAGCCCATAGACCTGTTTATTGAGAAGGATTGTGATTAGCGGGTGACCTCAGCCCTTTCGTGGCTGTGTATTTTTGCTGGTGGATGATGCTGTGATTGCATTGTCGCCCATCCGCCCGGAGGCGCTGGTGCGCGATGATACTCGCTTGTTTGTCGGCGTGAGTTGACCTGAGCCTTACGCAATCTGCCGACGCGCCGAGTTCTCGCTCGCTGCCAACCCGCGCGATTGAAATGTCCTTGTGTGCGCCGCGGTGTCTGAACGATGGTCGGTGACTAACCCTCCCCCTCTCCTCACAGGACGATATGAACCTGACGGAGGAGAAGAAGACGCCGCTGCGGATACAGGACATCGAAAAGAAGCGCAGCATGCTGTCCATGCATTCCAAGGGCTCTGCGCCGGTGAGTGCTGCCGTGGTTTTCTGATTGATGGGTAGTATGGACCGGCACGTGGCCGGCCCTCTCGCGTAGAGCGGTAGTCGCCGCGGGCACACGCCGTCCATCCGTGAACGGGCACTCAGTTGGTTCATTTGCACCGCGAGTCTAAACATTGCACGGTGCACGGTCTGCACATGATGCAAAGGAAATTCCATACATACAGCTGTTTATAAATCATCGCCGGACATTTGGGAGATATACTGATTTCGATGAGGTCTGGTTGATAAACCTTCATTCACTGCACGGATGACGCTACAGCTCCACCGTCTGTCACCGCGGCTGCTGTGCATGAAAGACAATCCCATTTCTGGTAATTTCCTCACTGCTCGACCACCAACGATCACCAACGTACCCTTCCTTGGTGCGAGGCTACCGAGATGCCATCCTCCCTCACACCACCGCTGAGGCGCCGGTGTGGGGCGCCGAGCCCGAGCTGGGCTGTTTTTATTGACCGGCGCCGGGCTGCACAAAAACGGTCATCACTCAGGGGCGGCCCGCATCGGCCGGCGGCCCGGTCACGAGGCGTAATTAACCCCTCTGGGACGGACGTGTCGCGTGCCGCTACTTCGTCTGTGTGCTCCTGCCCCAATATGTGTCAGTGGTCTGTCCCTTTCATATACCCTTCATCTTCCACTGACCTTTTTTGTCTCCATGCCCCCATCCGTCTGCCTGTCCCGCTAAGTCTTCTCTCCCGGCTTTGTCGCCACTCCAGTCCCGCTTTTCTCCCCTACCATTGCCCCTCGTCAACTTATTTGCCAACCTCTGTCCATGTCCCAGCTCCCCACCCCAGCCCAGCTTATCCCTGCAAGCACAGCGGCGGGGTAAGACCAGTCCCGTACCCCGCCGCTGTGCGCGCGCCGTCTCCCCACGGCAGCTGCGGTGGCTCGCTGGGCTGCGTCTCTGTCTGTTTGCTCTGGTAACACACCGATAGCCTTGACCCGCTATCGGCCCTCGGCCTGCTGGCTGGGCCGGCACGGTAGAGGAGGTCCTAACGCCCCCGGCAGTGAATCTGGCTTCAGGTGAACAAAAGTTGTCATGTTTTTATAGAAATTATCTGCCCTCTGAGTTTTCAAGTCGTTTTGTATTTGTCCCTAAGAAACCTGTTTGTAGTTTTAATGGTATCCCGTGTTTCGCTAACTTTCCAGCTGAATTTATATTTTGTAATAAATAACTCGTATACAATTTATCTTTTGGGCTGCTGCAGTATAAGATGACGGCGGCATGCCTTTGCTGGTCATGTTTGGCCATTGGATATCTACGCCTGTTCCGGTGTCCGTGTGACCGATATCCATACCGGCTGAGTCACCGGGGATCGCCCCCGCCGCAGCCGCAGCCGACGGAGCGTACCAGTCTCCGTCCCTTCTCTGACCCTCTGATCCTCGTCACCACACTGTCGGCTGAGTCGCGGGTCCGATTCAGCCGTATCGTTCCCCGGCTCAGGATGGGACGGCGGCTCCGCGCGCTATCTCCCCTGTACGGATAAATACTGAGGCGTACACATTTGATACGGCTGTGACTGGGTGCGATCCTCCTAATCTCGGCTCTACACCGCATTACTCTGTACGTTGTACTGACAGTTATACTACCGTTCCGAGTTTGGCGCACCTCACAACGGCTGGCTGGGCTAAGGTGCGACCTTCGCGTCTCCCCCTCCCCTCCCCCTCGGTCGGCCGCACCCTCAGTATGACATCATCCCGCTTCCCACTCCTCCGCTCCCCTCCCCGGATGTACCGGCCTTTCGTCCGTGATCTGTACAATTCTTGGTCGCCATACATGGGTTTCCTGTCCACTGTCAAATATGTCAATATCTACCTTCTACACTTATTTTTGACCTCTCGAATATCCGATATTCTGCTCACCCTTTACAGGCGGACAGCCTGTTGTGGTTATGCTAACCTGTCTTAGATAACGATAAGAAACCCACTAATCAGTTGTCTGCATTACGTGCTACTGCAACTGCAGTGCGTTTATTCGTCGTTCATAGTCATCCACGTCGAATCAAATACGCGATACAATATCAGTGATTTGGGGCCTGCGCTCTAAGTTATATCCGCGCTTTGAGTTACTCACACTTGAGCTTAATGTGGTCCGCATTCTTCGTTGACTCGACCAATCATATCTGCATTCATGCCATCCAATAGAGTATTATCCCAATCTCCCTCCTTTCTCCTTGCTTCTATGCATGATCCTTACGCAATTATAATGCCCCAAGCACTTAAACCATCTTCCCTCTTCATCTAGCTTGACTGCTGTTTGGCCCCTATTTTGCTGCAGCACTATCATCATAATGCTAACAGATTCTCCCCTTTAGCTCTGTGCTTCTCTGAGACCTGACAGCCGTTCGTACCCTTTCAGCGGCAGCGGAGTCGATTCGTCTCTCCACACGACTACATCTCGTACCTCGGCCAACCGGACCTGAGCGTCCAGAAGACCTATCAGTGCGTGGAGTCGCTGCGAATCGCGCTCACCAACAACCCGCTGACCTGGGTGCAGGAGTTCGGCACCAAGGGACTCAAACAGCTGCTCTCGGTGCTCAACGAGTGCTACAGAGGGTAGGTGTGCTCAGGGGGAGAGGGGAGGGATGAGGGCTTGTGTGGGAAGGGATGTAAGGAATGGGTGTGTGGGTGAGTGAAGGGAAGGAGGGAGGATGGTTGTGCGGGGGGGGGGGAGGAAACGGGACGGTCTATATCGAGTGGGGGATATTAATTGGTCTGTGGAGAAAGGACGGTATGCGTGTGTGGGGGAGGGACGGTGAGGCGGGGTGGGACGGGGTCGGTACAAGGGACGGGTAGGGTAGTAATGGGTCCACGATTCGACCTTGATCGAATGATAGAGGTCGGTGCGCGGATTAGGTTACTGAAGTGGTTGAAGGGTGGCTGTTGTACCAATCTCGAGTGGTGTACAAAAGCGTGGGTTCATGGGTGATGCACGATTTAGCGACGGCAGATACATCAAGTGAATGTTTCGAGGGTTGTTTTGCCGGTATCTAACCTAGATAAATATATACCCCTTATATGGCTACCTATGTAACAAATGTTTTATGCAATCCTCGTGTCTCCTCAGGGACAGCAAATGGGATCGTATTCAGCTGGAGTGCGTGCGATGTCTCAAGTCCATCATGAACAGCACCGTGGGTCTGAAGCAGATGTTGGAGCAGAAGGAGGCGCTCACCATCCTGGCCCGCTCCATCGACCCCGCCAGGCCGCAGGTCGGTGGCCAGGGGACGACTCAGTGGGGACCGCGCAGATATAGGAAGATAGGGACATGACGTGACGGCCGGGGAGCCGGGGATGGCACGCGAGCAGACGCTCAGTTTGTTGGGATTAGGTACTGAATAGTGTCACTAGCTACAGAATGAGAATCTGAGACACCAACATATTTTTTTTTTTACTTGGAAAGAGACCATACGCTCTATGCTTCCCACGAAGACTGTTGCGTACTATAGGTACGTTTTTCGCTCTCTTTCACAGTGCTTGAAGCTCAATTAAGCCATGTAATAGTTTCTCGCTCAACAGTGACACGGTCACACGATATTACTCGCTACCTCCACTGCTCTGTTTCCGCTCAGTCTAACCCCCCCCCCCGCCGTCTCGGTCCCCCCGTCCACAAGTGATGCCTGTCTGTCTTCCTCCGCCGCTCAATCTAACCTTCCGCCGTCGGTGCGGTCTCTCCCGTCCACAGATGATCTCTCCCTGTCCAACCCTCCGCCGCTCAGTCTAACCCCCCGCCGCCGGTGCGGTCCCTCCCGTCCACAGTTCACGCCACTCTGTCTAACCCCGCCGCCGTCGGTGCGGTCCCTCCCGTCCACAGGTGATCTCTCCCTGTCCAACCCTCCGCCGCTCAGTCTAACCCCCCGCCGCCGGTGCGGTCCCTCCCGTCCACAGTTCACGCCACTCTGTCTAACCCCGCCGCCGCCGGTGCGGTCTCTCCCGTCCACAGGTGATGCAGGAGGCGGTGCGCATCATGGCCGCTCTGGCGATCGTGCCGCCTCGCGGTCATGCCTGTACCCTGGAGGCCATCACAATCAGCGGCGAGTTCAACCAGCGCGAGCGGTTCGCGCCCATCGTCCAGGGCCTGATGGACAGGAGCAACGATCAACTGAGGGTGAGAGGCGCAACTTCGCGGATGGAGAGGGGAATGACTGTAAAGAGATCATGACCAAAAAAGAACATACGATGTTCTGCATCCCGTTGAGTATCTTTTTGAGGATGCACAGACTTGTTTAAGAGGTCGGGTGTTGATACTGGATCTACATTTATTTTCGGTATAGCCCGTATATTTTGATTGAGCGACTTGAACGTTCTATTGTGAATGTGCTTACCATCTACCACCTGTCCGTGTCTGACCGTGTGCCATCCTCGGCGCGTTTCCAGGTATCCACCCTGCTGCTCATCAACTCGCTGGTCAGCTCCCCCGACGACCTGGACTTTCGGTTACACCTGCGCAACGAGTTTATGCGCGTCGGACTGATGGACATTCTGGAGGTGAGCACCAGTGGGCTGTGATGGCGCACACGTGCGGACTGCAGCCTGGGCGCTGGTCCTGCTTGATCCCGCTGGATAGCCGGTTGGATGCTGCAGCGATGGAGTTTAGAACTATAGAAGGCTAAAAGTCACAGCGTGAAATATAATGAGGGGGGGATGCTGATGATAATTCTTGCCTGTCAAATGTTTTTCTTGGGAAGTTAAAGATAAATTTGCCGTGGCCGCGCCGTGTTTGTTCCGCCCGTTGCCTGCAATGCTGATCTCGTGTCCTCCGTGCTGCGCCAGGCGATGGAGTCGGAACAGGTGGACGACCTACAAACACAGCTGAAAGTGTTCACCGAACACCGCGACGACGACTACGAAGAGTTCTGCCAGCGCTTCGACAACATCAAGCTCGAGCTGGACGACATGGAGTCGTGTATCGAGCTGCTGAAAAACACGGCTATGAACTCTGCCTGCGAGCCGTACCTGCTTTCCATCGTGCAGCACATGCTCTGTATCAGGGACGACCACAGCGTTAGGTGAGCGACACGCCGCGCTTTGTAGGCATCACTTCATTGCTGAGGTCTCTCACGCAGCACCGTGTCCTTTCGCATGTTTGCACTATGGTTGCAGAAGCGAAGCAATGAGTTTCACACATTGAGCTGAGGCCGGCTAGTGAACGATGAGTAGCATCGCTGGCTGATTGAGGGACTGCCACATCGAAAGGGTCAAATGTCATTGGTGCCGTTTCGTCTTCGCTTTTTTACCGTGAATCAAACGTTGGGTGGGGCTATTCAGCAGCGTCTAACGATCTTTTCTTTCCTATCAGGGTGGCGTACTTCAAGCTGATCGAGGAGTGTGTCTCTCAGATCGTACTGCACAAGTCGGGCGTGGACCCCGACTTCCGTGCCACGAAGCGGTTCAAGCTGGACGTGGAGCCTCTGATTGAGACTGTGGTGGAGCGCAGTCGCCAGGAGGAGGAGCGGGCCTCGGGCGAGCTCAACCGCCGGCTGGATGAGCTGCTGACCAGCAAACAGGAGACAGAGGCGCTGCTGGCCTCCACGGAGCGCCGCTGCCGCGAGCTGGAGGCGCGGATAGCCAGCGGCGCCGGTCCGCCCGGCCAGCTGCAGATCCCCGCTGGCATGCCGGGAGTGCCGACCGGCGGCGGCCCGCCCCCGCCCCCGCCGCCCCCGCCCCCGCCGGGAGGAGCGCCGCCGCCGCCTCCGCCGCCCCCGCCACCGCCGCCCGGCAGCATCCCGCCGCCTCCGCCCATGCCGGGCATGGGTCCGCCCCCGCCCCCGCCCATGCCCGGTATGGGCCCGCCGCCGCCGCCGCCACCGCCTGGAATGGGTCCGCCGCCCCCGCCCGGCGCCCTGCGAGCTCCTCAGCCGATACAACTGCCCTACGGAATGAAACCAAAGAAAAAGTGGAGCCTCGCCAAAAATCTCAAACGCGCCAACTGGAAGAAGGTACGACCCGTCGACCACTAGCCACCATCTTTGAATGGTTGATGTGTTTGTAGTTCTCGTTTGTTATCGCTTTCTTGGAAAAGGTGTCATTGCTTCCTCACTAATGACGTTGCAGTTGAAGTAAGACGTCGCAGCGCTGGCGTCTTCTCACTCGCGGACTTTCTCTAAGCTCTCCCAACATTTCCCCCTTGTCACAGGTGATGCCACAACACCTGAAGGAGAATTCCTTCTGGGTGGGCATCAACGAAGAGCGACTGGCCGACGAAGACATTCTGGAGGGCCTCCAGAACCGCTTCTCGTCCAAACCAGTCGCTGTGAAAATGGACACGGATGGCGCTAACGCCAAAACGAAACGGGTGAGTTCGCTGGGGGTTGTGACGTGCTGGGGCTGTGATCTGCAGATGACTCGAGGTGATTTGGTTAGCTGATACTGTGCTGTGAAAGGTCGACCTTTGTATTGAGCGTGAGTACGATCATTGTGGTAGGTAGGTAAGTTACGGTCGTGATTTCTGCAGTTTTGTTTAGCGGCACTCAAACATAAGCAGTGTGTACTTGTATCCCAACGCGTAGTCCGACGGCTGCATCTGGTGCTTGTAATGCTCAAGTACGATGCGTCTTTCAGGACTGATTACTCATGATGCCATTTTATAACATACGTTATTCTCGGTTTCATAGCTACATGGGCCGTCCATTCTTTCAAACCGACACCCTCGCCGCTCTCTCTCCTCCCTCTCTCCTCTCCCAGACTAAGGAGCTGCGAGTGCTGGACGGCAAGGCTGCCCAGAACCTCTCCATCCTGCTCGGCGGCCCGCTGAAGCACATGTCGTACGAGGACGTGAAGCGGGCGATCCTGCGCTGTGACGAAGAGGTGTTGACCGAAACGCTCACCGAGTCGCTGATACAGTACTGCCCAACACCCGATCAGCTGAAGAAGCTGGAGAACTACCGCGCCGAGTACGACGACCTCACTGAGGCAGAGCAGTTCGCCATCACGGTCAGTTCAGCGGGAGAGCGGGGAGGGGGTCGTGTATGGTAGAAGGTAGACCAATGACTTTTAAATAGGTAATGGTAGTCTGTCATGGGATTTAGGGACGTAATGGGTGCCTCAATATTGCCGTCGGATGGCCGGAGACAGATGAAATATGACATAGCAACAGCATTTGCGCATTTAGAGCTTTGACGGATTTGTCCCTTTGGGTGGCTTTGGGTTCTTCGTGGCTGACGGGCAACCTTTATTTCGTGTGTGCTTTTTGTGATCACTTGTAGTCTTCTCTTCGTGCACGTCGGCATTGCTGGTTAATTTCAGCAGTCAATTTGCTGTGCAATTAAGAGAAGATGGGCTGAATGAACTACATCAGTCAACTGATTAATGAATGGATGTCGCTGATAAGCACAAAATCAGTGGGTTTTTACTCCTTCAGGAATTACAGACGACTTGGTGACTTGATGAATCTGATTTGACGATCCGCTTACTATTTGATGTGATGAATGCATTGTTCTGTTGAAGTGAGGCGAGACTGCAGTAAGAATGCATTTGATTGAGAAAACAATTACTGACTCAAGCAAAGATTGAACAGTATTTCTTCTCTTGCAGATTGGCTCTATCAAGCGGTTGTTACCACGGCTAAAATCAATGAGCTTTAAACTGCGATTCGCCGAAATGGTACAAGACGTCAAGCCGGTGAGTCTTCAGCCGGAGGAAGTCGCCGGTTCTGTTGCGTCTGTTATGTTGAGCTAAACGTAGAACTGTCACACATCTAGCCTATTCTGAACTTAGCTCCAATGTGTGTCTCCTTTATGCTGTGAATCCGACGTGTATCAGTCCCTCACCACTGGCACAACTGCTGACTCAACTCTTTCTCCCAGGCGATCGTGGCGGCAACCGCGGCCTGTGAAGAGATCATGTCTAGTAAAAAGTTCGCGCGGATGCTGGAGCTCATCCTTCTGATGGGTAACTACATGAATACAGGATCACAAAACGCGCAGGCAGTCGGCTTCGAGATCAGCTACATTGCCAAGGTACGCCCCCCTCGTTCGCTGGTCACCAATGTCACTTCTGACTGCTGCCCGTTTGTTTCTAATCATGGAAGGTGTTTACCTATTGGTTCAGTTGTGAGTTTGGTTTGTTGAAAAGAGCTAGAGAGCAGGCATAACAACGAGAACATGTTTGAAGCTTTTAGGATTTTATATGCGCTGCATATCTTGAGAAAGTTTTGATCTTTTTCTTGTGTGCCATTGAGCCTTCAAGGGCGTATTACTCCTTAGCCGGCGCTCCCATTAACTTAAACAAGTAACCGCACACAAGCCATTATAGTGGATATGCACTATGCATGCTTTTATTCGCATGTACTAAATAGTTAGTCTAACAGGTGCATCTGTTCGCGCGCTAACCATCGCCCTTTCCGTCCCCAGTTGAACAACACGAAGGACGTGGAGAACCGCATGACGCTGCTGCACTACCTGGCCGAGGTGGTGGAGAAGAAGCACCCCGAACTGCTCTCCTTCATGGACGAAATCAGCCACGTCGAGCGCGCGTCAAAGGTGAGGGTTCCTACTGCAGTTATTCAGATTCATCGTGATTCATTTGCTTCTGACATTCTGCAGCTGGAATACGTTAGAAAGTATTGTGAGTAAACATCGTGGAGGTGATATGATGAGCTCGTCTTTACTTTTTAGCTACCAAGTGCCGATGGGCAATGTAAAACTATTGTGCCCTAAAATCGGAATCATCATTATATCTCAGCGCCGCGGCTCAGCCGCCCGGAGATCCTTACGGCTGTGCCATTTCTGACATCGCCGCCCTCTGCCCGCTGCAGGTATCTGAGGAGCAGGTACGGAAGAACATGCGGCAGATGGAGGCGGCCACCAAGAACCTGGAGACGGACCTGAAGAACAACAAGGTGGCCCTCTCTCCTGACGACAAGTTCGTCGACGTGATGACCGACTTCGCCGTGCAGGCGCGGCAGCAGGTCGACATCATCACCACCATGGCCGAGAAGATGTCGGAGCTCTTCTCAAAGATCGCCGACTACTACGTGTTCGACAAGCAGAAGTATGTGATGGAGGACTTCTTCGGAGACGTCAACACGTTCGTCAATCACTTCCAGGTGAGAATTTGGAAGGGATCCTATGGGCGTTAGTCATATGTGTTGTTACGTCATTTACTTCATTTTTATTTAATGTGACGCTAAGCTGATTTATAATTTGAAGCCTAATAAATAGTAAATACTATGAATCATGCCACAACTTTGGTGACTTGCCTGTTATACAGACAATCTCTTGGTGAACACCTCTGACACCTCTGACATCCATACTGCCGCCTCCAGAACGCCTACAAGGACAACCTAAAGCTGCGCGAGACAGAGGCCAAGATCGAGCGGGCGCGCGAGGCTAAGGCCAAGGCGGAACGGGAGCGGTCCGAGAAGCAGTCCAAGAAGCAGGCTATCGAGGCCATGATGAACGCGCCTGACGACCAGGAGGGTGTGATGGACAGCCTGCTGGAGGCGCTGAAGTCGGGCTCCGCCTTCAGCCGGGAACAGAAGAAGAAGCGGCCACCGCGGGCGGCAGGAGGTGGGTCCATGGCGGGGAGAGCGAGGGGAGGGGAGACAGGGTAGTTAGGGGAGGTGTAGCGTGCTTTGGGGTAGCGTTCGGTGTCGGAAAGAGTTGTATATTTTAAGGATTCGTGTAGCCAGCTGTACATCTGTTCATATCGTCGTTGTAGCAAACAATAGTTGGTCGTGCAGCTCACTGGCCGGCTTAACCGAGCATTTACAGTGGGTTTTCACGAAATTATTGCTTCCGAAAAATTTAGCAGAGGGATCCGCTCCTTTTATATTTGAGCTTGAAAGTTCATGCTTCAATACTTCTTGTCATTCTTTGCTTGTGGACTCCTATTTTGTCAGCGATATTCTTGCCGTTACATATCATTAACATTTAACATTGTATTTCATGCTTCGCTTTTTTAGAGCGCTTTTCGTCTTGTTTGTCCGTCAAGAGTTTTGCTGCGACTTATATGTGTGTTCGATTGAGCCTATAGTAACGCCTTCGCCGCTTCTGTAGTCATGTGACCGTTTCGCAGCATTATAGTGATAGTTCCGTATCGGGTCTCATTGCGTCGCTGCGGCTGCCTCCCTCCGTTCACCCGTCCCGTTTTGACCGTCTCCCCGTCCACAGCGCGCGCCAATCGCATTCCGATGGGGTAAGCCGCCCTCCCGAGCCTCCGCATGTGGCCGCATGAGGTGGAGCTGACCCGCGTGACTGACCCCTCCCTCTCCATCACTGACCGGGCAGCACTGACTGGTCTGGCAGACCTGGCGCACTCACTGCAGACACGGGCCGACACGGGAGGTGACACTCGGAGCTGGAGGTGACACTGACACTCGAGTCTCGCTGGGATGGTGATACCCCCACCTAGGTTGCACTAGTCCCGTGTGACGAGTTTCAGAGTCGATGATACTGGCCACAAGGCTCTGAATATGTGTTCAACTTGGTATTTTCTCCTTTTTTGGTTTGGTTTACACATTCTTTGTACATGTGTAAATATGGAAGCTATTTTCTGGTGACTCGCCAAAAATGCAACGCACAAAATACATTCGTTTTCGGTAAACAAGACGTTGTGAAGGCATGATACACCAGGCATTACACTTCATTGACGATGCTCATTACAGTATATGTACAGGGTGACAATGTTCAGTTTCCAAAAATTTCGCCACATTTTCCATTCCTAAGGTTACAATTTTTTCTAATCCGCTCATACACATCCCACCCATGTCTTGCTGACCACGCAGGCTACGTTTTACATTCCGGATTCCTACTCAATCCCATTTTCCAGTGGCCATTGGCCACTGCAGTTTTTTTCGTATGCTAGGATAAGCCCATGTTGCGTAGGCTACAGACCTCTCGGCGGCGCCCCACCAGGGTAGAGTGCATTTGCCGTGGGGACCTGACTTTGGACTGCAAGGTTTAGCTGTTGGTGGCCGGATATACCTGCTGCTGCTGCTGTTGCTGCTGTTGCTGCTGCTTCTCGCTGACTGCTGACCTCGCTGACCTTTCTGACCTTTTAATGACCCCACGGTGACCCGTCGATGACCTTACAGCGGGCAGCGGGCGGCTGACCCGGTGACACCAGGGCCTCTCTGGGTATTGGCTCCGTCGCTGCCTGTTCAATGGCAGGACGCGAACTATAATTCGCGACGCGAGTCCTGTTCAATTTGACCATCTGAACTGAATGGGCTCGGTGATTGGTGGTTCCTGGTGGGTTGTTGGTGCTCCTTCACAGGGTTTGACGTTTGCAGTGATGAGATAGAGAATGGGTTTGATCACCGGGAGTTAAACGATTGCTGCACCGGGCACGATGTGTTGTTCGTGTGATGTGGCGCCTTTTGTACAGTTACAGGGGCATGGTGGCACCCACAGACGAATTATACGCGGTTTTCCCGACCGAGGCATGGTGTGGTGTTGGTAATTCCGAGTGACTTGCTAGCCAAGGGTAGGGCGTAGCCAGTAGGGCGTAACTGAAAAAATGCATCACAACTTCGTTTATTGAAATGGAATCGCGAACCGGACGTATAGTTTCTAGGAGGACTCTTCCTGAAGCGGATTCTGTACGCTGTTCGCTCTATTTACATTTAGGTTTTGTTATTGTCCATCAAGGTTGCCGAATAGCGGTTATTTTCCCTTTGAGTGTAGCTCCTGCTGCTTGGTTTTCTCATATTAGAGCTAATTTTACCGTACCAGAGAATGCATGCGGTGTGCTAACGTTTCTTTTCTCTTTTGCTTCTCTTCGGGATTATGCTAATATCATTAGCACTCTCGAAGACATGCCGCGGAATTGATTAATGTGTGAAGTTTGCTCTTAGCTAGGCAACTGAACCGGCAGCTTTTGTCTGGCTTGGTGATTTCTGGCTATTTTAACAGCCGTTTTCGCATCTAGTAGGGCGCATGCTGCGAAGTTACTTTAGAAATTATCTCTTTTTGTAAGTGAACGCACACGCATTTCTTAGTTATCTAAGCTTGTGCCTTCCAAGAAGCGTCGTCATGAATTGTAGCTGCCCAGTGTTTGTGTCAAAAATAAGCCAATCACCCCACTGATTTTCAATTGACCCGTTATATATATCGTTTTCCGAGGAAAGGCACAGCGGTAACGCATTTTCTACCTATGTAGCTCTCAAGACGGTCTCCTTTCTGCTTAGTTGCAGTCAGTTTACAGTCACATTTCGTGAACACCTCTCTTGCAGTTAACCTCTTACCATTCCCCTCCCTGTCTGACGTGGTTTAATGTCGTGTTGCAGCCGAGAGACGTGCCCAGCTGAACAAAAGTCGTTCGCGCAGTGGCCTGGCCACGTCACCGGGTAGCAGAGAGCTTGTGAGAGGGTGAGTTTTACGTGCTGGCATTGGCCGATGTTCTTATTGATTCGCAAGAGCACTAGGTAGGCTATCGAAGGTTGGTCATATTATCGGCCGAAACCAGTGGGGGAAACTGTGGTCAAATCTTCTATTTTTGGAAGCCTTCCATTTTTGGAAGGACCTTCCATAAATGGGTATGCATTTTCCAAAAATGGAAGGCTTCCAAAATTGGAAGGTCTAATCTCAGTGTTCCCAACTGTGATTCACATTCTTTGATTTAAGTTACGGCCTTTTTAAATGTGTAACATTAATAGTTGATTTTGCCATTTATGATCATTGATATAAGGAGAAGCAGCAGTGCTAGTGTTGGTAATACAGGCATGCTATGTCAATGTACATAGTGATATAATAGCATGGTGTCCTGGCGCACTGCTCTCTTTTTCTACTTCTAGAGGACACATAGAAATTCAGAAGAGAAAACAGCTGGTCAATAACCAACCAGGAGGAACACAGCTATAGCCCTGACAAAAAATGGTTTAAATTAAACTTACTATTCCTCATATAAATTGAAGATTCATGCTCCTTCGATAGAAAGTAACACGAAAAACGGCGCAGCAACGCCTATTTAATTCGTCCCATATTCCGGAAAAAAACATTGAAAAATGACGAGACCTCCACCCAAATGTTTGGCAAAAGCCTTAAAAAATTGAAATCAACCACACAATATGCTAATAAATGCAGAAAACGGCAACAAATACAAGTTTTACTCGCCACTACACTCCCGAAACCGCCGCACTCTGTCCAGACAATTCCGCACTGTAAATAAAGTCGGCGGTATCGAACAAACATGGCCCGTCACTAAAGTACTTTTAAGGATATTTACTTTTCGTTTTTGATGCTTTTTGCTTACAAAATGTTTGATAAAGTCTTATAAAACCATCGTTTGTCGGTAAATTTTTGTCAATTTTCCACGACTCATTACTTTGAAAAATTACCTAAAATACATCCACGCTAGGATTTAGGCATCCACGCTAGATTATGGACACTTCACTATGGCGAATAGAAAGCGACCAGGGGCGATAGTCGCATTTGCCTCATGTTCGGCGGAAATCGGTAAGTTCCAACATATGCGCAACATTTTCTATATTTGGGTACGATGACGTCGTCAGCGTACCCATTTTTGGAAGGTGCGTACCCATATATAGAAAATCCTTCCAAAAATGGAAGGCTTTCTAAAAATGGAAGATTTGACCACAGTTTCCCCGACTGAAACTGGATAAATGTTGCTACTCAGATAATGCCGGCTCATTCAAAAGAGATCTTAAGATCTGTTTTTGTTGGCTCGCTTCCGATGACTTTATTGTTTTAAACCACTTGTGTTTTATGTTATCCTGTACCTTGAAGAGGTTTCATTGTTTTGGATAAGTGATTTAATTGGCAGGTAGTGTTTCACTTACCATCCACCGTCGTCTGCCATCGGCAACTGAACTCTTTCATGATCACACATGGTGACTGATCTTACGCCGTCGTTCTATCCCCAGGATCAGCAACGAAGACGAGCGAGACCACGTGGTCATCGGCGTCCGGAAGCGGTCCGACCTCGAGGCGCGGGACCGCGTGCGGGACACAAACCGCATTGACGAAACGAACAAACTGCTGCAAAGGGTATTGGAGCTGGACTCGTAGCGGGACGGGCGGCGCTCCGTTAGTCTTCACATAGCGCAGCCCGCGCTGCAGTGCTGCAGTCGGCCAGAGATAATACAGATAGCGCTAGTAGCATTCACGGTCTGCTGAGGGGTCGGCACAGGTGGTGTGGCCAGGTGCTCTCAGAGGAAGTTCAGGTCTTCCCGTCTCGTGTGGGACGCTGTAGTCCGCCGCTGTGACGCCACTGGCAGCTCTTACCGGGGTGTTGGCCGCCGTCTTCCCGTCCCGTGCTTCTGAGCGGTACCTGATGTACCTGGCGCGGTGAGCGCGGCCGTCCGCCTGACTGCGGTCTTCTCGGAGTGACAGGGTGACACGCGCACCGGGCCGACGGGCGTCCCGGCCGTGGTGTGGAGTTTTCTCCCGCCGACCGGCCGCGGCCCTGCACGACTGGGCTCGACTGGCACACTGATCTACCACCACACAGTCCATGACTGATCATTCTACGCGGGAGCCACCACCGAGCCGTCATTTAACCGTCATTCTGCGCCCGCGCTGCGGTCATTTAGCGATGTGTCTCATCCATGCTATGCAGTGAAGTAATCCAGCGCTGTGGTTAGCCTTATCTAGATCGGCAGGGCGTGTTTATTCAGAGTGCGGTGCGGCCCCAGCCGGGGCTGCTGCTGGTGCGACCTGGCTGTCATCTCACCCTGTGCGTGGATCTGTCGTGCGTCGGATCGTGTGAAAAGCATTCCGGCCGCCGGGCCCGTAACCTGTGCCTTGAACAAAGCATTCCTGAATGATATTTTTGCTAGCGGCAACCCTGTGATGATGGTGACCGTGCGTTGTGTTTGGGGCCGTGCGTTTTGGCGAGTTTTACCCATGCACTGTGGTATTCCGTCTGTGTCTGTGTGTATGTGTGCCGTGGCTGCGCGCCGCGTTGTGAGGGGTTGTCGGTGGGGGTCTGTGTCTTCCGGGCGCGCGGAGCCCTCGGCCGGGGTCGAGTGCGGCCGGTCGACCCGGCGCCACACTCGCAGTCTTCCAAGTCCGAGCGGTCGCCGCCGCCGCGCCCGTGGCCGTTACTGTGTCCTTTGACGCGCTGTTGACATTTTTATCCAGTGTACTTAATCACCGTCATGGTTGTGCGTGTGCCTATTTTACCCGCTTGTGTGCAATAACATGAGCTCGCTTGGTAGTGGAGTTTTTGAAGTGATGGTTCTTGCAGATATATCGGAAGACGCATCAAAAATAGCAGATAGGGCCATAGGCTCGTTCAACCTCAGGGACTGGCACAGCGATCGGGACGTTTCACTCTGCCCCGACCCAGCTAGTCAACGGTCACAGTCTTCGAACTGGCCCCCGGCGCGCCCTGTCTGCCTTCTCCGGCGAACACTCCGTGGGAGCGTGGGACGTGGGTTGGAGGTAACCCCCCTCCCCCTCCCGTCATCGCTCACCGCTGCCCGAGGGACCGGATCCATTCGAGAGGCGCCCAATCTGGCGAGAGGGCCAGGCGGTGATTGGAGATGTGTGTGCGTATAGTTCTTCCCTTCGTTTCTTTCTCCTTCCCCCATCCCCGCTCAGTCGGCTCTGCCAGCCTAGGTCACCTTCTCAACCTTCCCTCCACAGTCCACATCCACTGATTTCTCATCGGCAATCATACGCGGCGGCCATTTGGGTGCTGGAGAATCAGTCATGTGTGTGCGACAAGAGCAAGAGATGAAAAACTTTTCAGCACTTGCAATTTAACCCGCGCCCTGCTGGGGGGGGGGGGTGTTTGAACACCCCCCCCCTGTGGTTTTTCGCGAATATCTCAAAAACGGCGGCGCGGAGCGCCGCCGTTTTTGGTACACCTTACCATACATCAATTCTACACATGTTGTGAAAATTTCAGACCAAGGTCATTCAAGGTCAGGTCACCAGGTCACTTGAAGTGACCTCACCTCATAAAAACTTTCAATGTCTGTCATAGCTACGCCGAGTGACCGATCGCTTTGAAACTTTCAGCGATTGCTAAGAGCAATAGCATGTACAAAATGTATATCTCAGAATTTTGATATCGATGACCTAAGGTCAGGTCAATTTTGCGACCTCCCCATTATAAGTCAATGGGAGAAAATTGAAATGCGCCTCTTTTGGATGAAAGACATTATAAACACTCCCAAACACCGAATTACAAGTGGGTTAGACACACTGAACTTGAAAATGGTGTCCGTGACCCTTGTTTATGCCCTGAGGTCATCTTAGGTCACGAATGGTATCTAACAGTTTTTCGCAAATAACTTTTGATAGAGGCATGCTAGAGCGATGAAAACGCCTTAGATGTGTTCAGCTCGACGATACGGATCGACTGATATGCAACATGACCCTTTCCGGTCAGGTCATGACCTTGACCTGAGGTCAAATTTTCAAGTTGACCTTTCAAGGTCAAGACATAGTTCATTCGATGCGTCTTGACGAGAGGAACACGATGCCGGTAAAAGTAAGCTCGTACAAGGTTTGGGTCAAAAGTTATTGCAGAAAAACTGTTTTCGAAAAAATCGGCTATTTTTGCAGTTTTTGCCCCCTGCAGGCAAAACCGTTGACGTTAGGTCAAATCTGAGAGAATTACTCAGAAAGGGCGTTAATAGGGCTATCGAATGCGCTTTTTCGCGGCGCTGTAGCTCTGTTGGTTCCCGAGTTATGCGTTGGCTTCTTGGAAATTTTCGACATTCGACCTGGAAATCGGCGAAATTTTGCCTTCAATGACCTCTGGTGACCTGACCTTTGACCTGACCAAAAAATTGACCGAAGTGATTTCGTCATTATTTTTGACGCTCTTTCGAACGCCGCCTTCCGCGTATCGCTACGTGGCCCAGGAGCCGAGTTACAAGGGGGGGGGGGTGTTCAAACACCCCCCCCCCCCCAGCAGGGCGTGGAAATCCAGGACCCCCAGCAGGGCGCGGGTTAAGATATTAAATTTTATTCACAAGTGGTGTCACTGCATTGTTTCTGGGTTATTGATTTTATTGTGTGACGCAATTGTCAGCCGACCGTGCTTACCTAAAAAGCAAAGCAAAAACTTCAAAACAATGTATGGCAGCTGCATTCAACAAAGATCATGCTTCCATATTCATTCATTTGTGTGTAATTCATCGATTTGGCGTTCATGTAAGGATAGTCACTGTGATGTAAGGCTGAAGATTATCAATTCAGGCTCGGAGAATAGGCAGTTTGTTATCGCAGTACTTTATTTTTGCTGTGGTTGTTAAAGGGACCCTCCCACCTTCAAAAAAGTTAATGAATCGGTACGAAAGTGATGTCGCTCGGTTCAGAAAGAGCGAAAACGAATATCCACCAAATTTCATCGAAAAATATTCACCGGTTTTCAAGATATTAGACTTTTACTTTTGTTTACTTTTTGGGATCTCCGCTGTTCCTAGCGACTTTATTTGAAAGTGCGGCATTTGTTGCGCGCAAAGCAGCATATACCACCGCGTGCTACCAAACGTTTTAGTAAAAGATTTAAAAATCGTTAGATCTCCGCTGACGTCACAAATTCTAAGGGGGCATACCAATGCACTAGCCCCTTAGAATCCGAAAACTGCAAGTTTGAAATTCCATATCTCCGAATTAACCCGCGAGTTGCTGGGGGGGGGGGGGGCGTTAAACGCCCCCACTTTTTTCGCCGGGCCATAGCCAGGGGCCCGGGAACGATTTTCAAGTTGGGGGGGGGGGGGGCGAGCCTAAAATACCTGCAATGATGCATATGAAACAGTGGCGTCGCTAGGGGTCTAAGGGGACACGTACCCCCCCCCCCCATCGGGATAAAGGGGATCCTCGGGTCCGAGGGGCCCTGCGGCGCCATTTGACCGCTGAGGGTTAACGATGGCCATATTTCTACTCAGAAGGGCCCCATGGGGCTCGTCAGAGCACCTCATGGGCCCTAAATAGCCTCACTAAGATCTCCATAAGGGTCCGACGCCGGCGTCTGAGGGCCTCTTGCGGCTTTTAAGGACACCTCGGTGATCTCCAAAGGCCCGTTACTGGCCTCTGAGAGGTCTTACCGGCCTATGAGGTGCCAGTTCTAGGGGCATTTCCCGCCTGTGATAGTCCCACACTTAATTTTCTGCGGGCCCCATAACGGCAACTGTGGGGCCCTCGTCGGCGCCTATGAGGGCCTGTCTCTAAGGACCCCACAGGACTTCTTCTGCCGGCGTAAGGTCCCCTTGCCGGTCACTGAGACTCCCTGCCGGCTTGTAGAGAGTTCGCGTCAGCAGCACTAAAGGCCCCACACCCGTCTGTAACGGCCCCACACCACCGTCTATGAGGATCCACAGCAACGCCTGTAACTTGTAAAGACCCTCATCGGCGCCTCTGAGAGAATCACACTAGCACATCTGAGCGCCCACACCGGCACCTGCATGGCGGCCCCACACCAGTGCCTCTAAAGGCCCCTTACCGGCGGCTCTGAGGGCCCTACGCCGGTGATTCTGAGGGTGCTACCGATAACCAAAGGCACCACACAAGCCCTTAACTAAGCTACACTAGCATGAATTCCGACGTTTTTTTCGGTTTCTGCGGGATTTCGGCTCGCGTCAAGTTCGCCTCATAGCGAATGCATTGCGCAAGCTACACTGCCAGTCTGGCGTCCCGTGGAACGAAAACCCGCAAAAACCGACGAGTCGGAACCGAAAAAAAGTTCAGAGCTGTGAACTTTTTTTCGGTTTCTGCGGGATTTCGTTTTAGTGATGGATGATTAGAAGTGATTGTTGCTTATAATATTGTGACGATGGAACAGTTTCAAAGGTAAATAATGAAAATGGTGTAATTCATGATTAAATAAGACAAAATGTGTTTCAAAACTCATCATTCTACATCAAATATGATAATTGTAATTAAACTGACAAATGATTATGATCGAAAATCTTTTCTTGGTATTTGCAAAATCTTTAAAACAGTTATTTAATTATAATTTTGTTAAAACACGATAATATTTAACATGAATAATTAAATAAATTGATCACTTATCCATCACTATGCTATAAACAACACCGTCCACGCGGCGGCCGCCCGGAACGAAAAAACGCAGAAACCGTAAAAACGCGGAAACCGAAATCACGCAGAAACCGAAAAAATGCTGATAGTGTAGCCTGAGCTTTAGTGTCGCTGAGCTTTAATCCCATACCGGCCCTCCGAGGGCGCCACGTCAGTGCACTCATTGCCCCACACCCCTCCATCACATCCGGAGCGGGTAAACTGTGTTATACCTACCTATAATAGCAACGATTTTACCACCGTTGTACGTTATGTATTTCTCAAAGTTGACTCAAGCTGGTGCAGTATAAAATCTGGCCTGCCAAACTTATGGCCACGATCAGGCCCAAATCAAAGCGGGATGACAATAGTCAATAGCAGATGTTGTCAAATCGATACCTACTGTATCAGCTGAAACCATTCAGATGACAAGGAAAATGCCATGTGTTGATGCGTAGATGTATGCATGAAGGAAACAAGAAGGGAAAAAGTCCGGAAAAGGGAGGAAAGATCTTTTCTCGCTGCCTCAATGTTGAGGGGGCGCCGCCCCCTCGGCTCTCAAGTTGGGGGGGGCAAGCGCCCCCGCTGCCCCCCCTGTTCCCGGGTCTATGGCCATAGCATAAAAACGGCGCGCGCAGGCGCGCCAAATTTTTGGTACCTGTAGGGAATTGATTGAAGTTTATTGTGACAAAGTTTCAAAAAAATCGGTTGGAAAATTTTTGAGATATCGAGGTTTTAGTGACGTCATGATTTCTGAGTTTTCGACCAAAAACGGCTATGTTCAAAAAATCATATAAAATCACGGAATAGACATACAGACATGCCGTAAACGCCATTAGACTGCCAATACCATGATCAATCAAATGGCTATCTTCGATTATTGATTATCGTTCCGCATTTTCCATAATCTTGAACTGAATCCTGGCAATTTTTCGTGACTACTTCACGACCATGATACATGAATTTCTTAAATTGAACTTTTTGAGCCAAACACGTACACATATGATAAAATGAATTGAATGTCACCATCGTGTTCTACGCCCCAAATTACCTATAAAACATGTGTCACAGGCTGCGAATATCAGTTTTGATTTTCGGGGATATGTGCCTACCCGGTTGACCTGACCTTGACCCTGACCTATGCTTGACTGACCCCTACATGGAGCTGACACTCTTGTAGGC